CCCGTGTTGCCTAGTGTAGCTGTGCCTAGCGTAGACTCCCCTGCTGCGTCAGGCGTAGGATCTCCTGCTTTGCTTAGCCTCGGTGCTTCCACCGCTTCACTGTCGCCTCGCGCGACTGCTGCGCTTTCCTTCACCTTGGACTCTGGCGCCTCCCGGTGTTTCTTCCGCGACTCCACGACGCTGACGCCGCTGCCTGTTCCCGCTGCAGTTACTCTTGCTGACCCCTCCGGTGGTCCCGTCGTTGCCCGCAGTTCCACCTCCCTTCCCTGTCCGGCGGTTCCTTCAGGTTCGCTCACCGGTCTGCATATCCCCTCGTTCTCCAGGAACCTAGTTGGTGTCGGCTGCCTCCAGGACCTTGGCGTCACCACTACGTTCCCTGGTCACGAGCGGTATGCTGTCTGTACCGAGGCCGCCACTGGTGCCCCCCTTACCACTTTCCCCCGGGACCCGGTGTCCGGCCTGTTCACACTTGACACCGCGACGTCCCCGGCTGGGTCTTCCCCCCAGGTAGCTGCGTCCACCCAGGTTGCTGCTGCGTGCTCCTGTCGGTCCCTCACTCATCCGACTCTCCTTTGGCACCACCGCCTTGGTCACCCTGCACTCCCGCGTCTGCGTCACATGTCCCAGCACGGTCTCGTCCTTGGTCTCCCCGGTTCGTTCCCTGAGTTTCCCTCATCCCCCGCCCCACCGTGCACGCCTTGTGTCGAGGGCCGGCTCCGCCGTGCCCCTCACTCCTCCTCTTTTCCCCCTACCACCGCACCCCTGCAGACTCTGCACATGGACGTCTGGGGCCCAGCCCCGGTCCATGGGCCGCGTCGCGAGCGCTTCTTCCTAGTGCTTGTCGACGACTTCACACGTTACACCACCGTCTTTCCCTTGGAGCGGAAGGCCGACGTGCCTGACGTTCTCATCCCCTGGCTTGTCTCTGCTCGTCTCCACCGCGGTCTCCCTGCCTTGCGCCTCCACTCCGACCGGGGTGGCGAGTTCGCCTCAGGTGTCCTTGGTCGCTTCTGTCGTGCGGAGGGCATCACCCAGACGTTTACCCTGCCGGACTCCCCGCAGCAGAATGGGGTCGCTGAGCGACGCATCGGTTTGGTCATGGAGGTGGCTCGCACCTCCATGATCCACGCCGGTGCACCCCATTTTCTGTGGCCGTTCGCCGTGCGCTACGCCGCTCACCAGCTTAACCTGTGGCCGCACCCCCAGCGGCCGCAGGTTTCGCCGACCCTTCTGTGGACCGGGTCCCCTGGTGACGCGTCTGCGTTCCACGTCTGGGGCTGCCTTGCTCACGTTCGTGCCTCTGGCACGGACAAGCTCACTGCCCGCACCCTCCCCTGCGTCTTCCTCGGTTTCCCCCTTGACGCGTCCGACTGGCACTTCTACCACCCGCCGTCTCACCGCTTCTTTCACTCTCGCGACGTCACCTTTGACGAGTCCGCCTCCTTCTACCGCCGCTTTCCCCACCGTGGTCCCCCGGTTACTCCCCCCCTGTTCCGGTTCCTCCCTCCCTGGTGGCCCCTGCCCCTCCCCCCCCCCGCCCCCCCGTCCGGCCCCCTCTGGTGTGTCTCACGTCACCCCCCTCCCGTCGGTCGTTCCGGTCGACGAGTCTTCTGACTCTGGTAGTCCGTTGGCGCAGTCCTCACCGTCTGTCCCTCCCCCGGTGTCTCCTCCTCCACCGCCTCCGCAGCCGCCGTCGCCGCAGCTGCTGCAGCCGTCGTCTCCGCCGTCGTCGCCGTCGCGGCCGTCGCTGCAGCCGCCGCCGCCGCCGCCGCCGTCGTCGCTGCCGCTGTTTGTGGACTCTGGGGGTGCTGGCGTTGAGGTGGGTACTAGTCCCGGGGCTCCTGTCGGGGCTTGTCCCGGCGGGCCTGGGGGTGGTACCGGTGCTGGCGGTGTTTCGGGCTCTGGGGGTGTCCCTTCTGGGGGTGCCGGTGTGGAGGGTTCGGGGGGTAGCCGTCGCGCAGCTTGTGGCCCTGGCGTTGGTGTTGTGTCGCCGCAGCAGCAGTCCCCGCCGGTGTCCGCCCTCCGTCTGCTCGGCCTTCCGTCCCCTGACCCTGCGCCTGTTCCTCTTCGGCCGTCTCCCCCTCTTCCCGTCTACGGCCCCGTGTTCCCTCCGCCGGACTCGTCCCCGGCTCGTTTTCCCCCTCGTTCCCCACCCGTGTCCCCTCCTCTGTCTCCTGACCCGACGCCGCCCTCTCACGTCTGGTCTCGCCGCCCCTCCCGTGCTCGTCCTGTCTCCCCCGTCCCGCGCACTCACCCTATGTTGCTCCGCTCCCACGCGTCTCGTCCTCCCCTCCTCCCGTCTCCTCCTCCGTCCTCTCTTGTCGTTGCGTCTCCTCCTCTGTCTGACTACTTTCGTGCCGCTCGTCCTCTTGTTCCTCGGGTCCTTGCCTCTCTCGTTACCGACCCGTCTGTTCCAGTGACGAGTCTTGACGCCCTTGTCGCTGCGGTCGCTGACTTCGCCTCTACCCGCCGCCTTGACTACGCCTCCGCTCTGGTCTCTGACCCTGCCTGTCCTCCGTCTGTCGGGGGTGCTCCTGCCCTCGGCAGTGACGTCCTGGAGGACCGCCAGTTTGAGCTTGCTTTCCTGTCCGAGGCTGCTCCCCATCTCTGTTCCATGCTGCTAGTCCCTGAGGGTGACCCAGACGCTTTTGACATCCCGACCCCTCGTACTTACGCTGAGGCGGTTTCGGGACCTTGGGCCTCTCAGTGGATAGCTGCCATGGAGCAGGAGATGGCATCTTGGAGATCCACCGGCACCTTCGTCGACGCAGTTCCCCCACCTGGGGTGAACATGGTCGATGGCCGTTGGCTCTTCAAGGTGAAGCGCCCTCCTGGAGAGCCGCCTGTGTTCAAGGCGCGTTACGTGGCTAGAGGCTTCAGTCAGCGCGAGGGGGTGGACTTCTTTCAGACTTTCGCTCCTACCCCGAAGATGACTACTCTTCGGGTTCTGCTACACGTAGCGGCCCAGCGTGACTACGAGCTTCACTCCCTCGACTTCTCCACTGCCTTTCTTCAGGGCAGCCTTCACGAGCAGGTCTACCTGCGTCGTCCTCAGGGCTTTACTGGCACCTTCCCCCCTGGGACCCAGTGGCTTCTGCGGCGCCCAGTCTACGGCCTGCGCCAGGCGCCTCGTGAGTGGCACGACACGCTGCGTGCTACTCTTGCTGACCTGCAGTTCTTTCCGTCCTCTGCAGACCCCTCGCTCTTCGTTCGTGCTGGCTCGACTCCGTTCTACATCCTCGTCTACGTAGACGACCTGGTCTTTGCCACAGCTGACAGGGACGCACTGGCCTCCGTGAAGGCAGAGCTGCTGAAGAGACACACCTGCACTGACCTTGGAGAGCTGCGCCGTTACCTTGGCTTGCAGATCTCCAGGGACAGAGCCGCGCGCACCATCACCCTGACTCAGTCACACTTGGTGCGCCAGGTCCTTCAGAGGTTCGGCCTTCAGTTCTCCTCCGCACAGCCCACCCCTCTTCCTCTGGACCACAGACTCTCCGCTCCAGTTCCTGAGGAGTCGGTAGATCCCAGTGGTCCTTACGCTGAGCTAGTGGGTTGCCTCATGTACCTGATGACTTGCACTCGCCCAGATCTCGCATACCCTCTCAGCATCCTGGCTCGTTTTGTGGCCACAGGCAGACACCGACCTCAGCACTGGTCTGCCGCTAAGAGGGTTTTGCGTTATCTTGCAAGTACATCGGGCATGGGGTTAGTGCCAGGCGGACGCAGGCCAGTGGTCCTTACTGGACACACAGACGCTTCTTGGGCAGACGACGCCGAGACGCTCAGGTCTTCCCAGGGCTACTGCTTTAGCCTTGGCTCAGGTGCTGTCTCGTGGAGAGCTACCCGCTCCTCGTCTGTTGCCCAGTCCAGCTGTGAGGCTGAGATCTACGCCGGTGCCATGGCGGCACAGGAGCTCCGCTGGCTGACCTTCTTGCTCACTGACTTAGGTGAGCGGCCTAGCTCTGCCCCGGTCCTGTACGCTGACAACAGGGCCATGATTCTCCTGTGTCAGGAGCCTCGACTCGAGGGCAGAGCGAAGCACATCCAGCTGCGGTACTTCCTCCTGCGCGAGCTACAGCAGCGTCGCCAGGCTCGCGTAGTACACTTGGCCTCCGGTGCCAACACAGCTGATATCTTTACGAAGGCGCTTGCGCCTAAAGATCATCAGCGGCACTGTTTACAGCTTGGTCTGGTTCCTGTAGTCTCTCACTTACTCGGGCTTTGACTTTGTACTGTCGTATATATATATATGTATACACTCAGACTGGACTTGTGTCCTCTCACAGTGGTTGGACTAGTAGTGCCGCCCTGTACTCGTTCTTGCCTTGTCTGTACTCCTTCTGACTGGTCTTTTAGACCCTTGTCTCAGAGGCTGGACTAGTAGTGCCACCCTGAGCTGCTTGTCTAGAACATTCCCCTATGCAGTCCAGGGGGTGTGTCAAACATGTGTAGTTATCATGTTTGTATAGACTGTATAGGGTCACCTTCTAGAGAGTACAACATTTAGGTATATGTTTGTGTACTCTCTCTCTCTCATTATTCAATTCTAGGTTTGATAGCTAGGATCTGGGTAGGAGGAGGAGCCATGGATATGGCGAGAGGTTTTAGGCTAGGAAAGTTGGTGAGAGAAAAGAGGATTAGGAAAGAAGAGAGGGGGATACAAGGAGGAGTGTTGTACCCCCTACAGTAATGTTCAGTAACATCTAATCTACCAAGCCTACACATTATATAACTCAATATATAATTTAACACATTTTTCCTGCAGTTTCTGACTACCGATGGAACCCGACTGATTAAACATGTTACAAACTCGCTAATTCTGATTGGTTATATCCTGTCACTGACCGTACATGTTATCGAGGCCCCTAATACTGAGCGCCGCCGGTATACTTTACCTTAATTGATTGGGTGTGTTGAAAACAAGATCGCCCCGAAACCGAAGCCCCTGTTTGCTGGCGCATGGGGTTTCGGGCGCAAAGCAATTCTAGGCACATGTGCCAAGACCCCCGCATTTCTTCTAAATGCCATAATCTGTACATCGCTTCTCATTTACTAAATTGGAATATCACGTGCACATTCTATAGCATGAAGTCGTTTACTCTTTCCCCCCCAGAAAATGGTTTCAAGCCCCTCCCAAGGCCCAGCTGAAAACATCTTCCGAATCCATACTTCACTTCAGCTTCCTCAAAGCCCCAAATACCGGTACGCCTCCAACATTTTTGACCTGGATCGTATGATGGGGCAAAGAAGGGACGCATAAGGGGCTGGCATGATGGGAGGGATGCGATGGAATGGATGAAGGATGCTAAAACTGCATGTGGAGCGGAGGGACGAAAGGAAGAAAGGATGGGAGAGAGGCTCACCTGCAAGGTAAGGCACGACGTGCAGCGTTATGCGCTGGCTTGCCCACAGCAGGCGATCGCACTGTCGAGGCCATGATGCCATGCAAGGGCTAGAGGTACCCCATGCAGAGCAGAAGGCATGGAGCTACGGTGGCGATGGTGCGAGACCAGGGGGGGGCGACACAGCAGGGGAGGGGGGTGGAGTGGAGGTGGGAGGGGAAGCAGGTGGAAGCGGAGGAGGGGCAGGTGGGGGAGTAGAGGCATGAGGCACAGAGGAAGGAGGAGCAGCAGAGGGGGGAGGCGAGGCGGAGGAGTGGGGGGAGGAAGGGGAAGGCGTCCCCCCTGGCGCTGTTGCTCTCTGTTTGTCTGCGAGCAGAAGGGCTGCCTTGAGGCAGAGGCGGCACGGCAGTGTGAGGATGGAGAGGGCGGCGGCGTGCTTGAGGCTGCCGCTGCTGTTGCAGATGCGCCATGCATGGTAGTCCAGGTACAGCGCTGCCAGGGGGCACGCAGGGGCAGAGGGGCGTGGAGAAAGAGAGGTGTGGGAAAGGCGAGTAGGTTGTGGAGCAGTTGCACAGAGGGAGGGCTGACATGAGTGAGGCCGCTTCAGGCACCGAACTTGCAGCTTCTGGGAGACGGGTCAGAGCACAGCAGCGGCAGGGGGTGCGAGGGCGGGGACTGACTGGCGTTGGCGTCGAGGCGGTTGATGAGGTCGCCCACGGCCGTCCTGTTGGGGAACGCCCGCAGGTCAATGTACGACCCGGGCGGCGCTACGTGCGCCACGTCCGGCGCTCCGTAGTACACCGGCACCGTGCCTGGTGGGACGGGGGTGGGTGCCGTGATGGGAAGAAGAGGAGGGCATGAGCCGGGCGCAGAAGAATAGGATGAGAAGAACTAATCGTAGCATGCTCTAGGTGGCACATTCTTGCTGCTCGTGTGTGCCGCAAGGCAGTGAGATCGCCACTGACCGGCGTCGAAGGGGATGAAGAGCTTCTCGGTGGCGTACCCCTCCCTCTCGCTGTTCTCCACCGCGATGGCAAACTTGTACCGCGACTCCACACAGTGCACGCGCGCCGTCCACTTGTCCATGGGCGTCCTGACCGGGTGTGCAGGGGTGGCGGGGGGGAGAGAGGGCAGGGCGATGGGGAGAACGTGGAGAGGGGAGGAGAGGCCAGCAGGAAGGGAAGGTACCAGAGGTGGATCGGTGCGTCCCTATCCCTTCCCCTACCGGCACGTGGGGTGGGCAATGAGCTCTGAGATGCGGTGCATGTTGAACTGGCAGCGCCCAAACGAGTGGTGGCGGACGACGCGCAGAATGTCCTTCACCATCGCCTCGCGCCACGACACCGAGCAGTGCGACCCCGCGCGGTACAGCGGCACGCCCTGCACGGGTGGGGGGGGGGATGTGAGCAGGGAGGCAGCGCGGGCAGTGCATGAGCGCACGGAGGCAGCGCGGGCAGTGCATGAGCGCACAGAGGGCGTGCAGAGAAGAGGCAAAAGAAGGACGGATACGAGAGTGCGGAAGCACGCAACGAAAGGATGGGAGGGAGGGGGGCAGGATGGCAAGTTGGAGATGCAGAGAGCAAAACAGGCAGGCAGCCACGCAGTGCACTGACAGCGAGCTTGATGGGCGACACGAGGTCCTTGCGCGCCTCGTCATCGTTCATGCCCACGTAGGTGATCTGCACGTCGCAGTCGCGGTGGTATCCCACCAGCAGGTCCCACCGCGCCTGCTGCTCCATGGGCACCCACGGCGAGAAGATCTGCCGCCCCGGCACCACCGCGCCCTCAGGGGCCGCCTCCGGGTCCAGCAGCGCCAGCAGCGGGCGCTCGTGCGCGGGCAGGGCGGTGAGGGCGTCCATGGCTGGGGGGGGGGTGGGTGGGACGTTGGGTGGAGAATGGACGGAATGAAGGGGGGGTGGGGGGGGAGGGGGAGGACACACGCAGGGAGTGTGGCATGTGGGCAGCAGCATAGCAGGAGAGCAGTGTGCGCTGGCGTGAGCCCATCCCAACCCCCGAAACCCATGCTGATCGCATGAGCCCCACGAGCCATGAGCCATGAGCCCCATGAGCCATGAGCCCCATGAGCCCCATGAGCCATGAGCCCCATGAGCCATGAGCCCCATGAGCCATGAGCCCCATGAGCCCCATGAGCCCCATGAGCCATGAGCCCCATGAGCCCCATGAGCCCCATGAGCCATGAGCCCCATGAGCCATGAGCCCCATGAGCCATGAGCCCCATGAGCCCCATGAGCCCCATGATCCCCATGAACAATGAGCCCCATGAGCCCCATGAGCCATGAGCCCCATGAGCCCCATGAGCCCCATGAGCCCCATGAGCCCCATGAGCCATGAGCCCCATGAGCCATGAGCCCCATGAGCCCCATGAGCCCCATGAGCCCCATGAGCCCCATGAGCCATGAGCCCCATGAGCCCCATGAGCCATGAGCCCCATGAGCCATGAGCCCCATGAGCCCCATGAGCCCCATGAGCCATGAACCCCACGAATGAGCCCCATGAGTCCCCCTGTGCTGTGGTGGGTGTGAGGAGAGCCCCACGCACCCTTCTGGTCGTCCTCCTTGAGCGGGCCGTACTGGCGCACAAACAGCAGCACGTCCGGTTCACGCACCACCTGGGGCTGCCATGAGAACTGCACGGAGTGGGGGGGGAGGCAGGGGAATAAGAACACACATGGCGCCAGGGGAATGGGCAGCCAATGGTAGAGCAGTGTAGAGCAGCGTCCAGTGTGCATGTCAAGCAGCGCAGAGCGCCGCCCTGAGCTCAGAGCACCGCATGTGGAGACTTCAGCAGCACGCACGACCCCACCCACTCACGGTGCACGAGAGGCCGCACTGCTGGCAGGAGTGCGTGCCCTCCAGGTGCATGCGGTTGCCAAAGCGCTGCCCGAACCACACGAAGGGCGCCTTCACCAGCACGCTCACATGCCGCCGCTGCAGCCGTGGGCAGTCGGGCAGCGACAGAGGCTGGGAGGGATAGGGGGGACAGGGGGGACAGGGGGGACAGGGGGGACAGGGGGGACAAGGGGGACAGGGGGACAAGGGGGACAGGGGGGACAAGGGGACAGGGGGGACAAGGGGGACAGGGGGGACAGGGGGACAGGGAGAGGGGGGAGAGGGGGGAGAGGGGGGACAGGGGGACAAGGGGGACAGGGAGAGGGGGGAGAGGGGGGACAGGGGGGACGGGGGAGAAGGGGGGTGTGGACAGAACGGAGGGGAGAAGATGGAGAGGGAAAAGAAATGCGTGGAGAAGGGAATGCGTGGAGAAGGGAATGCGTGGAGAAGGGAATGCGTGGAGAAGGGAATGCGTGGAGAAGGGAATGCGTGGAGAAGGGAATGCGTGGAGACGGGAATGCGTGGAGACGGGAATGCGTTGTGCTTAGCGTACGGAAGCAACGGAAGAGAGTGGCGGACCTGCAGAGAGGGGTTGGGGGGCCACGTGGCGGGGTCGTCGTCTTGCAGCAGGTCCACGTGCAGCTGCGCCGAGAAGCGCGCGCGAAACCGCTCACAGCCACCGCCAGCGCGCCACTTCCTGGGAGGCACGCGGGGGGGGGGGGGGGAACAGGAACCGTGCGACGATGGAGCTGTTATGCTTGCGGTGAAGCACTGGTGAGTCTGTCACCACTCCCCGCATCCCAATGGAGATAGGCTCAGCAACACAAGAGAAAGCTATAAGAACGGCAGCAGTCAACCTTGACTGCTTACGTGTGTCACTCCGTGAAGCAGCGCTCACTGGATCTCGGTGGTCATGTTGAAGAAGCCCTCCTTCCACGTCTCGTTGCGGCTGAAATCGAAACTCGCGTTGAACGCCGCCTCCTCGTCCTCCAGTCTCCGCACTCGACGACCGCCGTACTCGCTATAGCCACGCTCACGGCCATCAGCCACACGTTCTGCTCGCCGCTCAGCCAGCCGGAGTCCCGGAGAGACCGAGAGGAGTAAGATCGCAGCGGCAACAAGGAATGTGATAGCGAGTAATGCACGAGACACTACAACGCGTACGTGCGATAATGAGTAGCTGGGATGGGTCGCAAGTTGATTCATGCTGACGCTCACGACCGCCAGGATGATTCTCACACGAGCACCTGAAGGCCGGTGATTGTCGTACTAGCAAAGGCGCGGAGGTTGTTAGTCTGGAGAGCAGTATGTCAGAGTCTAGCAGTATTCGCTCTCATTTCACATTGACAGGCCAAAATTTGAGCGAGGCAAACCGCCCTGTTTGCCCTGCTCAACCCCTGCTGGAGAATGGGGGGGACCACCGTGTCCGGTAACCCTTTTCGCCAGATCGTCGATTCGCACCTCCTGCTGGACAAACCAGCGGCATTCGCTGGTCTTTCCAGAGCATTCCACTCCAGAGCCCTACAAGCTTGGAACGAATCTCTCCAGCAGACTTGCAATTTCACTTGTTTTAGATTGTGGTTAGCCTTCCTCGCCATGGCTGCCCAAGCGCTATTTCGCCCGAGGGTTGCAACCATTTGCTCTGGCATATCTCCTCGTTCCCTGCACAGTCAGATAACAGGCAAAAATCTCCTTCGGTTTCCGGCCCTTCCTGTGCGTTCGCCTGTTTTGACCTCGACCCGAACAATCTCTGCTCGCGCGCAGACAGGAATATCGTCTTCTGGCCCTGCCCCGGAATATTTCCAGCATGGAGTGGTTTCTTCCGTTCCATTGGGTCATTCGGGAAACGATGTGTCCGTTCGTGCTGCTGACTACGTGTCACCCGGCTACGAGTACGAGCAGGAGATCGATCCTCAGGAGGCCGCCAGGCGTGAACAGGTGAGCAGAGAGAATGTTCCGTGCTCAGAGTGCCTTCTCTGCTGCTAGCGCGTTAGTCAAGATTCCCCATGGCTTGTTTATTGATGCATCTGTGAACCGATGCTCGATGTCCACTCGTTCACATCCCTAGCGAGAATAGATGAGGCCTTTCTCTCATTTTCGCACTCTTCAACCTCTGCTTTTTATTTTTTGCTGTTCTTCTTCTGCTTCCGCCTTACTACTGCTTCCACTCCTCACCATTGGCCACCAGGCGTCGAAGCGGGTAGAGAGGACGTCCAAATACTTCCGTCAGTTGGGAATTTTTGGATTCTGGGGCCAGCTGATCTGTTCGGTAGTCGCCTCCGTGATCCTCACCTTCTCCATAGTCATCTCTGGCCGGCCCACGGCACCGGTTTCCACGTATCTTACATCTGCTGGAATCGTGGCTGCGTTTCTCTCTGTCTTCTGGTCGTTTGGTTACCTCAGGCTAGCCGATCGGCTGCGCAACGCCATTGAGAACCCCATGAAGGTGAGCTGGTTCAGTGTCCTTCAATCTCTCTAGGTAAGCCCGCCGAAATGGGGTGCTGTTATCCTTGCTCTCATACTGCACACTTGGAATGTATACTTATGCCTGGATGCCCCTCCCACCCGCTGTGTGATAACGGTATTGAGTTCACTCAACCTGGCGAACAACCTGCTCTTAGCATGCCTGCGACTGGGGGCTTTTTGGCTTTCCTACTCAACTATCCATAATCAATACGTTTGCAGGCACCTCCTCGCTCTTCGGTGGTGGCAAATCTTAAGAATGGCCTCATTATCAACATCCTTGGACTAGGAGCCACTCTCCTTGGCCTACAGGCCACTGTTGGGGTGCTAGTCGCCAAAGCCCTCACCTCCTCCACTCCCATCTATGGTGCTGTTGGCCTTCCCACCGGCTACAACCCAGTTCTGGCCCTTGATGTTTTCCTTATTCAGGTGCGTACATGCTGTATTTGTTGTGGTTGCGATCATGTGCAGAGGTTTTGAAGTCATTAGGTCGGACTGCGCATTGTCATTGTGCTTGTCCATTCCTCGTGAGAATTTCCTGGTAAAGGATAACTAGACTTTCTTTGTTTGCCGCTCCTCTACCACTCGCTGCAGGCGTCTGGAAACACTGCCCTATCTCACTTCCTTGGACTTGTGCTGACCCTGGAGCTACTGCGGGCAACAACCCTCTCGCAGCCACCTCCTGAAAATGTCATCCCGCAAGCCCCATGAGCGTGTGATGTGAAGAGTGGGCTGTACACCAACTGTTGCTTAGCTGATTGGGTCAAACAGTCGAAATTTTCTTAGGTGCTCACAGCACCGAACTGCAGCCATCAACTTTCATGCAGAAACAACACAAATATTTGAAGCCGCTTGCAAAGCAGTTTGTCAAATGCCATGTCTAATCACCTGCATCTTCTCCGCTTTCTGCCAGAGTTGTTCTGACATGGAGTTGGAACTTGTTCCCGGCATTCCAGGTCGTGTTCTTCCTTAGTAGGGGACGCTCTCAGCATTGCAGCAGCTACTGCAGTTCTGAATGCAGATGAATGCTTCCCACAGTTATGCTGTGCAGCGTTCTCCAGAAATGGCTTGAGGGATGAACGCGCAACATCCATCCTGCAATTTCGCAGAAGTATGATGAGCTGAGATAAGAAAGGTTCAGGAAAAAAACCTGGGGATCTTCGTACCTGACTTGAGGTTCTCCGAAAAGTTCAACCTCGACATCCCCAAATGGCACATCTTCACCAGCAGCTCTTGTTATCTAGGTATGTCGCGTAGGGCGTGTGAGCCATTGCACATGAAAGCTGCATGTACAAAAGCTCCCGTTGACAAAATCTCACCTCAGCAGGCCACCAGATACCTCGATTGTTAGCCCATACAAGTGAGCCAAGTTTGAGGTCATGTTGTAGGAATGAGACTGTTGCGGCCTGCCACAAACCACACGAGTTGGACATAAGTATGTCATCATGATGGATGTACAACCACACCTTGATCTTCCCAAACCGCTTTGAACCTCACCACCTTTGACGATTTCCGTTTATGGTGCATGATTTGCCTGTGGTGCATGTTTGCCTGCCTCTGGCTTTTGGTCACTGGAAGTTCAGCCCCGTTAGTAAGGACCCAGGCGCCGTGAAGGCAGGAATCTTTAGCCTTGATGGCGTTCCACAAGTCATCCCAGCTGAGCATTCTCATGCTGTCAGAGAGATCCGCGGTCATGTCAGCAGTGCCGCTCCAGTGCCCTCCTTGAGGGCGAATCCTAAAGGGGGAATGTGACTTCTGCAACGACACACAGGTAGTGGTGAAACAACGCACCGGAAATGGACCAGGCGTATGCAGTCAAGAAATCGACAATACCTTGCAACCTTCAGTACAAATTCCGCTTATGTGGGACTTTTTGACAGTCCGCATAACCTTCCCTAGATGGATTCCAGGCTGCATTTCCGTAATGTCTTTCCTGTGAGAGTTGCCGATCCCCTGAAACAGCAACAGACATTCTGAAAAAGACTCTCCATCAACAGCATTGAAGTGATTAAGTTTGAAATGGACGTACCTTGAGAGATACCACAATCACGGTCCGTCCAATCGTCAGGTTTGGCTTGACTGGATTGGTGTCAATTTGCAAGTGAAGAGAAAACCTTAGAACCTGGTTTTCCAACGATACCCAGTCAATTGCAGCTGCAGGAATCTGCTTACTCTCAAGGTTAGGAGAGAATGGCCGTTTAAATACATCCTTTTTATCATCTGCTGCCTCGATTTTGATTTGTGGTGCTGTTGACAAGCCTGGGTTTTTGTCACCGCAGACAGTGTTTCTTGTGTCTGTATGCCCTTCGGTATGCACTGAAGTCTTTCCGTGGTTTTCAGCAAGAACTTGCTGTTCCAACGGCTTGGGATGTTCTGTCGCTTCACATTTGCTCCCCTGCTGCTCCCCTTCTACAGCATCTTTAGCATTCTTCAGTGACTGAACAAAACGCTCGCGCATGCTCTGTTCAGGTAGAACAGATTTTTCCTGTAATTGGAGCATTTTTAGTCAGAACATGTCATTCACCAAAAGGAAGCTGAGGAAACGAGACTTACCATGGCAGTTTGTTTGGTGCAGTGACCACAAGGGGGCGCGCGCTCGTCATCAGGAAGTTCATCCGTGGATGTGCTTGAATTCACCAACTTAAGTCTTGGGATGGAGACAACCATCATCGAGTCAGTGTCATTAGCCATGCGGCCACAGTCCACCAGAGCGTCCAAAAGCTCGGCTGCTTCCTGTTTGATAAGCTTGGAACACGTCAGAGCAGGAGTTGTCTTCGACTTTGAAAACTCATTGGGCAGGTCAATTGGCTGACATTTCTCCATCTTGAGAAGCCTTCCCACAGCTTCAGCAACAAGGCTCTTCTTTGGTTCAGAAAGGGGTCGGTGAGTTAAACCCTTCAGACATGTCGCCTGAGGACTTCCAGGATCAATTTGGCTCTCTGGAACTTGTGTGCCCAAATCAGCAGCAGCAGCGACTTCAGTGGCCTTCATCTCGAGCTTCAAAAGTTCATTCACAGGGCTATCCAGCCAGCCCATTGACAATAAGTCTTGTTTCACTTCGTCCAACGGTGGGGTTGGTATCTCCTTTGACTGAATGGTTTTCAGGTTTTCACAGAATGGGAGCCACATCCGCATGCCAACCAGTGACGCCAAAACGTCCTGCAGTTCAGAAACCAAAAGACTCAGACAACAACGAAATTCGCATTGACGCAAAAACTCCGTTTTCACAATCTCACCTTTCTTGACTTCGAGCTTCCATCAGCAAGGCCGTGGATGGCAAGTATCTGTTCAGTTGCAGATTAGCATGTGGAGACCAAAACGATGGATTGTCAGGTTGCAACGTATAATCGTGTCAGGAGGTGTTCATCACCTTTTTCAAATCCCCCCTTCTGAATTTCAGCTCGTCCAGACCTGTGCAGGGTAGCACCTTCCCGTCTTTGTCTCCTCGCACAAGGCTGCTGTAAATGTCCGAGTACAATTCCAAACACAAAGAAGACTCAACGACAGCGGATCGTGGTTCTTCTCTCTTGACGACTGGGTTCACAGGCTGGCTCAACCCAACCCATCCACTATTCTCCTGTACAGGTGTTGAGACAAGTTCGGGCTGACTTAAATACTGGATATAGGGGTCCGCCTGCGTTTCGGAAAACTCTTGGTCTGGGGTTTGGGAATAACCAGCTCCAGGTTGTGAATCATACTGTGAGTCCGTCACTTCTTGGCTATTGTAAGGTTCGCTAGTTTGCGAGAAGGTTACACTCTTTGTTTTCTGAGAGAGTTGAGATCGCCAAAACGACGGCAATGCCGGCCTTGGAGGCAAGCCAGAGCCTCCTGATGGACGGCCTGAGAGTAAGGCCATGTGATCTGCCCATGACCGCGGACGAGCATCCATCGGAGAAATTACTGCTTCGACAAAGCTAACGATAAATTGACGACTCGGGGGGGTTGTGATTCATGAAGTACGTGTTTGCTTTGTGGCGAGTTCTCGTGCTTTGCCTCGGTAGTACCGACTCCCATGTTAAGGCCGCATTCTGAAGTTTGGCCGAACTTTGAAGTTTTGCCAACCGACTCGCCACGTCGGAAGTGCACATTGCAATGTTTGGCCGTGCGCTTCGAACTTTGTCCAACCACCCCCTACCGGCCAGAATCCGTGCGACGAAACCCAAGCAACGGCGGCGACCGTGCACGACAAGAGGTTCTTGCAGTGATTGCCGAACATGGTCGTCAATCGTGACGACAATCAACCCACGGAAACGTTTTTCACCTGCCCAGCAAACAGGAGACCCGCGACGTGAACATGCAATGCGCTCGCCAATCCAAACCCACGATGGACAACCCAACCAAGCAGTCCGTTCTCCAGAATATACATTCTGTATTCCGCCGCTATCAAGGCAATTACGATCCTCCCTCCATCACGACAGCAACCATGGCTAGGACACTTGAAACTGCTATAGCTGCCGTAGCCAGCTTCCTCCAATGGAAAGATATGGATGACGACGCGACAGACACTATTCTACTGTATTTAGCTGTTGAGGCTCTGGACGCCATCGCCACGGAGTCCGCGTTGCGTCGTGCGGAGAGCCGCCGCAATGTTATCAGACGCAACAAGCTTGCACGAGCCGCCAGGGTAGCATGGTGGGCCGAATACATCGACACCATGGACGACCGTGATTTCGTCGATCTCTTCCGAATCGACAAAGACATACTCGCCCACTTGGAGGAGGGGTTAGCCTCGGACTTTGACAAACTAGTCCTAATGCACGGCGTACCGCTTACCTTGTGTGTACTCATCCCCGTTAAATACCTCGCCACAGGTATGACATACCTGGATATGAGCACATACTTTGGTGTACCGAAAACGGTCTGCCATTCGATCGTGGACCGCTTCCTCCTCTCCTTCCCAAAACGATACAAGGAGACATGGGTGCGTTTCCCCACACGTAACGACATGGCCGAGATGGCCGCTGAGTTCCGCAATGCGCGCGGTCTCCCGAACGTCATTGGTGCGGTCGACGGGACCCACCTGCAGGTGAGAGGCATTAACGACTACCGTTCCGAATACTACTGTCGGAAACAAATGTACTCGGTGCAGTTGCAATTAACGGTTGATGCGCGCTGTAGAATATGGGATTACGTTGTGGGGTGGCCGGGCTCGGCTCATGACACCCGGGTGTTTTCCAAGTGTGCTTTATTCAACCGGATGGAGAAGGGAGACATTGCATCATACCACATCCTAGGGGATGCTGCCTACCCTTTAAAAGACTTCTGCCTTGTACCCGTCCATGCAAGCAAAGAACGGATCCTAAGCGGATGGGAACAGAGTTACAACTATGTGCACTCTGCCACACGCATGGCAGTCGAGAGAGCCATAGGCATGTTTAAAGGAAGATGGCGAATTTTTCAGTCCTGCCATGGCGCCCGACTGTGGAGGGTGTGTGCTGGGGCGGGATGCGCAGTGGTGCTCCATAACATGATACAGGGTCAAGAGGCTTGCCGAAAGCGGTCGAGAGGGTGCTCGCAAGACGGGACGACGCGGAACCTGAAAAGATGGTGGGAGATGCCGGAGATGCAGTCGTACGTATGGCCTCCCGCGGCCCCCACCACGCGGGAAGCGCTTGTTGCACGGCGTCGTGACTTCGGTATGCACGCCCATGCGGCGTGGCTCAGGCGGCATGAGGAGCGCGACCATCAAACGGAGGGGCGGTGAAGTACCAATGCCCGTCAGGGCCCAACACGACAGTCGCCTGGGTTGGGCCCGCTGATGCTGACTCGTACCCCGTCGTGCGCACGGGGACTTGGTGCCCGGACGCAGTGTACCACGGCGAAATGGGTGGGCCGTGATGCACCGTAGGCTCTGGGCAGGGCGGAGAGCTGTGACTAGCCGTCCCGCGGCCACCAGGTGACGGGGATGCGCTGAGGATTCCCGCGGTCGCGCATGGCCGCGGTGAGGGCGAGTTGGTGTAAGCGGGCTGCGGCACGAGTCGCTCCAGGACGTCGACGAGGCGACCGAATGCGACCTCCTGACGTTCAGCCCGCTCATGCATGAGTCGGGTCATCGCGTCCGCGACTAGGACGTGTCCGGAACGGGAGGGTGATTCGACGCCCTTCTTCTTTGCTGGAATGTGGGCGGCCGAGCCGTCCGTGTCTAGGGGGGGGGGGAACGGAGATGGGAGCATGTTGCATAGGCATAGGCTGTACTGATTTGCAATGGCCGTAGACACAACATTTGCGGTTGATATGATGTGTAGTAAGTGATACACTTACTGACTCTACTCACCCCCCTCGGTTGGCGCCTGTGCGGCTGTCCCTTGAGTCGTCGCCTCCTGTGCGGCGCGTGGTGCACGTGAGCTTGTAGGTCCCGCATTCTCCGTCCTTGCCCCACCCTCGTCGACGACATGCAGGTCGGGCGCGCGAGTCGACCGCCAGTAGTTCCACACGTGCGGATACCACTCGGGCTTAGGCATGGGGTTGCTGCCGGATTTCGCGTCAGCTACCTCGATATCCTGCATCCGCTTTGAAAGATACTTCCATTTTTTTTGCATCGCGACAATTGGGCGATTCCATTCCGGATTAGCGCGCTTCATGACTAGATGAAGTTTCTCCCATGGTTGTCCACCTTGCTTTCCTTTCAGCTTGACAAAATCCTCTTTCGCTGCCCACATCGCCGCAGCGAGCTCGGTAAGCTCACCTTCGCGCCAGTATTTGTTTGTCGGGTCCGCTCCAACGGCGGTGCTCTTGCATTTCAGGTCCGAGCGGTCTTGGAGTTTGTCGGAGTCATCAGCAGTCGCGTCGTCAACATCATCGGCCGCATTTACGTCGTCGTAGACGCCGTAGCTTCCGTCATCGGTGTTGACATCGTCGGCAGCGTCTGGAGCATCCAGGCTGGCGTAAGAGTCCTCGTCGGCCGGCTGGTCGCTGGCTGAAGAGGCTGGCCCGTTGCCGGATAACGACTCCTTCCGCACTGGAGATCGCGTCAAGCCAATCAGCCGAATGCGACTGATGCCACGCTTCTCCAAGTCTTCGAGGTAACGAATCATGGGGGGCGGCCGACAGGGCACGTCGACATGCACCTCCTTGGACTTGCGCTTACTACTGTTGTGCATATGCTTGGGAGCCATGCCTCGTTACGACGGCGGACGCAGTTTTTTCAGTGGGTGTGTCGAGTAGTGAATTCGAAGAGATTCGGGTCACACATTTGTATCCGCAAGCCACACGCTGCTCTGTGCTTGTGCTGCTGTTGGTCCACCAACTCGCGATGCCTTTGTTGCTGTGCGCTTCGATGCAGGCTTTCAATGTCAAATTTTTGGTGGCAACGGAACTTCTGCCAAAACAAGCGTGCCGTCAGTTGTCGCGGTCATGTACGACCAAAACTGCGCTCTCTCGCATTCCATTCAGCGACTCGCCAGACGATTTGATTTGCCGCGAATGGGTCCCGTTCGCAAATTGTCGCTGCCTGGTCGCCCAGTTTTTCGCAGAAAGGTTGGCCAAAGTTCACCTACCACAACTTTTGCCAACCAAAACCTCAAACTTTGGCCAAACTTCCGCTAACGTGGCGAGTCGGTCGGCCAAACTTCAACTCGGCCAAACTTCAGACCGCGGCCTAAGTCGAAATGGCACTCGTACCAATACCATTTACACTAGTAACTGCAATACATGTTAATTCACAATTAGGGAGGCCCTAGCTTTCAGGCATCCACTAGAACAGAGAATAAACTTTACGCTATATACTAACCAAGTTATGAGATTCCTACACTATATCGTTCATGCAGGTGCAGGAAGACGAGCTTGGGGAGAGACGAAGCGTGTTTGGAAACTCATGGTAACCACATCCTGGGGGTTAACTTCCACATCATGCCTGAAAGACGCATCCACAGAACAAACGAGCACAAGAGATTAGGATGGAATGGTGTTGAACGCACCATATGCAAGAACATTGAGCAGGGGAGAAGAATGGGCAGATGGAGAAGGCGTCACAGATGGAAATACTCACATGAACACGAATTCTGGGATGGTTATCTGTTCTCGTGATACATGTCTGAACAGCTCGAGCAATCTGCCCACGTACTTCACCTTCTTGAACACCTGAAAGCACCAACAAGGTCAAGCGATCACATGGGCTTGAAGCAATTGAGACGTGAGAATCTGCACTAACCGACTAGAAGCTGCAACCCGCATTTCTCAAGCATTGCTTACCAACGGGTCCACCAGCAGTTGCATGCCCCACACGGTCCCTTTGAGCCGCACGTCCGGATGCACTGCATACACCGTCTGAACCACCAGGGGAAAAGCAGGGAGAGCTTGAGCTTGAAGCAGCCAACACATCAACACCTAGCAATGCCTCAGAAAAAAACGCCATAGCGATAACTCAGCCAGCCTCTGGCATGCCATACCACCTACATGCCAACAGAACAAGACGCCAGAGCACTCACATGCAAATTGGTTCTGAATTTTGGCCCGAGCACATTGAGAAGGCGCTTCATCCAGCCGAAGTCAGCCACGCTGCATGGGGTTGGGAAGTGAAGAAAAGGTGACACACTTGGTAAAGCTATGGGCATTGAAAGGGTTAGCAGATAAGGGCATGCCATGCTACGCTGTAAGTACCATGGTGCAAGGAGTGCAACGTGAATGGAAATGGATGCCAGACGGCATGTTAGTTAACACGGTGCTGAAAATCTGACAGCAAAATGCTCCCATACAGAGCTGATAAGCAAGGGCAACTCACGCTGGCAAGGCAGTGGCGGCATGGAAATAAACAATGGTGAAGGGGCGGTTGATGATGGGCTCAAACTCCTGTGGGGAAGACACACATGGTGTGATTGCGAAATGGCCACAATGGGGATACAAACGAGAATCAGCATCACATTATGAGAAACAAGCTGGAGTACCAGTGGACTGAAGCCATGAATCACTAGCAATGTTGATTGACCTGCCTCCATGCCCCCCCCCCCCCTCCCCCACCCCCCCCACCTTGACGGCGTGGAAGATGAAGCTCTCGAGGTCCAGGCAGCGCACGAGGAAGTGCGCCCCCACCACCACCATCACAGAGCGCCCTGCTGAATCCGTGCCACCCCGATACCTGCGTGCGGGAGTCAGGGGCAGGAGACATGAGGCTGCCGCGCACAAATGGGCTGCCTCCATGCAACAAGCAGCAGCCCAGCCAGAAAGTAGCCAGCAACCGGCAGATAGCAAAAGACAGCCCGCGAGCAGCAGGTGAGATGCACTGCTCGCACTCACATGATGCGCATGTCCTGCATTGCGCATGTCCTGCACTCACATGATGCGCATGTCCTGCACTCACATGATGCGCATGTCCTGCACCTCTGACAGGTCCAGCTTCTCTGCGCGTGCCAGGTAGCGCCCGTGCAGGGCCAGCTGCTCGCCTGCGGTGAGCAGCGACACCACGGTGTCGCCCAGGTCCAGCCCCAGGCAGCGCGCCCACAGCCAGATCCACCCCGTCTGCGCCGACGCCACAGCGTGCTCGCGCTGCTCCACGCGGCGCTGGTCGGGGTCCTTGGCCATGCTGATGAAGGCCGGGTCCAGCAGCGAGTCGTCCAGCGGCGACGACAGCGACAGCAGCCCCGATGACTGCGCTGGGATCACCGCACTCGACGTGCTGCTTGCACGAGGTGGGGAGGAGGAGAAGGTCCAGGGATTCAGGAGGGGAAAGGGAGAAGGGGGAAAGCGAAACAGGTATAGATTTGGAGGAGCAGATAGACGGCATGGAGCGATTGGCATGGGGCGAATGGCAGTTCAGAGCTCCAAGGCTGCTGCTGCATCGACCTGGCAGCGGGGGTCCCGTTGGTTTGGCCGGGCATCTTGGAGATGCGGATCATGCGCTCCGCGATCACGATCTCGCCGTTCTCATCGCCCACGTCCGCCGGCAGCAGCCCCTGCGCCGCCGCCTCCTCCGCCGCGTCGCGCGGGAAGTACAGCGGCAGCAGCCTGCATGGCAGAGCAGTGATGGGGGGGGAGGAGTGGGGGGGGAGAGGGGGGGAGCAAAATGAGACCAGGGAGAGAGGAGAAGGGAAGTGCAAGGGGAGGAGAAGGTTGAAGGGGGGCGGAGGACGGTAACGGCGAGCAGCAGATAGGGGGTGTGCCGTGGGTGCTGGGAGGTTGGGTGCTGGGAGGTTGGGTGCTGGGAGTTGGGCGGTGGGCGGTGGGCGGTGGGCGGTGGGCGGTGGGCGGTGGGAGGTGGGCGGTGGGCGGTGGGCGGTGGGCGGTGGGCGGTGGGCGGTGGGCGGTGGGCGGTGGGCGGTGGGGGGTTACCGTTTGTAGATGTCGTGGTCGTCGTCGGACTGGATGCAGAGCACCACGGCCGTCATGCCCCGCCCGTGCTTCTCCAGAAACCGGCGCACCGTGCCTGGTGGCGGCAACAGGGGGAATGGGCGCAGAGCAGGGCAGCAAGTGGAGTCTCTGACGGGGTTCAAATCCTCGATTCTTGCCTTTCCTTCTCGAGAAGGGGATGAGGATAACAAGAAACAAGAATGGATTGGCAAAGGGCGCTCGCAGCGGGGGACATAAGAGGCAAGGCAGCGGGTGTCCAGAAGAGTGGGCGCAATGGCACTGCGTGATGCGCGGCGCACTCAAGGGGATTGGCTTACGGATGGCCACGTGTGCAGCGGGCTCTCGTGGATAGCCCTTCGCCTCCGAGTAGATGGGCGCCAGCGCAATGCTGCACGCACATGCACATGCACATGGAGGGGGACCGACGGCCAGGGGGGGGGAAGAGACGGGAGAAGAAGGAGAAGGATTAGGGAGGGTCGGATCCTAGCACCCTTGCATCTTCATCTCTCACTATCTCTCTCGCTCTGAGTCCACCGTCAACTCCCCTCATTCCTGGCTATTTCTCCCTATCTCCTCCCCCTTCCCCCTCCCCCTTCCCCTCCCCTTCCACCCATTCACCCCCCCTCCCCACAACCCCCCCACCTGCGCAGTTCGTTCTCCAGCAGCAGCTCGAGGCAGATGCGGTAGCAGCGGCTCAGCGCGTTCTCCGCGGCCGTCTGGTACTTGTCCGTGTACCGCGGCCCCACCGTGTGGATCACGCGCCTGCCACCCACCACGCACGCACGCATGCACGCGGGGTTGGGGAGGGCGGGGCGAGCAGAGAGTTGGGCAACAAGATGAGGCGCGTTTGTGTGAGGACGAGGCTGCAGGAGGTGGCCGGGGCGCCCAGCGGTAGCGGCGGGCTCACCTGGCGGGCAGCTCGTACGCGCCTGTCATCTTCGCCTCGCCCGTTCTGCACCCTCCCTGCCACGCACACCGCACCGCACAGCACAGCACAGCACGCACATTCACGTGCGTGAGAGCAGGCGCCCATTCGCAGCCGCACACGACTACAAGTCCGTTGCTACCAACTTTCTTCCTCCATGGCACAGTGCCGTTCACGAAAACGGGAAAGGCAAGAGGCAGAGGGGCAAGGGGCGTGGCACGGACCAGCGCGGCACATTCCTCGGCGAGGCCGGGGCCAGCGTCGTCGTGCAGGCCGGGCGTGGAGAAGGCGGGGTCCAGCGCCTCGCTCGTCGAGTTCACCACGGCGTCCACCTCCAGCGCCCACGGCCACCCGCGCCACACGTATATCTTTGCGTTCAGCTCCGCGCTCACGGGGAACTTCGCCGAGCCCCCCGATCCGCGCCCGCGGCCGCGCAGCTCCATGCCGCGCTCCGTCAGCGGGTCGTCGAACCCGCCCGCCTCCTCGTCGCCCGCGTCACTCGTCGCCGCGATCGCCGCCGCGTAGCTCGGCGCGCCTGCCGCGCCTGCCGCGCCTTCCAGTGCAGCGTACCCCGGGGGCGCCAGTCCCGGCGCGTCAAGCCCCATGAGGTCCGCCGCCAGCGCCATGTCGTCGAGCGCCGTGCCGCCCAGCGACGCGGAGGCGAAGTCCTGCTCCGTCCATCGCGGCACCTGGTCCAGCTTCACCACGCCCGGCGCCGCGAGCTTGCCGTGCATCATCGTGGGGAGTAGGGCTGCCTTGTCCCCGCTCAGCCACACGCACAGTGCGGAGGGGAGGTGGAAACAAGAGGGAAAATAGTGCAAGGCTAAGAGACTCCGACGCTGAACATTCTATCCGCGGGAAACTACCAACACTTGTCACAACCCAAATCTCGCAGTAGTTTTCGTTAGGAAGATGAATCTGCTGCCTGCGCGCTAACTCTAGGTGCTGGGCCTATGCTGCTGTCCTAGCTCGCTCTCTAGTTCCCTAAAAGTTGGATGGGTGCTGGTGGGCTTGACGAAAAGCACAGAAAGAAAATGGCATTAGAGCACGGTTTTATACGATGCAGAATGTTATGTAGGATACCTGGGATGCTGGGTGTCAGATCACTCAAGGGGGAGGTTCAAGGTTCCGCAAAGCGAGGAAGTCTCCCGCCGCTCCGTAAATGCACACGCATCCCTGCCACTCAATAATGTCACTCTGACTGCGAACAAATCTCTCGGAGGGAGAATGTGAATTGTAGCGTAGCACGTATATACTTGGTGTGTTGCGGAGTGTATTTCACTGAAGTACACAGCGTGGTGCTTCAAACGCGCACGCTCTCCACACCACACCATCGAGGCGCGAAATCTAGAATGCAGGAGCGCTCCAGGCCAGGGGCGCACGACTACCACACACGCTCGCACCCAGTTGCTTCTCCCTCGACTCAACCTCACCTCATTTGCTTCAACATGCCATGGACGGCAGGGCGCTGTGGCTTCCCTTCAACCCCCATGGCCATCACAGCAATCCCACTTCATCCGTGCCATTCCGACCTCGCGGATCATGATACCATCACACGACAACAATGCGTAGCCTGATGCTGACAAGTCCTGCTTCGTGGTAGACTCCGTCCGCGTGTCCTGATCAACTCGTTCAGGAAAGGTCGCCGTGCAGTCATGGCGCTCGCGCACATTAGGGTTAGTCTATGGCAGCAGATCGTCGCGTGTATCCGCATCTTGTGGGAGATCATCTACCAGCGACGGGTGATCAAGCGACGAGGGATCGCGGAGTGGGCGTGCGACCCCAGCATCCGGGGGAAGACCGTCATCGTGACTGGCCCCACCAGCGGCATTGGCTTAGAGATCGCCAAGTAAGCACCTCAATTCGTGGCTCAAATGGCTGCTCCAAACGCCATAGCAAGAACTTCCTTTGGGTGAGCAGTCCTTTATGCCCGTTAGTGCCCGCTGAGTCGTCGCCACTTCCCCGTGCATTCCCTGGCCGCCCTGCAGGCGGCTGGCGCTGGCTGGAGCGCACGTGGTGCTGGCGTGCCGGCGGCCGGACGCAGCCAAGAGGCTGATCGCGGAGTGGCAGGGCGAGGCGGGCAGCGCGAGCGACGTGAGCTGCGAGGTGCGGCAGGTGGACCTGGAGTCGCTGGCGTCCGTGCGCGCATTCGCGCACGCGTGGGAGGCGGAGCGGCGCCCGCTGCACGTGCTCGTCAACAACGCGGGGATCTTCTCCATGGGAGGTGCGCGCGCCATGGGAGGTGCATTCGGCATGGGAGGTGCATTCCCCATGGGAGGTAGTCACACCATCCGTGCTTGTGTCCGTGGCAGGTAGTCACTCACCGTCGCCTGGTCGAGACACCTCACAAGCCACCCTGCCTCCCTCCTTCTCCCCCTTCTCCCTCCTTCTCCCCCTTCTCCCCCTTCTCCCCCTTCTCCCCCTTCTCCCTCCTTCTCCCCCTTCTCCCCCTTCTCCCCCTTCTCCCCCTTCTCCCCCTTCTCCCCCTTCTCCCTCCTTCTCCCTCCTTCTCCCCCTTCTCCCCCTTCTCCCCCTTCTCCCTCCTTCTCCCCCTTCTCCCCCTTCTCCCCCTTCTCCCCCTTCTCCCCCTTCTCCCCCTTCTCCCCCTTCTCCCTCCTTCTCCCCCTTCTCCCCCTTCTCCCCCTTCTCCCCCTTCTCCCCCTTCTCCCCCTTCTCCCCCTTCTCCCCCTTCTCCCCCTTCTGCCCCTTCTCCCCCTTCTCCCCCTTCTCCCCCTTCTCCCCCTTCTCCCCCTTCTCCCCCTTCTCCCCCTTCTCCCCCTTCTCCCCCTTCTGCCCCTTCTGCCCCTTCTGCTCCCCTGCGCCGTGGCCCCAGCGCCCCAGCGGCTGACGGGCGAGGGGCTGGAGGAGCACATAGCGGTGAACTGCGTGTGCCCGCTGCTGCTCTCGCTGCTGCTGCTGCCCTCGCTGCGCCGCGCCCACGGGGCTCGCATCGTCAACGTGTCGTCCACTGTGAGTCAAGCTGAGCGCTCTACCGTAGCGCATGCAGGCTGCTGCAGAACCTGTGTCTTCCCGCTTGAACCCCATTCGCTGAAACGCTCTAGCGGGGGCATCACGAACGCTGTTCAAGAGCAGCCCATGCATTCACCACAGCTCCGCCATCGTGGTGGGTGGTGGGTGGTGGGTGGTGGGTGTGCTCCACCTCCCGTTGACCCCCCTCCACCACGTACCACCCCCTGCCCCGCCACCAGATGCACGCGTGGGGCGACCTGGACGTGGGCGACCTGAGCTTCAAGGGCCGCCGGAGGCGCTTCAACGCCACGGCCGCGTACAACCAGAGCAAGCTCGCCCAGGTGCGCTCTCTGCTCTCATTGCGTACATCTCCTTTACCTCTTCTGACATTTGCACCCAGTCACTGCCTCCTGCATCCAGTGCATGCTTTCTCTCTCCGCAGCCCACCCGTTCCCCCTGCCAACTCCCTTTTCTCCCCCGCCTTCTTCCTCCTCCTCCTCCAGAGCCCCCCCGCGTCCTTAGCCCCTCTCGTCCCTGCGTGCCCTCCCACCAGCTGATGCTGACGAACCTGCTACAGCGCCGCCTGCCTGCCAGTGCTCGCATTGACGTGATCGCCGTGCACCCAGGGGAGGTGCTCACCAACGTGGTGAGTATCATGCATCCTGGCCACACTCTCTAAAGCACTGCTGCCACCTGCACCATGGCGCCCTGCATCTCTTTCCTGCTCCTTCACCAGCACACCTGCATGCGGATTGCTCCATCCTGCATGCTCTGCCGCGTCTTTCTTTGTCTCTTTGCCCTGGGCGCCCATGCAGGCGCGCACGCTGCCCAAGGCCATACAGCGGCTGCAGAGTGCCGTCATGCACGCCGTGCTGCTGGAGCCATGGCAGGGTAAGGCACAGACGTGCATACATGCGGTGGGGGATTACTAGCATTCCTGCTACACTCTAGGAATCGGTAAAGGTGCACAGTCCATTGGTAAAGGTGCACAGTCCATTGGTAAAGGTGCACAGTCCATTGGTAAAGGTGCACAGTCAATTGGTGACCTCTCTTAGACATTTCCTGTGCTGATGTCCTCCTCTTCCGTACCTTTGATGTTCATTGCCCCATGCCGTCACTAGCTTCCAACGCACTACCCCCCGCCCCTCCTGCCATTCACCTTCCCCATGCCCCAGGCGCGCTCGCCCCTCTGTACTGCGCCACACACCCGGCGGTGGGCGAGCATGCGAGGGAGGTGCGCGAGAGGGGCCTGTCATCAGGACCATACTTTGACTTCGACGGGAGCAGGGGCGAGGTGGCACCGCATGGCTGCAACAAGAGGGTAGCAGAGGAGCTGTGGCGCGTGGTGCTGGACACAGTGGGGCTCGATGCGGTGGACGTGGCTGCGATGATCAGTGCTCTTGGGGAGTAGCACTGCCTTGGTGGCACCATGTCACGGTTCCACCATTTCTAAGAACAAGGCAGTGAATGGTGTGTGCATATGTATGTGAAACGGAGGGTCGCCCTATGGAATGTGGAACGAGACGTGCTGCTGAAGGGGCGACTCAATGATTCGACAACCCGTGAGCATGATGCAGCCATGTTGACAGGATGGTTGATGGCCTCCGTCGCATTGCCCTCAACCAACCACGGTCACCATGGGTCTTTTCTTATGCAGCCCAGCACAGCTCACTGGTGATGGTTCATGACGGCTGACGCATGTCCCTACCTAGAACCCACTAGGCTGCAGCAAGCCAGTGCTGTCAGGCATACGACACCTTTGGCACGGTGACACATGCAATACAGCCAGGGGGCGAACAACAGATGGTGCAAAATGCAACCCACAAATGCCATGTGCACACCACCCTCCAAGCAACATGCAGCCTGAGGGGTGAGCTGCTGAATGAGGGCGTATTCCTACGAATCGTGTTCAGTACCACGATAGCCAAAAATGCTCTTGAACTCCGTGCTGTAATTGCCGATTTACAGGGAACGCTGTTCAGTACCAGGAAAGCACGATTTGCAAGCGTGTGGCACGGTTCGGATGATTTGTTTCGACGGAATTGATTGGCACACCGGATGCATGCGACGTGCCAAGTGCTGTTCGCGAATTTGATTGAGCGACCAAATCGGCTTCTGGTCCTGGTACTGGACTCGGTAAGAAAGTTCATTCACAGTGTTCAGGAGGAACCCATTTTCCGTTGCTGGTACTGAACACCACTCGTAGGAATATGCCCCCAGACTAGAGTTCTTGTGCAAAGAAGAGCAAGAATACTTGGTACTTGTGCACGTGCACGGTTGCACTGGGGACTGCCCTGGAACGCAGCTGGCACTCAACTCAACGGCCTGCGATCCTTCATCCCTCTCAAGGCCTGGGAGGAGGGGGAGGGGACCGGCGGCGAGGGGGAGGGGGGCGAGCAGTGGGAGGAGGTGGAGGGGGGGACTTGCCGGGAGCACGAGGGGGAGGGGGGGGGCTATTGGGGGCAGGGGGAGGGGGAGGGGAATGAGGAGGCGGAGGAGGGGAGGGGGGTGAGGGGGGAGCGGGAGGAGATGCAGGGGCGGGAGCCGGGGGCACGGTGGGAGTGTCGGGGTTCCAGAGCGCCCTGGCGACGCGGAAGGTGCAGGAGCACGGCTCTGACCCGGCCACTACACCTGCGCTCACACGTCTTGCTCCCTGCGAGACATCGCGGGGGCTCTCATCCCCCCCCGCCACTGGGCCTTGCAGCGCGGCAGGGTGCAGTGCCTCTCTGCTGCCCGGGACGTGGGCCGTGCTGCCGTGCTCTGGTCCAGCCATGCCGGCCCCATAGCTGCTCTCCCACACCAGTGTGAACTTGCCCTGGCTCTCCAGCAGCCCTGCAGCAGTGACACATGAGCATCAGCGGAGGGCACGGGGAAGGTGGCAGTAGATCAGGAGAGAGTGGAGGTGTGCACTGCAATGCAGAGAGTGCAAGCACAGCGCACATGGCTGCAACGTACCATTCAGTTCCCAGAACTTGAAGACGCCACGCGTCACCACGATGTAAGGCAACGACCCCAGGCTGTGTGTGGCGGCGGCAGCTGGGTGGCTGGCCTCCTGCAGCGCTGTGGCATGCCACGTGGCGGCCTGCAGCACGAGCAGCTGCTGCATCACGGGCTGCAAGATGAGGCGGCGCCCCGTGATGGGGTGCAACCACGCCGCCGCCTGGGAGGCGCTCTCAAGCGCCAGGGGCGGCGAGTCCGGGGGGAACACGACAGCGCCGGGAGCAAAGATGTGAGCGGCGGCGGTGGCGTTGCCGTTGAGCAGCGCCACGGTGAAGGCCGCCAGGGCCGCCTCCACCTTCCACTGCGCGCACCCCCCGCACGCCACTCCACCCACCTCACTCCCCGCCGTGCCCACCTCATGCTGCTCTGCGCCGCTGCTGCCACCCGCCTCACTGCCTGCATCACCGGGCGGAGCACTCGCCTCTGGTCCGGACATCAGCTGTCTGCCTCCGCCCCTACCAATGCTCGCCAAAGCGCTCGCCTCCACAAGCCTCTCTGCAGCGCCCCACGCGGTGTGGTGCGGTGCTCTGTGGTTCTGGCAGGTCCTGTTGGCGTGGTTCCACGCAGCCCAGTCGAGGCGCCACACCTTGGACTTGTCGTTGAATATCCCTTGCGAATGCGAGGCGGCGCTGCTGCAATCATGCGGCGCCTTGCCTCCCTGGGCGTCAAGACGCTCTGCTCCACCCCCCCTGCTGCTCGCCGCCTCAGCGCTCCTGTGCCACACGGCGATGATGGACCCCTCCACGCCCGCACACTCCCCCAACGACGCCTCACCTCCCCACTCCCCGACCCCTCCATCTGCTGCCGCCCCCTCAACATCCCCCTCGCCTCCTGCTGCCGCTTCCTCTCTCTGCAGCCTTTTCCCATCGTAGTTGGCGGCGAATCCGATCCGCGTCACCGCGAACACCTCGCCGCCGCGCAGCACCTCCCCGCCATTACCGCCGAATCCTCCTGGGCTTCCCCCTTTCACCCCCTCCAGAGTCGCCGCTGGATCCACTCCTCGCTCCAACCGGATTGCATCCCTCACGCGCCCCGCCTCGCCCTTACCCACCCACGCCTCGACGACACTAAAGCGCACCCTCACTCCCACGCCCAGCAGCTGCTGCACCAGGCTTAGGCGCTGCGCGGTGGAGTTGAGGAGCAGCTCGGGGGAGTGGGGCGGAAGGATCAGAGAAGATTCGGGGAAGAAGTCCAGAATGCCGCACGCGTCGCCGGTATTGATGGCGAAGGCGAGATCGCTGAGCGACTCGGCGATGTTTGCGACGACCTCGCGCGGGTCTACCGAACCTAACGAGGTGTCAGGCTCGGTAGCCGACCAGATTCCAAATTCAGCGCTGCTGAGGGGCAGCTTTGGGAGCAAAAGCGCAAGCAAGGATAGCGGCAGCAGCAGGCGGAATGGGAGGGATGCGCGACATTGCGCGGCGGCGCGCGGTGGGAGAGACGTCATTGCGACTTCACATGCGTGGTAGGAGCGCGAGGAGGAACGAAGAATGAAGCGGAGAATTCAGCTATGGTAAGGGGGAGAATTCAGCCATGGGGAAGACCTCTCCGCCACCACATCAGAAACTTGAGTTTTGACAAGTGCATTTGTTTGTGAATTCCGTAGCTACGCTTGACGTTCAGTGGAGCACTCATTAACGAGTCTCGGCTCAGTGATCCAACCAGAATGCGTCCAGCAAATGAGGGGCTTGCGCGGGCAGCCAATGTGTGCGCATGGGCATCCAGGCACCCCATCCCATGATCCCACCCATGATCCCACCCATGATCCCATCCCGCCCGCCCCGCCCACCATCACTGACAGCAGCCGCGCCGAGGCACGCGAGCGAGCGGGAACATTCCTCCCACTGCACAGGCGGCTCTGCGGCATCCGCGCAGCATGGAGCGGTGCATCAACCCAACCAAGATCCTCTGCTCCGTCCTTCTGCCTCAGAACATTGGTTGAGAACGATCCGTGTGGAGGTAATGTTTCACGTTTCCCAGTCTGCTCGCTTCCATGGCTAGAGGTTAGCAGTCTGGGAAGGGCACCAGTTTCTGCATCTTTCGCGTCGCTCATTAGTCGAAAGGGAACTAGTCGCACAACGGTTCCATGCGTTCCCAGCTCAGTCCGTGTGTCTTGGTCGCCTTCGAAGAGTTTAGGCATATACCTGTTCCTAGGGATTCCCACCTCGTCACCTATCGCATTCGCATATCTCGTGAGCCTGGTTATGTGGGGTTAGCATCCCCTTCTGCGAGCCATGCTTTCCCGCTAATAAATGTCTCCGAATTCCCACGCACGGATACAACGAAATCGTTTTCGATACTACAATATCTCTGCACATACAGTACACAGTCCGATATTCAAATATCTCGGTCTCTCAGTTCGCGGACAGCGGAGTGTATTTGAAGTTCTTGAACGTCACAGTAAACGGCTGCGCGTTCAAGGAGACAATCGTCAGGTCATGACGGATGGCTGCAAATAGAATATCCTACGAGACTGTTAGTGAAGGCGACATCAAGAAATTCACTGGAAGGCGTGCTTACAGCGTATTCGTAGTTGACGGGGATGCGGGCGGTCCTGGGTCCCGTGGCCCAGGGGGAGGCGTCCCAGATGCTGAAGTAGACCTTCATGGGGTCCTTGGGGTAGTCGGCGCTGCTCTTGCTCACCGTGCGGATGTTCACGCCGTCCACCAGCCACCTGGCACCGTGATGCAAAGTAAGGCCTTGTTTGGTAAGATGCCCGAGTGTTGGAGTTGGTAAGATGCCCGAGTGTTGGAGTGAAGCTCTGTGCGTCCGCTCTGACAGGCAGTGGCAGGTTTTTTTTCTAAGAGATGCAACCAGGAGTTTCGGGTACTGTGGCTGATAGACACTTACACTGTGCTTTGCGGGCCCCACTGAATCGCGTATGTGTGGAACGCGGCAGCAGGGTCGAATGCGAAGGCCGTGAGGACCTCCTGGTCGCCCTGGCCGTTCATGAAGACGTTCGTCTGCAGCGTCATGCCACGCGAGTTGTTCGGCGACCCCAGAAACTCGAAATCCCACTCGTCGCGGTTATCGTAACTCCCCGATTGGAGCTGCGGAGACGTGGAAACGCGTGTGTAAGGACATGCAACAAAAGAAGTTTCCGGCTGGCTTCGAATCGAACTTCAACATGCGCGAACTGCGCGAACAGGCTGTCACGAGTTGTGCTGACGTCGACTTGGAGCGAGAAAGGGGCACGTACGAAGAAAGTGGCGCACACCCCAGCGGAGTACCCTCTCGGCATCTTGGCGTCCACGCTGAAAGTCCCGAAGCTGAACGCCCGCCGCGATTCGAAACCGGCGCCTGCACGCCGCCGGATAGAAAAAGCGCGCTGTCAGACGTGCTGCTTGCTAGGTTCGTGGGTTTAGGCAGCTGCACTTCCAGCCCTTTCCGCCTGCGTCAAGCTTCGCGGATTCTTGGGCTCTCTTATTCACGGATGCTTACCTCCAACGCGGTCCAGCGTGAGGGAGATGGCGCCGCCGTCATTGACGTCGAGGTTCTGCATGGAGCTGAAGGAGAAGAGCCCGCCGAACAGGCTCGACGTGCTGCCTGCCGTCGATGACTCTGGGAGCACGCGCCTGGATGCCGCTATGAACGGCCAGGATAGGCCGAGCAGAGCAAGCCCCAGCACAAGCAAGGTACGACGGAGAGGAGTTGTGAGGATAGCCATGAGTCAGCGACCGGCGTGCTAGAACTTGAAGAACGGTGAGCGACAAGGCGGGATGGAACAGTTGAGGGAGATGCTCTGACTGAGCGATGGTTTGAATGCAGGAGCCATGGCGGACTTTATAGCCCAGCGGCGAGGCCCGGCCGTTGCTTCCAAGGACCGTAGCAGCCTCTAAGAGCATGGCGGTGGGGGCGTTGTGTTTTGTCAATAGCACTTCTCGAGGAAAACTGCAGAGTCTAGAGAGCAATTGGCGGCACTGTTCTATTACTAGGTTACAATAATATAACGCTCTTTCGACAAATGTGGGTGTTTGGTCTAGTGGCATGATTCTCGCTTAGGGTGCGAGAGGTCCCGAGTTCAATTCTCGGAACACCCCCTTGATCGTGTTTTCCTGCGCACTGCCCGTGTTTTGCCGCCCCCCAACAAGCGCACATCACTCAGCGCCAAATTGCCCCCTCGTCGCAAGCATTTCGCCGCATCCTAAAACAGTAAGCCGCCCCTATTTTAGTTCCAGCCGCCCCTATTTTAGTTCCAGCCGTGCCTTCGTGTGCCTAGACAAGCTGGCTGTGGGCAGCGTGCTCGCTCGACATTGACGCCATCATTGGCGTGGCGGCATTGCCATTGGCAGACAGGTTCCCATCTCTCACGCAAGGTCACTAGGTGTTACCCGTTATTACGCATGGTAGCCAGGCGTGAGGCGCAGCGATGTTTCCGCAGTGGCCGCTGCTCTGCTGCTGCCCCTGCTGCTGCGGCCTCTGGACCTACCGTCGTTGCACGCGCTCTGCCGAGGCAACCAGCGACCAATGGCCGCTCGCCACGTGTGCCGAGTTCCACGACGTGCCTCGCCTCTGCCACCTCCTCAGCGCCGTCTATCAAATGCAGCGCGCCGAGCCGCATTTTAGAGGGTTCATAAACGAGGAGTGCGTGGCCAGTCGCGCAGGGTACGAGGAGACCAAGGGGCGGTGCCCGCCGTACATGATCTACGTGGACCACGACGCGCGCGACATCTGCCTGGCGGTGCGCGGATTGAATACCGCGCATGTCGCCGACTACGAGGTCCTGCTGGACAACAAGAAGGGCGCCGAGGTGAGCGGTGCAGTGCGGTTCGAATGAACCTTCAGAAATGGGAATGAGGAACCTTGTCCTCCCTCGTCCGTTCCCCCGCATGCCGCAATCCGTCTCTCATTGTGCCCCAGGCGCTTCCCAGAAACGCGCCACCTCGCCTCGCCGGAGTCCATTTCAACAGATTTCACCCCCACCCCTCTCCACGCCCATGCCTGCACCTGCACTGCACTGCACCCTCTATGCCCCTCCACCCCCCCCCCTCCCCCCCCCCCACACCCCTTCCCCCGGCAGCGGTTTGACGGCGGGTTCGTGCACGGGGGCATGGTGCGGGCGGCGGCGTGGCTGCTGGACCAAGAGATGGGCACGCTGGCCATGCTGGCGCGCTGCCACTCCGCGTACTCGCTCACGCTAACGGGGCACTCGCTGGGCAGCGGGGTGGTGGCCATGGCGACGGTGATACTGCATGCCAGCAAGGGCGAGCTGGAGTTCAGCGCTGGGCGGCTGAGGTGCTTCTGCATGGCGCCCGCTCGCTCCATGTCGCTCAACCTCGCGATTAAATACGCTGACATAATTAATTCGGTGGTGGTGCAGGTGCAGCCATAGTGCCGTGCCATGAGAGTGCATGCCGCCCTGCAATATCTTTCTGTAGCTCCTTCTATTCCTCGCAACACACCTCTCTCCTCTTTTCCTCCCTGCTCACCCGGACACTCCTCCCCTCCGCCGCCACATGCCCCTCCCACCATCCCTCACCTTGCCTCAGGACGACTTTCTCGCGCGCACATCAGCTCCAGTTCGGTCGGCGCTCGCTGCTGGCTTCTGGTAACTCACCTGCTGCCCTGCTTACCTCTGGCTCATTCTGCTCGCCCGATTGTCATTGCTGTTCTCCTGCCCTAACCCCCTCACTCGCTCCCTCACTCCCGTGCAACTCTTACCACGACCTACCTTCCACAGCCTCCCCTGCATGCTGCTGCGCAAGTACTACGAGGACGCCCGCATCTCCACGGCCGACAAGCTCAAGGACCCGCGCCGCCTCTATGCACCCGGCAGGCTCTTCCACGTGCTGTACCGCCCGCACATGAGGTGAGGGCAGGCACGGGGTGTGGCGGTGAGGGGGGAAACAAGTGTGACTGTAAGAGAAGGTGCACGGTTCCTCAACACCCACAAGGCCCTATCCCTCTGGGAGACTTCACCACATGTTGTTCGGGCACGGAGTTATATAAGCAGTGTTCTGAAACGGCGTGGGGTGGGGATGGGGCCATGAGGTGGCGCATTCCTCTCTCAGGACGGTTTGTGTCCCGTCAACCCTCCCTGGGTCCGTTGCTGCACGCCGCACACCTCTCCCCTTGCCAGTGTCACCCAGCTGCCCCACCCCCTGGTGAAGACGGCGGTGCCGGTGGACGACCGCTTTGAGCGCCTGGTGCTCTCACCCTCGCTCATCCACGACCACATGATCGACCAGATCGAGACCAAATGCGCTCTCGCCCTCCATGTGAGACTTGCTTCTGTCGTGCTCTTCTCTGTTGTACGCACTCTGCATAGTCTACTGGCTTATTGTCACCTTTGTCGTCCTTCTTGCTGCCTCTTTTTTCTCACTCACACTCGCTCTTTTCTCACCCCTCACCTTGTCCCCCCCCCCCTCTCCCCCTCCCCGCGCCCCTTGTCCCCCCCCCCCCCAGGCCATGGAGGCGGAGCAGCAGGCGCAGCACGCGCCCCCCGAGCAGCAGTGCATGCAGCGCAGCGGGACGGCCAAGGAGCGGCGCGGCGAGCACCTGGAGGCGCTGGCCCGGGCGGTGTCGCTGCACGTGGCGCAGGCCGTGGACCCCCTCACCATGCCGCACACCCCCACAGATGAGGGCGCGCAGGCGGAGGGGGGGAAGATGGCGGGGGAGGAGGGCGAGCAAGGAGAGAAAGAGGGGGGAGAGGGGGGAAAGGGAGGGGCGGAGGGCGAACCGGGTAAGATGGAGAGGCAAGGGGACGGTGAGGCGGCAGAAGGAGGCATTGAGAAAATGAAGGCGGAGGTGGGGAAGGTGGTGGAGGTGGTTGCGGGCAAGTGGAGTGCAATAGTGGACGACCTGCTTGCCAAGGCAGCTTTAGAGGTCACCAGGGTGGCTCCAGGGCTGGCTGACGACAATGCCCACGAATGGAAATAATGGAAAACAGTGCCTCGGCTTGTTTGTATTCCGTTTTATTTATTCATGAGTTGATTACATTGTGCGTACATTCGTCACTTGCAAGGTAGTAGTCTCTTGGTTTTGTTTTGTACAGTGGCAGCTGAGAAGTACATTTGCTACACAACACCCACCTTTGCTCCATTGGTGGCTTTCGCGAAAGGCAAATACTGGTGCAGCAAACGTCGCGGACACCAATCCCAATGTTCCCCGCACACGCGCACGTCCCATCACCGCTTGCCATTCGTGCCGTCCGTGTGCCCCTTTTATGCGTGCTTGTACTTCGCTTCGCCCCTCCCCCTCCTAAAACAGGAATCTCTCCAATTTTAGTCATAGTGCTACTTACCTCCGGCTCGCACCAACACGGCACGTAACCCAAGCTGCTTCAGACTGTGAGCAACGTGCGCTGTCAACTCCGAGCCATTGCCGCTCGCACACAGGTCCCCGTATCCGACACGAGGTAACTGGGCCCCTAGTACCCGTAGTTCTACTATTAGCAATTAAGCTGGATAACGCGGCGATGTTTCCGCAGTGGCCGCTGCTCTGCTGCTGCCCCTGCTGCTGCCTCCTCTGGACCTACCGTCGCTGCACGCGCTCCAGCCAGGCTACCAGCGACCAATGGCCGCACGCCACGTGTGCAGAGTTTCACGACGTGCCTCGCCTCTGCCACCTCCTCCGCGCCGTCTATCAAATGCGCCGCGCCGAGCCGCATTTCAAAGGGCTCATAGACGAGAATTGCGTGGTTCGACGCGCGGGGTACGAGGACACCAAGGGGCGCTGCCCGCCTTACATAATCTACGTGGACCACGACGCGCGCGATATCTGCCTGGCGGTGCGCGGATTAAACCCCTCGCAGATCGCGGACTACGAGGTCCTGCTGGACAACAAGAAGGGCGCCGAGGTGAGCGGTGCAGTGCGGCTCAGAACGTTTCCAGCATTGGGGGGAGGGAAGGCGGTGGTGGGCATGGCTTCACGGGGAGAAGCGTTTGTGAAGGGGAAGGCAAGGCAGCACGGCACGCCCAGCCCATGCTTCCTTCAAACCCCCCCTCCACCTTGCCCTAACTCACCTCTCCTGACACCATAAGTTTTTGCTCTGAACCGGGCTGTTTACACTCTGACATGCTTGCACACTCTTTGCCCCTCACTCCTCCCCCCCCTTTCCCCTCCCTCACTCCTCCCCCCCACCAACCCCCTCCAACCGCTGCTTTGCAGCGGTTGGACGGCGGGTTCGTGCACGGGGGCATGGTGCGGGCGGCGGCGTGGCTGCTGGACCAGGAGATGGGCACGCTGGCCATGCTGGCGCGCTGCCACCCTGCGTACTCGCTCACGCTAACGGGGCACTCGCTGGGCAGCGGCGTGGTGGCCATGGCGACGGTGATACTGCATGCCAGCAAGGGCGAGCTGGAGTTCAGCGCTGGGCGGCTGAGGTGCTTCTGCATGGCGCCGGCGCGCTCCATGTCGCTCAACCTCGCCCTCAAATATGCTGACGTCATCAACTCCGTGGTGCTGCAGGCATGTGGCCGGGACAGGGTTTCGGTTTTAGGGGCATGTCTTGCCCTCCTTCTATTCTGCTCAGCACACCTCTCCTCTCCTTTCCTCCCTGCTCACCCCGAGGCTCTGCCCCTCCACCGCGTGCCCCCCTCCCACCATCCTGCGCCTCAGGATGACTTTCTCGCCCGCACCTCAGCTCCGGTTCGGTCCGCACTTGCTGCCGGCTTCTGGTAACTCGCTGGCTGGCTCCTGCTTGCATCCTGCCTTCCAATTTTAGAGCTTGCCTCCCTGGGCACACTCCCTCACTCGCTTGCCACTACCCTCGCATTGACGTTTCCTCACTCTCACCCCCCCTCCCCCCCCAGTCTGCCCTGCATGCTGCTGTACAAGTACTATCAGGACTCCCGCGTCTCCACGGCTGACAAGCTCAAGGACCCGCGCCGCCTCTACACGCCTGGCAGGCTCTTCCACGTGCTGTACCGCCCTCACATGAGGTGAGGGCAGGCCCGTGCTCTACTGCCCACACATGAGGTGCGCTGGGGCTGGGATGGGGTCGGGCTGCCCAGCAATAGGAGACGTGTGATTTTAGAGTTATGAATAGGCATAAGGCTGTGCTGCAAATCTGTTACCCTGTAACATGTGTGCGAGGGTGTGGCTGTGAAATGATGCAGTTATTCTGACTCCTGCGGGTGTGACCGTGTGATTGCGTGCCCGATCTCCCCCCCTCTCTCCCAGTGTGAAGACAGCAGTGCCGGTGGACCACCGCTTTGAGCGCCTGGTGCTGTCGCCGTCCTTAGTGTTGGACCACATCATCGGCCACATGGAGAAGAAATGCGCCCTCGCCCTCCATGTCAGACGCCACGTGCCTTGCTTTTGCCCTCATCTCCTCCCTTCGCAGTGTCCCGTTCTGTGCCCACCTTTGTCTGCATTCTTCACTCTGCTCTCTTCATTCTCTCTCACCCCTCGCCTCGTTCCCCCCTCCCCCCTCCGCGCGCTCCTTGCCCCCCCCAGGCCATGGACTTGGAGCAGCAGGCGAGTCAGGCGCCCCCCGAGCAGCAGCGCATGCAGCGCAGCAGGACGGCCAAGGAGCGGCGCGGCGAGCACCTGGAGGCGCTGGCCCGGGCGGTGTCGCTGCACGTGGCACAGGCCGTGGACCCCCTCACCATGCCACACACCCCCACAGATGAGGGCGCGGAGGAGGCGGAGGGGGAGGAGGAAATGAGGGCAAAGGAGGGAACGCAGGGAGAGAACCCGGGGGGGGACAGGGGAGAGGGAGGGAAGGGAGGAGCCAAGGGCGAAGTGGGAGAGGTGGGTACGGAGCGGCAAGGGGAGGGGCAGGGTGCAGAGGGGGGCCTTGAATTCGAGAGAGTGAAGGCGGAGGTGGGGAAGGTGGTGGAGGTGGTTGCGGGCAAGTGGAGTGCCATAGTGGACGACCTGCTCGCCAAGGCAGCTGCAGAGGTCACCAGGGTGGCTCCGGGGCTGGCTGACGACAATGCTAGCGAATGGAGATAATGGGATCGACAGCCTCTTACAAAACGCATGTACAGCCGTTTTATTGATTCAAAGGCCATGTGCGTGCATCTATGAACCACGGTCAGCTGCTGTGCCGCGCCATGGGCTGGTCCACCTCCATGACGGACGGCTGGGGGGCGGCGTACATGTTGCACACCACCACCTGCCGCCGCACCACTGCCAGGCTCCTCACGCCCTCCTCGTACGCCGCTTCCACCTTCACCGGGTCCGCCATGCCTCTGTTCTCCGCGAAGCCCTCGTGGATCCTGCGCGCCGCGTAGTGCCGGATGTTGTAGTTCTGGAATCGGCGCGCCTCGCGCAGGAGGGTCCGGTAGAGAGAGAGCACCTGTGGACGAACGGGGGCATAGCGGGCGGTGCGACATGAGACTGGAGCGGATGTACCGGCGAGGCGGGAAGGGAAAGAGCTGGTTTCAACCTGACATCCGGATTCGGCCTAATCCAGTGGAGGGCGGGAGCCAGAGAAGATGGATGCGCAGAATGACGGCGCCATACCTGCGCGGGAGCGGGCGGCGGCATGTTCACGCGGCAGCTGACACGAGCGCGCGCTCCTGTCCGAAGCGATTCGTAGAGGCGCAGCACCAACAAACCAGGCAGTCTCGGCCCCTCTCTGAGCCTCTAAACGTGACGATTAACGAGCTGGTTGTGTCGAATACCGCGAATCCAGCAGCTGCGCGGCGCTGATGGCTTGATCATTCAGATCGAGAAACGATTACGGCTGATTGCGGAGTGAATTACCCGATTACAAACTCTCTATTCACGAATGCTGCTGGCCGCAACAAAGACTGCCATAAAGAGGAGGAGCAGATGTGCATGCACGGGCGCAGACTGGCTTGTCCCCGCTTGAAGAGTGAAGGCAACCGCCGGAAAAGCAGCCCCTTCGGTATGGCAGTGTTGAGTTATGCAACTCGCTACAACATAAAAATATCACCAACGATAAAATACAACTTTTGGAAATATAAGAAAGTTCACAACGTGGGGCCAACGTATTCTTTCAAAAAACATAGCACCAGATTCCGTTGCACTCAACTGATAACTTGGGGCCACAATCGCGATTCACGAAGCCTGAAACCCTAAATAGCTGCGATGTTTGCTGGGATATTGTGGATATTCCAGATGGCCCACTCAAAGAACCAGCGGTGGCGAGAAGAGCCCAGGGACGCGTGTGCTGCTCCAGTCTTGGGGTCCGGCAGATTGACACGTGTCCACTTCTGCAGCAGTGACCCTACCTTGACGCGCTTGCCTGCATGGCAGAGGGAGAAATGGCATGGAGGGAGAGGGGGGGGAGCTAAAGGGATTGTATGGGGAGAGCATAGAGGGGTGGGGGGACCAAAATCCTAACAGCACAATGGGCACGAGCACAAGCGGGGTACACAGGAACGTACAACCCCCCTAGATAGACAGACATGGAGCTCAGCTATGGAGCTCCAACCATGGCTCAAGTGTGTCAGGGGTGAGCATACCTGTTGAGCTGTTGGTGAGGATGAAGGAGGAGCGGGTGATCACAGTCAGAGGGTTGCCATTGGACGCTCCGTTATTGAGCTCCTCGTTATTATCCAGAACATCCGTGGCACTGTTGCCACGGAGCATGGCAGAGGAAGCATCCTGGAAGGGCAGAGCTTCCGGTGCAGGGGGCGGCGGTGGGACGATTGGCGTCAGAGCGGATTTCAGCTTCACCAGGAGGAGAGAATCAACGGTCACGTCTAATGCCACGTGGCAGTCCACCAATCCCTGCAGGAACTCCTGCTGCTCCAGGGAACCTGCCAGGTTGTTCTTCGGATGGCCGGGTGGCAACAGGGTCACGTTCTGTGCGAAAATGCTGGCAGCGGCTGCCACGTCAGCAGACGCCAGGTGGAGGCTGAATGCCGCCCAAGCCTCCTGCAGCTGCAGCTTCAGGTCGGCCGGGTGAGGATCGGCGAGAGGCTCGGTGAGAGAGCGCTCAGGCTCGGGGAGGGAAGGCAGAGGCCTGGCGGGAGACAGCTGCTCGATGTCGTGCCTGCCATCAGAATCAAGGGCAGCGCGGTCAAAAAGGAGGCTATCATCAACGGCGGACAATGCAGCAGGAGCAGGGGCAGGAGCGGCAGGAGCAGGGGCAGGAGGATGCGGGTGTGGGGGGCGAGGGGGGTGCGGGTGCGGGCGAGGCGGGGCGGAGGGGGGAGGGGCATGCCTGTGCGCGTCGTCGTTCCAGAACGCCCAGCTCAGCCCCCACACGTAGACGGAGTTGCCCACCGCCCCGTCAGATTCCACGTCAGCGCCCCCCTCAGCCGTGCCATTGTCCGCGACGAGATCCCACAACAGGACAAACTTTCCCGTCCGTGGCTGGGCGGCCTGAGCGTCTGCCTGCAGGAGGCGGCCGTACGTGAGCAGCGAGTAGCCCAAGTAGCGGTCGAACTTGGGCACGTACAGCTCGGCGCGCTCGATCAACGAGGCAGCTACTACCGGGGACAGACCGCGCGGAAGCCCGTCCGCGGAAAGAGCCTCGTCCGCGGAAGCATCAGCGGCGGAGGGGGAGGGCGCCGGAGCAGGTGCGAGCGACTCTAAGAACGCCGCCTTTTCCGCGAGGGTTTCGAGGCGCTGCAGGGGGCGGCCCGGGACGGAGACTGTGGCGACGGGCGAGAAGAGGCGTCGCGCGGCGCGGTCGTAGTTGCCGACGGCGACGTCGAACTGCGCCTGGCGAAGAAGCGTCTCGACCGCCGCGAGGGCGACGGGAACCTTGGGATCGCCGAGGGGTCGCACGACCGCAGTAGCGACGGATCCGGCGGAGGATGCGGCGAGGAGGACGGCGAGCAGCACAATGGCGGTGAGGTGAGGCGGAGCGCGCAGGGACGTGGGAGAGGAAGGAGCCATGGCTGCGCTGCCAAGAATGTGCAGCCGAGGAGGAAATGGTGATGCAGGGGAAGGGAGAGAAAGGGGCGCATTTCATTCCCATTGCTCCTCCGTGGCGTGGTACGGGTCTGTACGTGCTTCTTTGCCCAGCCCTTGCTGTTGTTTCGTGCGTGCTCTGCGGGCATCTCGTCGAGTTGGGGTTCGTTGGCATTCGGGCACCCTCAACGCTAAACTCTCGCACATCAGGACCTTGTGGGTCGAGCAAAGCAGTGCCGTTTCATGTAATATCTCAAACCTAAAACAAACGGTCTGTTGTATTGTACATGACAGGCGCATGTTGAAAGGGTGTGTAGCCACCACCTTGGGGACTCACCCTATCCTCGTCACGAGACGCGCTCTCCGCGCGCGCCGATTCCATCCAATTGCTGCCCGCACAGTAATTTGGTGCACCACCTGACAAAGTTACATTTTAAAAATGTTTTTACATCGCAAAAGTACGTATCAGAGTGGCGCAGCGGAAGCGTGGTGGGCCCATAACCCACAGGTCCCAGGATCGAAACCTGGCTCTGATACTCTAACTTTTACATTTGTTCATTCACACGGTTTCTTGTTTCCAGCATGGAGGACTGCCAAGCCCTTCAATTTATGCTCGAGGCTTGGAGGCTGGACCCAGGTGGAAGAGGTGAAGATGGAGAGAGGGGAGTTGTCAAGTCGTGGGACAAGGTGGAGAGGGTGATGGCCGGGGAGGGAATCAATGGCTCTTGTTGGGAGATACTAGGAGGAGCCGCTAAGAGTGTGCGTCAAGAGTCATGCTGTCGCCAAAGAAGGATTTCTTGCATTATGCAGATGCTAACAGACTTACAAATCCCATGAAATGGTAGATGCTTCTCGAAGGAACCGCCCCAGCAGAGGGTGCGGGCCAGAGAAGCGGGACGAGAGACAATTTACAAGGTGGATGGATATCTGAGGAGCATCGCCGCTCTTGATATTGCCGAGCGCGGTAGAGGCGGTGATTGCGCTAAATAGCTAACTCGACCACCACTAGTGGCGCAATAGCATATCGCATCACAGCTTCGCAATCCTGCCTGGGGCTGTGGGAGCGCAGGAGCGAGGCAGCACGCTTGACGGCGTCACGACTTTGTTACGGTAATTCCGACGGCGCCTTTCAGATCCGCACTGCCGGCCTTGACGGACACATAGAAATACGAGTGGTTGGAGAAGAGCCACACGTCAATCAGCAGCTTGGCCTTGGACACTGCCTAGTATGTCGTTGTGGCATTCGCCGTCCCAGAAAAGGTGCACGCATAGACGCCCGTCGACTCCTTGGCTAACGAGCACGGGAAACCGGTTACGAGACTGCCGTTGACGTCGTAGTAGCCCGACGAGGTGAACGCAGCAAAGGAGAATATCGATACCTTGGACACGCGGACCACCAGGTACGTGCTTTGCTTGGTATCTGTGCTGAAGCAGACAGGAAGGGGGGCACACGCTGACGTGACAGCGTGAGTAGAAAAGGGACAAAGATAGGTCATGAGAACAATCTCAAGGTTAATATTCTGCTGCGTGTATCGACTCGCAACGGGAGCGGCGTGCTTACACGTTGCTATCCAGGGTGAAGCCGCCGGTCAAGCTGCGTCCCAAAATACCAGTGTCAGAAATACGAAGTACATATATAGTGAAAGGGCATAGGAAAGTCTGCTACGGAGTAGCCTTGTTATACGAACAACTATATCTACAATATAGGTGAGATCCACATTTTTGTAATGTGTTGGTGCTCTTGGCGGTCAGCGATGTGGCTTGGTCTGCGCCAGTGGGGAACATAGAAGCGACGCGCGAACATGAACGCATATGAGCTTCAAGCGGCGCTAGAAATATAGCGGCGGTGAAATTTACAAGGCAGCGAGGATGCACGTGGCGGAATGGAAAGGCGAGCGACGTAGGTTAGCGTCGTACATCGCGTAGGGGAGGTGACCGTGGAGTTGACAGGGGCTTGAAGTAGATGGCGGGCGGCGGAAGCGCCGGACGAGAGAGCGAGCAGCGCTAGAAGCGGGACAACGTGGGTGGAGGCTGAGAAATACATCGATGATTTTTCGTGAGCATTGACCCTAGAATCATGCGACACATTGAATGAGCCGCTTTGAAAAGTAGATTAACTGCCGAAATGGACGTGATTTCAGTGTAGTGTATTCTCAGCTCTTCGAAGCTGTAATGCGTAAAGTTTGCTATTCTAGTGTTAGATTGCGAGGACGCCACTCAGCAGTAAGAGTGAGGAGGAATCGCAGGAACCCTGGCAGTGATAGGTGTGCCATGGCTACTTTATACGCTTGAAGCTGACAAACTTGCCGCGACTTCAGAATTTTCGACAGCACGTGATTGTTGCTTGTCAGCTTATCGCCGTGAGTGAGGGATGTCACATGTAATGGAAGTCGCTCACACGGTGTAGGGGAATAGAGAGGCTTGAGTAAGAATCATGTAAGCAGCGGTGCATGAACTGCAAAGATAACCACAACTTCTTATAGTTGTATCGTGAGCTTACTTATCTCTTGCCAAGCATCTTGCATTCGGGAAACGCGATCGTCAGTCTCCTACTTGCGGTGAGCAACCCGCCGCATGTCACGCTTGGAGTGGTAGCGCTAGCCTTCTAGAATTGGGAGAGCTCTGTCGCCACACTACCTGTTGGCTAAGCTGGTCCCCTTGTTTCCTTGTCTCGGGATTGGAATCTGGAAGTTGAAACGCGATTGCTCCAGGCGCCGCATCTCACGCAAGTAAACGGGGAGAATTGGGAAATTTGCACTATTTCAAGGCAAGCCAATCAGGAACGTCCACACTATCACGTTGCGCTTCGTTGAGCATGCTCTTGATAGGCTGACGCTGGTGTACTGGTAGGGATTGGCCAAGAACTCACACCTTACGAAAGATCACCTCGTCATAGCAGTTCGCTAAGTCGCCCTCCGCCCATCTCGGAGAAATCGTGCGCTTCGACGGAAATCAAGGAGGCCTCAAAACGATCGACCCTTTTTGCGCGCGATGTATGGCATGCCCTCGTTACCCAAAACGGTCGACCCCCCCTATTGTGCCCATTTTGTTTTTGATTTGACGAAATGTAAAAAATGAAATTCTGGTCTATTGTACAAACATTTGCCTCCGCCCAGTACAATTTACTCGCTTGCACGCATTTAGTGCGTGGGCACTAGTGCGTAGTTTTGAGGCCTCCTCAATTTCCATCAAAGCGCGCGATTACCTCGCAGCACCCCCGTTTTGCATCCCAGCTCGCATTTCCATACATGGGAAGGTGTCAAATACTGAAATACTGTAGTAATCTTACTGCCGTTTGCTTAGCATTTGAGTGACCACTTTTATGAAGAAAAACAATAAAGGGTTTAGGGTAGAGCGCATTATTCAATAAATGGGAATGTGACTACAATTTTTATACAAACGAAGACCTAGGTTTGTTGTAAGGAAATGGTATTTCCTTATCATGGGTTTTAGTCAGTAAGGCGTTCACTGCTATAACGGGGCTGCTTTCCCACGAAATTCAAATCACGGTCTCAAATGTGGTCTCCTGACAAGCCGCATGCATTGTTGCATGCCTTGTTGTTGCATGCCTAGATCTGGGTGCTTCACGTCAATTTACAAACCACACGCCGCAGCTCTACCGAGCCACGACCGTGTGCTCCTAGGCTAGCTATATCCATGCTCCCTATTGTTTAATGTTGTCTCAGCTGTATTATTTCCTCGTTAATCAATCATTCGACACACGCTCTTTGCGCTTCATTACACATGGTCATCAGAGCCAACGATCCTCAGCCTTGCGCTCTAGTTCCGCTGCAATACCGACACTTAGGGAGGCGAATGCCATGTGCTTACTGCATATCCGCAGTCCTGGTAATATTATTTGATAATTACCTATAGCCACGCCTGTGTTCGCAGTGCTAGCATGCCGAAAGCCGCCCAAAACTTCCGCGAAATGGTGGATCCGTCGGCGTCTACCGCCATGACTCCTGAAGAAAGGGCAGCAGCACTTGAAGAATTCCGTCTTACTCGCGAGTTGTACGAGCAGGAGTTGGCGTGTCTCCGAGCTAAAACGGCCCAAGCTGAATCTGAGATATCTGCACTTCGGAGCCGACAGCCTCAGATACGACACAACACAATCACACCAACAACAGATCAAGGACAACAGGAGTAAGTAACCCAGCAATGTTCAGAAATACCTGGCGACAATCAGCGACCATACATGGCACAACCCGATGCTTAGACGAACAATCCGCCACCGCCTATTCGACGAGCGGAAATTGGCGAAAGGACGAACGTAAATCTGCCGCCCCCAATTACATCTCCAACCGGCCGGCAAACTGCCAACATCAAGACGCAGAGGCCACCCACGTTCGACCCGAGTCAGCGTGGCAACTTGTCCGTCAGCGGGTGGATTTTCTACCTGAACGTTTTTTATGACTGCAACCTCGTTAACGACAACGTGTAGAAGATCCGATACGTCGTGTCGCTCCTACGTAGACCGGCTATGGATTGGTGGTAGCAGATGATTCAGTCGCAGGAGCCGGATATGATGCCGCGCGTAATCGAGCATTTTCGCATGACCAATCTCTGGGTAGGAAGTTATTGCAAGGTGGACGAGTAAAGCACGTGGCAATCGTGGTGTGCGGGAATTCGTCGCCGCTTCGTACTCGTCAACGCAAGCAGCCAAGCGTGCGACCGCCTTCGCACGTGGCACCAACTCGGATCGGTCCAAGACTATACCAGCGGCTTCAACAACCTATGCGACCAGGTCGGCTACATTCAATCTAACGAGAAGTTTGACAAATTCATCGGGGGACTTCGACCGGATCTGCGCAGAGAAATACAAGTCCGAGAAATTACAAATTCGATGGAGGCGCAGAGGGTTGCAGAGCGGTTGGATTCCTTCTACAGACCAAAGGCGGGTTCCTACGATGGAAATCCCACTCGGGGACCAATCGAGTGTGCCACTCTATACGCTGTTACAACATCGAACTCAGCAGATACAACCTTCAAGGGTCGTTGTTTCTGATGTAACAGGCTGGGACACCACAAGTCAGAATGCCCAAAGGAGCGGAAGAAGCAGAATCAGGGGCACGGGAGTTCCAGTGACCAGGGAAACGCTTAGTGTCACTAGTCAATGGGCCTATTACTGATGGAACCTGCTCGCCCGTGATCGATGACCCTCATCGAGTACTGGTACCGATCCACGCAATCGACCAAACTTGGCTGAATAAGGAGGGTGAAGCGGTGAATTACCCTATTTATTTAGAGGGTAGGGTTCAAAGGGGAAAAAAAGGGGATCTTCGTGGACGGGGGAGCCAGCCACAGTTTGATCAACCTCGCCATGGCCAAAATAATGAAGTTACCCTTACTGTAGATAGGTGTCTACCGGAGATTGACGTGCGACTAGTTGATGGGACCCCAATAGCAATAAAAGCTAGGGCAGACAGGATTAGGGTACGCTGTAGAGCTGACTTCAATTTTTCGATGGGGAAACTGGCAACTACATTCGACGACTTCGACATGTTGTTGGGACAGGATTGGCTGCTCCGGTCCAACCCAAAAATCGGCTGGACGGCCGGCTGCTGTTCTATCAAAATCAACAGCCGTAGTGTAACATTACTAGAATGGACGAAGGGGATCACAGGGGGGGTGACGCAGGTGTACTCCGTGGCGATCAAATGAGTGGTCGCACGGGGAGCAAAAGTCTTTGCTGTAGTCGTTCGCACCGTCGAGGTGGCATCACAGCCGTCCGATTTAGAGAAGCTGACAGGAGCAGTGTCGACCGATTTAGCGCAGCTGATTTGAAGATTCCCGCAGATATTTTTAGACGACCTGCCCGAGGGATAACAGCCGGAATGGACCTTCGACCATCGAATAGAATTAGACCCAGGGACACAACCCACAGTGCAGCGGCAATTTCGATTAACACAGCCGGAGTTAGAAGAATTACAAAAGCACTTAGATTACATACTAGAGAATAAATCATCCGCTCGAGCTCCTCGCCATTTGCTGCCCCCATGCTGTTCACCCCGAAGAAAGACGGCGGGTACCGAATGTGCACTGACTATAGAGCACTAAATAGGGTTACTATCAAGTCGCGTTACCTAATCCCGCGCGTCGACAAACAGATAGACCAACTTCGAAAATAGATCTACGAGAGGGTTACCATCAGATTCGCATGGTCGCAGCTGACTCTCACAAGAATGTGTTTCGTACTAGGTACGTACTAGGTACGAGAGTTTTTAGTATATAGCTATTCCCTTCGGTCTGACAAACGCCCTTGCAGGTTTTCAGATGACCATGAACCAGATCTTCAGCTCGCTCATAGATAACTGTGTTATAGTCTACCTTGACGATATACTGATCTGTAGCGAGATCCGGCAGCAGCACTTAAAGGACCTCGAAGCAGTTTTCACGCTATTGCAGGAGCATCGCCTGCTCACGAAGGGGTCCAAGTGCAAGTTTTTAAAAGAAAGCTTAGAAATTCTAGAAAGGGACTGAGTACAGGTGGGGGAGAAAGAGCAAGCTACCTTCTCTGTGCTCAAAACCTTTCTGAGCTCATCCCCTGTCCTTCACATCGCCGATCCTCACCATCCATTCGAAGTAATCACAGACACCAGCGACATCGCCATCGGAGCAGTGCTGTTACAGGACTTCGGCGAAGGCCTACGGCAAACCACGTACAAGTCACGAAAGCTGCACCCGCCCGAGCAAATCATCTGATACACTACAAGGAGATGCTCGCGATCGTGCACGCGTTCAAAGTATGGCGATGCTACCTGACGGGCGCGGACCTGACAATACGGACACACCACCGAAACCTACAGTACATCCGCGCACGGCCACTACTCAACCCACGATAGATTCGGTCCTTGGATTTTATGGAGTCCAACTTCCATTACACAGCCACCCACAAGAAAGGGGCATCCAACATTGCAGACATCCTTTCTCGTCCATCGGCCCATCTCAACTCAATAATCCTTGCCCGGACTTCCTCGGGAGGATTTGAGCGTCTCAGTGTCGTCCGCCCACGAAACGTCTGTGTGCCCTGTAAGGACCACTGGCCTGCGTCCTTCTAACACTACCCCATGCCCGATGTTCTTGCTAGATAACACAAAAACCCTCTTAGTGGCCGACCAGTGCTGTGGTCGGTGTCTGCATGTGGCCACAAAGCGAGCCAGGATGCAGAGAGGGTATGCGAGATCTGGACGAGTGCAAATCATCAGGTACATGAGGCAACCCACCAGCTCTGCATAAGGACCACTGGGCTCTATTGGCTCCTCAGGAACTGGAGCAGAGAGCGTGTGATCTATTGGCAGAGGTGTGGGCTGTGCGGAGGAGAACTGAAGACCGAACCTCTAAAGGACCTGGTGCACCAAGTGTGACTGTGTAAGAATGATGGTGCACGCTGCTCTGTCCCTGGAGATCTGCAGGCCAACGTAGCGGCGCAGCTCTCCTAGGTCAGTGCAGTTGTGTCTCCTCAGCAGCTCGGCCTTCACACAGGCAAGTGCGTCTCTGTCTGCAGTAGTGAAGACTAGGTCGTCTACGTAGACAAGGATGTAGAACGAAGTCTGGCCAGCACGAACGAAGAGCGAGGGGTCTGCAGAGGACGGAAAGAACTGCAGATCAGCTAGCGTAGCACGCAACGTGTCGTTCCACTCACGGGGCACCTGTCGCAGGCCGTAGACCGGGGGCCGGAGGAGCCACTGGCTCCCAGGAGGGAAGGTACTGGTGAAGCCTTGCGGTCGGCGTAGGTAGACCTGCTCGTGGAGGCTGCCCTGGAGAAACGCTGTGGAGAAGTCGATGGAGTGTAACTCATAGTCACGCTGTGCTGCTACGTGTAGCAGCGCCCGAAGAGTAGTCGTCTTCAGGGTCGGGGTGAAGGTCAAAAAGAAGTCCACCCCCTCGTGCTGACTGAAGCCTCTAGCCACGTAGCGCGCCTTGAACACAGACGGCTCTCCAGGGGGGGCGCTTCATCTTGAATAGCCACCGGCCATCGACTATGTTCACCCCATGTGGGGGAACTGCGTCGACGTAGGTGCCGGTGGATCTCCAAGATGCCATCTCCACGTCCGATGAAAGTCGAGAGCCGAAACCAAATGTAATACGGCCAGCCAGAGATTCGAGATTAAGCGCTTTCGCAAGTGCTAGCTTCTTCGATTGGTTCCGAAAATGGTTGTTCCTCGCTATCCTCGTCAAACCCACCTCTGCTTTTCGAGCCTCGCCCACCAATCAAGCTCGTCGTTTTCCAACCAAGCGTAATACTCTAGGAAATACGATATGCAGGCGTTAATCAATCCTTCGACACACGCTCTTTGCGCTTAATTACAACTTTCTATGATGGATTGAATAGGGCAGAACCTCCGAGCTCGACCGGTCAGGACGCGAGGGCCCTGAGGGCAACATTGGTGAATGGGTTCGAGGCGCCTTACCGTCACTCTGGTTCCGTCGCGTTACGATCCGCTCCAGTAACAATGTGGCCTACAAGCTTCAAACTTCTGCAGCAGCCATGCCCTCCCGCAAGCGAGACCGATCTGCCTACCTTGCTTTAGTCGCTCCACCACCTACTACTAACCTCCCATGCTTGACTCCTCCCTTTACTATGGCCCCTGTTCCCCTTGTAAAACAGATATGCATATGTTGTTATAGGCTAGATAAGTGATTGGTCTTAGAGAGTATAACACTAGCACAAAGCTACCATGTACCCTTAATTCTAGTCAACTTATTACTCTGAGATGGCATCATGCCAGCTTAGGCCCTCCCTGCCCACCCGCGCTTCTGCCCTGGCCCTAGTCCTAGCTCTAGCCCTAGCTCTAGCCCTAGCCCTAGCCCTTGCTCTCGCCCGCTCGCCCCTTAGCGCGCTGTGCGGCTCCTTGCTCACCCGCTGGCCCCACACTAGCCTCTGGCCCTTGCGCGCGCCGCTGGCCCCACGCTCGCCCGCTGGCTCCGCGCTCACCACTGGCCCTTGTGCCCTCCTCGCGAGCCCTCACCGCTAGCCCCATGCTCGCCTGTTGGCCCCACGCTCGCTACTGGCCCCCACGCTCGCTCGCTGGATCCACACTCACGACTGGCTCCTAGCTCGCCGCTGGCCCTTCGCTCGCGGCACGCTGGCCCCCCACTCGCCGGCCCTAGCTCGCCGGCCCTAGCTCGCTCGCCGGCCCTAGCTCGTCGGCCCCAGCTCGCCAGCCCCAGCTCGCCAGCCCCCGCTCGCCAGCCCTAGGTTGCCGGCCCTCGCTCACCGGCCCTTGCTCGCCGGTGCTCGCTCGCCGGCCTTAGTTTGCGCCGACCCCAGCTCATGCCGGGCCCAGTTTGAGCCGGCCCTAGTTCGCGTCGACACCGGCTACCGCCGACCCCAGCTCCTACCGCCCTTGCGCACCACCACCGCGCCGCCGAACTCTACTTGCCGAGCCGCGCCGTCCCAGCTCGCGGTGCCGCTGTGCCGCCGTGTCACCGTGTCACCGTGCCGCCGTGTCGCCGTGCTGCCGTAGCCGTCATGATGGCAGACTCTGTGCTCCGTCTTATCGCGGAGGGTCGGGCGGTTGATTTTGAGGCGTGGCTCGTCGACCTTCGCCGTCAGCTGGCGGGTCAGCGCCAGGACGGCTATTCTCTGGTCTGCGAGCTTTGGGGGTGCGGGCGTTGAGGAGGGTGCTAGTCCTGAGGGTACTATCATGGCTTGTCCCGGCGGTCCTGGGGGTGGCACCAATGCTGGAGAGGGTTCTCGTTCTAAGGGTGCTGTCGTGGAGCGTCCTGGGGGTAGCAGTGGTGCGGCTGGAGGTTCTGGCATCGGCGTGGAGCAGCAGCAGCAGTCGCTGCCGGTGTCTGCCCTTTGCCTCCTGGAGCTTCCCTCCCCCAACCGCCCGCTTGCGCCTCCCCCAACCGCCTGCTTGCGCCTCCCCCGGCGCCGCCTCCCCTAGCCTGTCTACGGCCCTGTGTTTCCTCCGCCGGAATCCTGACACGACCCCACCCTCCTGCTGGTGGTCTCACCGTGCCTCTCGTGCTTGTCCTGTTTCTCCGCGCTCACCCTAAGTTGCTCCGCTCTCACGCGTCTCGTGCTCCTCTTCTACCGTCACCTCCTCGGTCAACGCTTGTTGTGTCTCCGCCTCCTCTCTCTAACTTCCTCCGAGCCGCTAGTCCGCTTGTTCCTCGCGTTCTCGCCTCTCTTATTACCGACCCATTTGTTCCCGTCTCAAGTCTTGAAGCTCTTGTCGCTACCGTCGCTGACTTTGCCTCTACCCAACACCTTGACTACGCTACAGCTATGGTCTCTGACCCTGCCCGTCCTCCGTCCGTCGGGGGTGCACCTGCCCTTGGCATCGACGTCCTAGAGGGCATGCATTACGAGTTAGCTTTCCTGTATGAGGCCGCTCCCCATCTCTGCTCCATGCTGCTAGTCCCTGAGAGTGACCCAGACACCCTTGACATCCCGACCCCTCACACTAACATTGAGGCGACCTCGGGACCCTGGGCCTCTCAGTGGATAGCTGCCATGGAGCAGGAGATGGCATCTTGGAGATCCACCGGCACCTACTCGTCCAGATCTCGCATACCCTCTCAGCATCCTGGCTCACTTCGTGGTGACAAGCAGACACCGACCACAGCATTTGTCGGCCGCTAAGAGGGTTTTGCGTTATCTGGCAAGTACATCGGGCATGGGACTAGTGGTAGGAGGTCGCAGGCTGGTGGTCCTTATCGGGCACACAAACGCTTCGTAGGCGGACGACGCTGAGACGCGCAGGTCCTCTCAGGGCTACTGCTTTAGCCTTGGTGTAGGCACCATCTTGTGGAGTTCCACCCACTCGTCGTCTGTTGTCCAGACTAGCTGTGAGGCTGAGATCTATACTGGTGCCATGGCGGCACAGGAGTTCCGCAAGCCGACTTTCTTGCTCACAGACTTAGGTGAGCGGCCTAGCTTTGCCCTGGTCCTGTACGCCGACAACAGGGGCATGATCCTCTTGTGTCAAGAGCCTTGATTAGAGGGCAGCGCGAAGCACATCCGGCTGCGGTACTTCCTCCTATGCGAGTTACAGCAGCGCCGCCAGGCTCGCTGAGTACACTTGGCCTCCGGTGCCAACACAACTGGTATCTTTACTAAGGCGATTGCGCCTAAAGATCATTTACAGCACTGTGTGTGTCAAAAGACTAGCTTAGCTAGGAAGCCATAGAATGGCACAAGGTTTAGCTAGGAGCTAGGAGGAGCCATGAGAATGGCGAGAGGTTTTAGGTGCTAGGAAAGTTGAGGAGAGGAAAAGAGAGTTGGATTAGAAGAGAGGGGAGTACAAGGAGGGGTTTGTACCCCCTACAGAAAGGTTCAGTAACAACCTACCAAGCCTATATTAAATTATAACTTATATAATTTGAACAGTGTGCAGCTTGGTCTAGTTTCCGTAGCTCCTCACTTGCTAAGACCTTGATTGTGTACTACTCTTGCCTAGTTTGTACCCTTCTGACTGGTCTTCAGACCCTTATCTCAGAGGCTGGACTAGAAGTGCCACCGTGAGTTGCGTGTCTCTTGCCAGGCACCGCCCGTTATCTAGCCTAGGGGGTGTGTCAAACATATATGCATATGTTATTTTAGGCTAGATAGGTGATTGCTCTTAGAGAGTATAACACTAGCACAAAACTACCCTGTACCCTTGATTCTAGTAAAGTTAACAATTTAACAGATTGCGTAGAACATTAACAGTTTCATTAACACATACTGTAACGGCCCAAAGAGAAAGCACTTACCGGTACATAGCTTCCCACACCTTTCAACTACCTATTACAACTATAATGAAAAATACTGTAATGCCAGTCGTGGAAGCTGAGATACGGCAGGAAGGAATATATGTAATGCCTTACAAAGCTCGCATTATACTATTTAGGCCTTCATACAAGAAACAAGATGAGAGCCATGCCTCACAACATACACCCACAAGCTAGCCATTATACCGTACATCCCGCAGCCGCATCACAGATTAGTCACAGTTGGCACGATCTGTCCGCGCAGTTCAATCCCGTTCACAGTGATTGAGGAATAGGCACTGCTAGGACTTGCGAAGAATCCTGCATCAATCAAGGACTTGACCTTCCCCCCTGCTTTGAAAGGCAGAGAGAGAGCAACCTCTGATCCCAGGCCACAGGACAAGGTGGTTGGGTCAGCTTGGGGCGTGAACGTGCAAGCGAGGTCAGTGATCAGCGCACCGCTGCTGGTGTAGTAGGCAGGCTTGGAGAGCACGGGGGGCGGGCTGGTGGGCACTTTCATGAGGAGGAACTGGAAGAGGACGTTCTGCTTCGCAGCCGTGCTGCAATGGGAGGGGTAAGGTACATGCAAGTGAGATTCAACCCGTAAGATTAGCATGCAATGTCAATCAAGCCTGCTCGTTAGCCCCTAGTGATGCACTTGAACTTGCAACAAATGATGACACTCACATGTTTGCGTCCACGGTGAATTTTGCGGTCAAGTCGTACCCCTCTCCGTTGTTGAGCCGGGATACAGCGCTGTCTGCAATCCCAAGCGCAAAGGGCGGTGAACACGACGAGGGGTGGAACGCACTGTGAAGGCGGCAGGCATAAAAGCACAAGTGTGAGGGAGTGGGGGACGGGTGAATAGTGCTTTGGATTGCATGCACGGCTTACATCGCGTGGGAGCATTCAGGTTCACAGTGCTGCTGCTCCCTCCACTGCTCGTGCCTCCCCCGCTGCCAGTGCTGCCCCCGCTTGAGCTGCTTCCGCCTCCCCCAGTGCCCCCCCCACTGGCGGTGCTTCCGCCAGTGCCAGTGCCGCCACTCCCAGCGGCGGTGGTGGAGCCGGTGCTTATAACAGAGCCGTCAGGGCCGTACGTGGTGCTGTTGCTCACGCTGGTGCTCGTTGTCGTGGTCGTCGTTACAGTCACAGTGCCATTGCCGCCGGTTTGCAGAAAACGGCGCAGGGCGGAGACGCGTGAGAGGAGAGAGAGCGCCACTGGAACGGGGGAGGATGGTAGAAACGGCGGAGAGAGGAACGGAATGAGGGACGACATGCCCAGTCAAGTCGCCGTATTGCCGCACGTTGGTGCAGCTTAGGAATCATTGAGCTTGCTTCCTGTAGAACACGCGTGAATCAATACTACGCAACGGTTCAACGAGCCTCGGAGGCAGCTTACCAGCGAGGACGAAGGCGAGTCGCAGCATGGGGAGAGTGCGAGACGAAGACATCCCGGCCATGGCTGCTTCGCGCAGACGGTAGGCGTGCACGCGCTTATGGCGGATTACAAACTTGGCAAGGAGGAAACGGGTACTCCTCACACCGGGGTCGCTGGAGAGGCTCACAGCGAACACAGAGCGCGGGGTGGTTGCTAACGCGCAACTCGAGGAAAGGCGGCACTAATTAAGGAATGGAGAAAATGTGGAGCGGTGAAACGACACTGAATGAATGGTTGAGCAATCCGAATGCTCTCTCATAGTAGCACGGCGGATTCAAGACCATGGATTTCCAGGCCGGTTGGGATCTCCTACTTCCTGTAAGCGCTGAATGCGGCAGTGCCGCCGTCCTTCTATCGTCGAAAAAGGAAATCCCGATTGCGCGTTCCTGCCGGCCTTCGGGAATGTTTCAAGCAGCGACTGGCATTGCGCAGCCATGCTCCTTGAAATGCGATTAAGGGCTTTCGTGGCTGTTCAGTCTGCCAAGTCGTGCGTCCTCCGTCTGTTGCGGAGTCTACGCTGGAATTCCAAGAGTAATGGATCGCGTTCAGAATTGCAAGTAGCCTTGCGGCATGGCGTCACCGCTTCTCGCGCTAGGAAGTGCTCCACCGTGCTTGACGTTGAATCCAGCACAGCTTGCCACATCTCGCGCTGGGCACAGCAGTGCTTCGCACAACGCGCAACCTGTCCTTCCGCCCTCACAAGTTCCGTGCAGATGGGGGGTTGCAAAGATGCCAGCATGGTGCAGTGGCGAGTGCTAACAACGAGCGTTACAGGCACTTCGAGCGTCGCAGGGGACTTTAAAAAAACATAATATTTTGTTAAGATTAGACCGCTTGACATGTGCTCGTGCCGGAGTGGTTATCGGGCAAGACTAGAAATCTTGTGGGCTCTGCCCGCGCAGGTTCGAATCCTGCTGAGCACGATCTTTCTTATCGTTTCCTGTTCAACTGGTCAGTCACTTGCTTTTGGTTGCAATTGCTGGTCTCTCTCGACTACTTTCCGCGTTAGCTGTTGCTCTTGGTGTCGCTGGTCGGTTAACGATTGACGAGCCGACAGACCGATCACTGCAGCAGCAGATTCGGCGGCACCATTGGTGCGAGGAGTCGCGGATCGCAATGCTGCACCTGCCAGTCGCATCGAAACCACTCGCATTAGTCACGCCAACCGCTGCCACTCCCTGTTATCTCGCACCGGTTAGCATCTCAAAGACAGGCGGGACTGGCGGAGCGGGTAGCCGCGGGAGAGCGCCTACGACTAAGCGGGAGTTACGCGGCGATTTGGTCGGGAGTAGGCTATTCGAGCGGAGCTTTAGTACGCAGCGGGGTTTGGAGTCTGGTAGGGCGGTCACAGCTGCTGCTGCCAGCGCAGGCGAGGGAAAATCGGGAGGAGCAGATCGGGGGAGCAGCGGCGACATGGATTCAACGAAACGACCCGCTAAGATGCAGTGAGGCGTGGTCGCTGTGACGAGGAGAGCCTTCTGCATGCCTGAGCGCGTAGCACTCACTCTTAGCCCCCTCTCAGCGCTGCCCTGCGCTACATTGCCATCCGCTTCCACTTACGCCACCCCGATTCCTCCCCTCCCCCAGATCTCACCTCCGTTGCTCCAAATTCCATCCCCATTCCCGAAATGCCATTCTCACTCCCACGCCGGTTCCATCCGCACAACATGGCTTCGCGTCCCCTCGTCCCCTCGGCCCTTCGTCCCCTCCAGAACGGTGATCGAGCACGTGGCGCTGTTCAGCATGGCGCCGGACATGGCGGAGGAGGCGGAGGGCGACATGCTGAGCCACCTGTACTCGCTGCAGTACCACTACCCGCACCTCCTCGCCATCTCGCTCGGCCGTATCGTCGCCAAGCGCCCTGTCGGCTTCTCCCACGCTCTCGTCGCGCGCTTCCCCTCGCGGCCCGCGCTGGAGGGCTTCCTGGCGCACCCCGCGCTGGCGGCCGCGATGGACCAGTTCGTCACGCCCGCGTGCACCGTGAGCACCACCGCGCCTTCACGCCCCCCTGCCCCTCTCTTTTCCACCCCCCCATTGCCCCTCACATCCCCTGCCCTCATATCTCGCGCCCTCATATCCCCTGCCCTCATATCTCGCGCCCTCATATCCCCTGCCCTCATATCTCGCGCCCTCATATCCCGCGTCATCGTATCCCCGGCCCTCAAATCTTCTGCCCCGACCCTCAAACAGAATTTGTTCCTTCGGTTAGAATGTGGGCATGGGATATGTGCCACTATCCCCCGTGCCACTATCCCCTGTGCCACTACCCTTGGTGCCACTATCCCCCGTGCCACTACCGCCCGTGCCACTACCCCCCGTGCCCCTACCCCCCGTGCCCCTATCTCAAGAATGAGTTCGCGGGCGCCAGAATGAGTTCGTGGGCGATCTTGGGCGATCTTGGGGGTTGGGCGATCTTGGGGGTTGGGCGATCTTGGATGTTGGGCGATCTTGGATGTTGGGCGATCTTGGATGTTGGGCGATCTTGGATGTTGGGCGATCTTGGATGTTGGGCGATCTTGGGTGTTGGGCGATCTTGGGGTTTGGGCGCCAGAATGAGCTGGTGGGCGCCAAAATGAGTTGGTGGGCGCCAGAATGAGTTCGTGGGCGCCAGAATGAGTTCGTGGGCGCCAGAATGAGTTGTTGGGCGCCAGAATGAGTTCGTGGGCGCCAGAATGAGCTCGTAGGCGCCAGAATGAGCTCGTGGGCGCCAGAATGAGCTCGTGGGCGCCGGAATGAGTTGGTGGGCGCCGGAATGAGTTGGTGGGCGCCAGAATGAGTTGGTGGGCGCCAAAATGAGTTGGTGGGCGCCAGAATGAGCTCGTGGACGCCAGAATGAGTTCCTTCCTTCAGCACCGTGAGAATGTCGTCTGTGCCTATCCATGCGCTTGCTCATCTGTGTGCATCTCTGTCCGTCCGTGTCCGTCTGCGTGCGTGCAGGACACCCTGTCGCTGTCATACGAGGCCCAGGTGGAGGCGGACATCGAGAGTGTCTTCAGACGCGGTGATGTCAGTGCGGGGATGGGGGTGTGGAAGGGAAGGGGATTGTTGTCAGATGAATGCATAACAAGCAAGAAGCAGACGGAAATGCAGAACGATTGAGAAATGGATGTTCCTCCCTCCCTTTCCTCAATCCGATCACGTTGTTCCTTCTTCCGCGCCTGCTGCTGCTCGTCTCATGCCGTCTCCCTCCCCCCCCTGTTCACATGGTCCCCTCTTCTCCACCTGCACCGTCGGCCCCTCCCCATCCTCCCCTCCCCCCTCCCCCTACCTGCATGTGTGGTGCAGTCCTTTGAGCGGGGCTTGGAGCACGTGGTGCTGCTGCGCGCCAAGCCAGCAGCGGAGGGGGACAAGCAGCAGGCCATGGTGGACGCGCTGTGCGCCCTGCCGCTCGCCATCGGCCCGGACATTCTCGTGCAGCTCACTGCCGGGGCCAACTTCGCTGCCGACACTGCCAAGGGCTTCACTCACGGACTCGTCGCGAGATGTCCCTCAGGTCAGTAAACTCGCAGGATTTGCCTTGGGTCGGCATTGCTGTGGTTGATGCAGGTTGCCCGAATTGAGTGTTCTGCCCCAGCGGCTGTGGTGTTGCTGGCTGCCACGCATGAGCATCATGTGCCTTCTCAACCCCCCTCTTTCCACATCCCCTCTCCGTCACGTGCCCTTGCTGTTCTTACACACATGATGGGCTAACTTCAGTGCCCTCGCCCATGTCAAATGCCCCAACTTTTGGTCGTACCTCAATTGTATGCCTCTAGCATCTGGAGTTAGCATGCTACAGGAGGCTTTGGTTGTGCCCAACAAGCATCCTCGTCTCCCTTCCCATTCGTGTCCCCACAGAGGAGGCACTAGATGCATACAACAAGCACCCGAGCCATCGGCAGGTGCTGCGACAGCATGTTCTGCCCTTCAGTGAAACTCTCCTGGCTGTTGACTTCCAGGTGGATCCTGTAGGCCGTGAGGAGAGGGTTTAGGATAGACCTTTCCGACTTGATACAGTCGGAGCATGTAGCAGAAACTTGCTTTGGTCAGTTGCATTATATTAGACGAAGTCCATGACAGATCTATGCACCATCATCACAGTCGTAATCATCCTCACTATCGTACGTGACACAATTTCTAAGGACAGGAGCGACCACGACACCTTTCTGATTGGGAGCACAATCATCAGCAGACTGTTTTTCATGGCACTCAACCCCATGGGCTACACAGCCATTACTATCCGACTCTCCAGGGGCTTGGCCATCAAGACAATCATCCTTGCATGCTGCATCTTCAGGGGGCTCAGCATTCAGGTCAAAATTCAGGTCGAATCCACGTGGACTGGACTCCGCCTCCCTCTTGACTGGTCTTGCTTCTGTCGTCACTGCTCCCAACTTCTCCATCTTCGGCTGGGCTGCAGCACTCGGGGTTTCCTCAGCATCATAGTCAGTCCTCTTGGGAATCTTCACTTTGCAAATCACCTTAAAAGCAGGCCTTGGCTGATCAGACGTGGCCTTTGACTTCTTCGTCGGCTTGATAGCATCCTCTGCTTCATCTCGCCTCCTCAAGCCTTGACCAAAGCCACTGGAACCTTCAGCTTTCGAACTTGCGTGAGGGTTGGAGCTCTTTAACTTGACCTCCGACTTAACCACATCGTTGCAGCCGTTTGACCTTCCACGAATTGTAGTCTTCGAATCCTGCAAAAGCGCAAGAGGCAAGTCTGTAAACGCCGAGACAACTCAAAAATCGAAAAACTGAACCAAGAACAACCAACCAGCTTACCTTAAATCTTGGTGAAACAGGTTCTTGATCATCGTCAGAAAGCTTCCTGCAGCACAAGGACAAAAGAAGTCTATGTAAGTTCAGGCGTCCGCCCAATGATCCTCAAAAGGCTTCGACAGAAAGTCGGGCACGATGCTTGTAAAATTCGCGCCCTGGAATCGAGACCTCACCTCTTCAAGCGACCAGATGGAGTATCGTCAGGAGAGTCTGGAGCATCAACATCCGGAAGTTTGGAAACGACATCTTTCAGAAAGTCGTATTCGCTGAAAGAGGCGACACACTGTTTCCTGCACAACGTCGAAGATTAGACAGCTCATTTAGTAAGACGGAATCAACATTACATCTAAAGAAAAGAAAAAATCGCAAGCATACGACGTATCTTAGATTTCTTACAAATGAGACGCAGCCAAAGTCTTCGCCCCGCGCTTGCAAGTGATATCGTACGTCCGATCACACAAGTCCTGTAAGAAAATCTCTAGGGCCTTGGCTGCACATCTAACCCAGAAAACATGCGAAAACGAAGACAGCAACAAGTAGACTTAGTTAAGAAAGGATAAAACGAAACGGAAAACAAATCCTGGAATCATCTTTCCAACGTACATATAAGCACAGGAGTTGCAAGAGCTATCTTTCCAACTTCTTCATCAGCTTGCATGATCTTCTTGATTCGAGCCTGCAGACCAGAGAAAAACAACGTCAAACACGCGGGCAAATCCAAACGTAACAAACTGGAAGAGCGAAGGACGAAAGCTGCACGTACCGCTGGAAACCGAGTGTCTAGCTTCTTCCTCATGGTAGGAGATTTGGTAATAGCTTAGGTGGGGATGCTGTTGGCTGGGTGGCCTGCTGGCAGTGCAGATTGCAAAGCAGATGTTGGGAAACCCAGATCGGCTAGCACCACCAGAGAGGGGGTGGGGTTGGGAAGGAAAGCCTAGCAAAATTGGACGGAAATTACGAAACCCTGACGGGAACTGAGACGGAGCGGCAACAGGGGCGTCAAGCTGACGGAGGCTGCAAATCGAAGTGGATGATTTTATAGTCCTGGTTTCGAAATGACTTGAATATTTGGAAACAGGCTCAGATCTCCGCACCACCAGAAGGCGCGGGCCTCAATATTAGAAGGACCTGTTTACACTTTCCCAAGAGGAGCTTGTTTTCCGACTGAAACTGATTTTGAAGCAGCGCTGCAGCGGAAACGGGTGTGGGAAAAAGTTCGTTTCCAAACCCAGAACACGCGGTCTTTTCAATATAAATAGGATCGTACATGCAGTGAAGTCGTTTGAATGGCTGAGGCTGGATGACGTGGCGAGGACTAGTCGCTACACTACCTGTAGATGTCATGCAAATTCGAAAAGCCTTACACAATATCTATCTTAGGGCATTTTCCCATTACCGCTGATTAACCCCACAAGCCACATAGCGAGCGACTCTTTGGAGGTGTTTACTGGAGCCCGCTGTTCACTTCATCGCTCAGCCGAGACGTCATTTTCCGCAATCGCCGCCGCAACCTCCGCTTCCATTCCATAACCATCCACTCAACCGCCATCTCTTCCGCTGCAACCATGTTCCGCTCGCTCGGTCGTTTGGCCAACCGCACTGGCGCCGTTCAAAGTGTAAGAGCGATGAATCCTAGCTGCAAGCTCGACCTAGGTTCTTTGCCGCTGTTAAACTTGTAGGTCACCAACCTTGTTTCCCATGGTTTTGAGGCGGTGATCCGATCCTCTGTACAATCTCGTCCTTGCCGTGCACTCCGAACGTCTGTGCGCCGTTGGATCTTGATCAGCGAAACCTAAACGCATGGCTAACGATGGCGTTCCTGGCATTCGTGTCGTTTTTCGTCACCGCGCTCTCGGTTTCTCGCCCGATCCCTCGCCGTTCTCATCTCTCGCGTCTCGTCTCTCGCTCCCAATGCGCATTGCAGGCGATTCGATCCTTTGCCGCCGAAGCTGCCCCCGCCGATGTGAAGGTATTTATCACTTTCCTTCAGTACCTGTGCCGGGGGTGGGGGGGAAGGGAAAGGAGGGGGGAGGGGGGGGGGGAGAGATGCATGCGTGCCGTGTGTGTGCCAGCGGCGAGAAGGGCGCAGGCAGGTGGAAGGGAGCGACTAACGGGGATGCTGTAACCGCGCCCACTACACAGCCCTGCCCCTTACCCTTTTTGAGGCGCCTCAAAAATCGTCTGTAACCGCGCCCACTACACAGCCCTGCCCCTTACCCTCGCCTAACCAACCACACACCCCCTCCCCTTCCTCCCCACTCCGATCCACCCTCCCCCATCCCCCGCGCGACCCTCACCTTCCCAGGTGCCAACCTCCGTGTTCGGCGTGGCGGGCAAGTACGCGTCGGCGCTGTACGTGTCGGCTGTGAGGGGGCAGCAGGTGGAGGCGGTGGAGAGGGAGATGAGGGAGCTGGTAACCGTTACGGGCAGCAACCCGACGTTTGCGGCGTTCCTGCGCGACCCGTCGGTGTCCAAGGAGGTGCGCGTGAAGGCGATCGAGGAGATCTTCAAGCAGGCGCAGTACTCGCCCATCACCACCAACTTCCTCAGTGAGTGGGCTGTAACGGGATGTGACGGTAACGAGGTGTGAGTGTGACGACTGTGAATGCCATAGAGGACGCCTTCGCTTAGGCCAACTGCCCCCCCCCAACACTAAGAACCTCCTGGATGAGGGGGTGCAACAGTGGGATGTGACTTCAGCAGGTGGGAACAATCTCTCCCCTCCCTCCTCAGCTCATGCCACTTGTCACCTTCGCTTCTCATCACTCCCATCGCGCCCTCCCCTCTCTCGCAGCCCTCCTAGCTGACTCGGGGCGGCTGTCCTTCCTGCCCAAGATAGCGGCCACCTACGAGGACATCCTCATGGCGCACCGAGGCCAGGTCAAGGCCACCGTCACCGCCGCCCTCGTGAGTTGGATGTTACTGCTACTGTAGTGGCTAAGCGGTGTGCAGTTGGTGATTGGCTGGCAGCACAGGACAGGTACACTAGTGGAGTCTCTGCCATTCCTTGCCCGGTTCACTCCCAACCCGTCTCTCACCTCTCGTCCTTCTCCCTCGCCCCTCCTGGTCTGCCCTCGCCCCGGGCGGCTTTCCCCCCTTTCTCCAGGAGCTGACCCCCGCTGAGCTGGCGGAGGTGCGGGAGGCGCTGGCAGGCATGCTGTCAGCGGGGCAGACGCTGCAGCTGCAGCAGCGCGTGGACCGCAGCATCATCGGGGGCGTGCTCGTGGACATCGGCGACAAGCACATTGACTTATCGATTCGCTCCAAGATCCGCCGCATGGAGAAGGTCCTCACCGAGTCACTGTAGATGCGGGGCGCTATGCAGGGATATGATGGTGCTTGCATGTTTTGTATGATTGTGTCGCGCATGGTGTAGGAGATGGCTTCACGGATGTGGAGCAGATGTGAAGGATGAAAATAACATACGGTATTGTTTACTGCTAGGAATGGAGCATTGTAGTAGGACATAATATTTGTGTGGGCTTATGTGGCATTACCATACCATGACTATTGGCCAATGGCCATCACTACCACTATGGGTCGTGGTGACTATCACTCCTCCTGGAAAATTCAAGCTCCGAACTGAAGTAATGTCTACAACTCTGCTGTGAGAAACCAGACCAGACCAGACCCATTTGGTCCGTGGTGACTTGTCAGCAAGTGGACTGCTACTGTATCAGGGAGATAACAGAAGAAAGTTGGAGAATGCCTCTCTGGCAGTTTTGTACACGCGTCAACCTAATTCCTAATACACCTAGCTGGGTAGGTTCCCAGAAAACTCAAACAAGATGAGCAAAAAGAGTAGAGAACTTGGTTGAGTCTACGGTGAGCAAACTAGATTGAGGCCGATGGCGTGGAGCAGGCACCACCACCATGGCACTGACCACCATGGCACTGACCACCATGGCATCAATTCTGGCATCAACTCGGCAGGACAGGCCACGCCGTAGGGACGACGACATGGGTTTACGGCACCATCAGGTGGCCTAGAGGCCTTGGCCCACCCCATCACCGCCTCGCTGTTTTTCACACCATCTCACTGCCCCTGCCCACAGCCCACTCCTGCGCTCTACAGAAGGCCTCAGCCCCATGCGTGCAGCGCAATGAAGCACACCTGCCAGCGCCAGCCTCACCCTTGTCCTGCCGAGCCAGCGACTCCTCCAACCCCGGTCACCTGACCACCGCGTGGTGCCCCATCCGCCCCGCCAGCGCGTCAAAGTACCCCACCACCTGGTCCCGCTTCTCCAGCACGCGCTCCATCTCCCCCGCCGTCAGCGCCCCCCCCATCTCCTCCAGCAGCTGCGCCCGGCTCAGCCTCCTCATCCGCGTCAGGACGGAACCCGCCACCGTCTTCAGTCTGCCGCCCGCTCCTGCACCTGCTGCTCCCTCTCTGCCGCCCGTTCCAGCACCACGTTTCGACCACATGGAATGCATGCCGGCGCCTAGAGCCGGCCCAATGGGATGCGAGAGCACTACGGGACAAAGCTTGCCGTCCTCAGACCAGTGCTTGGCGGCGGCGAAGGCGGCGGGGCGGCGGAGGGACGAGCCCATGAGAGCGTCGAGAATGCGGATGCTGCTGACCACCGTGGGGGCCATCGCAGGGGAGCGCAGACGCTGGGGGAGAGAGAGGCGCAGGGAGGGGGGAGAGAGAGGCGCAGGGAGGGGGGCAATGGGGGAGGAGGGTGAGACGACTGCAGTGGGACCAGGGGTGACCTCTCAATGGGAGGCTCTCAAAGGGAGGCTCTCAAAGGGAGGGTGAGAAGGCTGTGCAATGGGAGCGCCACTTAATTCATGTGTTCAACTCTATGAAACATAAACTGAGAGATTGAGCCTTACACTGGGATGCACGGAGGACAGCGGCTGCACGTGCGACGGCAGCAGCATCATGGTGCCTTGTGCGAACCGACGGGTACCGATCTGCACGCCTTGGCGCAGCGCAACGGGCGGCACCACGTCGACGCCCAGCAGGCGGGAGAGCTGAAAGGGAGTGGGGGGAAAGGAAAGGGGGGGGGGGGGGGGGGGGGGGGGAAGGGGGGGGAGAGGGGGGGGGTAAGGTGTGAGCCGATTGGAGCATTGCAAGGCCCAGCAGGGGAACAAATGGGGGGGAGAGAGGGGGGAAGGGGGGGAGGGAAGCAGGGGAGGGGGTAAGGCGTGAGTCAATTGGAACATTGCAAAAGCAGACATGCATCAAGGCAAGCTGCTTTTGAGTTGACTCAAAAGCAGACATGGATCAAGGCAAGCTGCGAGCGGCAGGGGGTCGGCGCACCTTGAACGCCACCCATTCCGCCGGCGCGCGTTGGAACCGCAATCGCGTGTCGCCCGCCACCGCTGGCCGGAACAGAGCCTGCACCGCGCTGCGCCCGTCGGCCGCGGCCAGTTTCACGACGAAGAGCGGGCGGAACGGAGTGGAGCCCAGCTCGGGCCCGGCGAGCCGCCAGCTGACGATGCTGCCCGCCGCGAGCAGCGCGACCAGCTGCTGCTCGCGCTCCACCTCCTCCTGCGGCAGCGCCTGCTCCTCCGCCTTTCTCGGCGCCTGTTGCGGCGATCGGAGGGGGAGATCTGTCGTCGGCTGCGGTGCCGCAGAGGCTGTAGCGACCGCCGGTGCTACAGCCACTTCTCCTGAGGCGGACGACACTGTATCGGCTGCGGACGACGCGGCTTCGGCGGCCCTCTTTTGCGCCTTTTGGTCCAAAACGAGGCACGTACGCGCTATAGCGCGCGTCGCCATCGCCATAGTGCGTTCCGTGTACGCCGCTTGGTCTTTAAAGTCCGCAGCTCGGACTGACGCCGTTACGGTGACGATCGCCGTCTGCGTCTGCTCGTCGAATCGGATGGAGGCACGAGTACACGTCAGCGCGTCCATCTGCTGCATGTTCAACTGCTGCTCGTTCGCGGGAATTCCGGCGGGATCAGCGGGCAATTGGGAGAATCCAGAGAAAAGGGGAGAGAGGCTCTGGGCAGAGAAGGACGAGGGAGAGAGCAGAGGGGAGGGCCCATCCGACGGCGGTGATGCGTCCTCGTCGATCGGCGCGTCCAAATCAACGGACGCGATGCTCCCGAGGTCGAGCTTAATGTGTTGCGACACGAAGACCTCCTGCTCCTCCTCCGCCTTCCCTCCGCCAGTCAAGCCCGAATCAACCCCGCCAGTATTTAAACCATTTGAATCCAAGTCGAACTTGTGAGGCAAATCGCTCACATCACCGCCAACAAGACCGCCTCCCGTAACTCCCGCCGCATCTACCGCTGAGGTTGGGGAGACCGTCACGGACGTCTGGACATCAGCGGAGCGCGTCTTGAGCTTGTAGAGGATGTGCTTCAGCTTCGCGAGCGTCGTTCGCGCCTGCGACTCGATGCGAGCCACTCCCGACTCCGCGTCGCGCGGACTCGACGGCTCGATTAACGCGTCGTCTAGCGGCTCGGGAACGGAGATCGGAGACGGGGGAGAAGTAGGGCGAGACTCGGCTTCGTCTGGCCGTTGGATCGCCGACTGGACGGCCGGATCTTCTTCACACACGCCCAGCGACCCTTGCCGTTGGAGCGTCCCCTCTCGTTGTAATGACACCGGCGGCTTCTCTGTCGCTCCCCCCGATTTAGCAGCCGCGCGTACAGTCAACACCCTCAAACCGGACGACTCCTGATGAGACGACGACAAATGGGCTGTGGCTGTGCGGTGGAGGGAGAGAGGGGCAATGGCGAAGGCAGACGTGGAAGAAAGAGAGGAAGCGGAGGAGGAGACACGGCGCAAGGCGGAGAGTGAGAGGGAGGAGGCGGAGGAGACGCGGCGGAAAGAAGTCGAAGACGCAGAAGAGCAGCGCAGAGTGACGATCGCGGCTCTCCGGCGCACCGGGAAGCCCACTCGCGGCGAGGGTCGCGCGGAGGCTCTGAGGGTAGCGGCGGTCGCGGCAGGCAGAGAGAGGGACGCCGCCATGGCGAGTGACGTCCGGCCTCTGGCGCTGGGCGTTCAGCGTGGAGCAAAAGTAGAACTCCTCTTTCAGACTGGCCTTGCGAAATGAGAGCACTTCAAAATGTAGTAAACAAATAAACGGTTCAGTCGGTGTCAGTTGCGGAGTGAGCATAAAAAGAAAGGGGCCTATGTCGTGGAAAGCACGATCCGTTCGACAAGGGCAACGTGGACGGATAACCTCTCATGCACTTGGTTGACAATGGCGTCTCGAAACGGGAACTCGGAAAACTTAGAAACAGCCATGCACATAGGATGCACCACCTTGAATGTTGTGGATCAGGAGGAGGCTCGATATAAGCTCGAGCTGGGCATGGCAGCAGCCAGAGTGGAAAGTGCGCGCGGCGAGGTGGAGCGGGTGTGGAAAACTGGTGGCGGAGCGGAGCAACGAGTTTCTCGTCAAGGGAAGGCGGAAGGGGAAGCGTGGATGCGGAAGCGTGGCTGTAAACGATTGCTACCAGGTAACTTTGAAGGCTCGTGCGTTCGCTACACATGCACAAAGTGAACCTGGAGAAGCGGCACGAGAGTGGCGAAAGGCGACTGGTGGGTTAGTGGCTTGGCTTCTCCTGCGACATGGGAGGGATACTTTGAGGTTGGTTGGACGTCGTCGCGTGATTCGTGGATCGCGAAGGAATGGGAGCCCAAATCCAGTGGCCTCCGTTCGTCTGGGCCAGCGTGATGCCAGGGCGGATGACTTGGAAATCGAGGGCTGCGATTTGTTTAAATATTCCGAAATCACGGAGAACCGCAAGCTTAGCCAAAATACGCGGCGCTGCGACAGGAATTGTGAGCGACAAGTGGAAGCACAGAGCCCCCAATGAGAGCCAGGTTCATTCATGCAGGCACCGCTGTGTGCCACGCTAGAGCCCCCTCAACAAAGTGATGGCTGACACGAAAGTGTCAAGACGCTTGGTGGTTGGGGATACGGGTATGGGTTCATGCAGCTGCGAGCAGCCTTCGTCCAAACTTCCACCACACTGTACCACGCGGTTATCTTACTGCAGTACGCCAGAACCGTCTTAAAAATCACTTTACCGCTCTGGCCGTCCGAACTTTCACAAGTTCCACGCCCCAACACCACTGCGTGAAAACAAAAAAGCAGGCTTTGAACCTAACGTGAATCGAACACGCTACCTTCTGATCTGGAGTCAGACGCGCTACCATTGCGCCACAGATCCGTAGTAAACATGAAATATTAAATTGTTTAACATGTACTGAAGTGAGCCACTCATTTTCCAAGTTGCGTGTATTGAATGTTGTAATGGATCCTGAACTGTTCTGTACAGTGAGTCAAAAAAGTGTGTTGCGGTTTGCTTCAAGGTGACGCCATGCGAGCTCATCATTCGCCATTGTGTATCTGAACCGTCCAAGACTCCCCTCGCGAGTCATTGCAACCGTCGACGAAATCGAGCCCTTCGCGCAACTCGGGAGAACTTGATCCAGTTGCAAGGTTTGAAATTTCAAACCCAAGCACAGGCAGGCAAGGAGCGGCAGATTCAAGGCATGCGGCAACTTCAAGAAGCCTTTGTTCGAGCTCACTGGCATTCAGTTCCTGGTGCTGCATATTCACCAGATAGGTATTTCGTTTTAGCAGTGATAGATTCAGGCTGCAAGTGACCGAATTGCACTTCAGATAGTTAACGATTTGTGAACTTACCTTTCTTAGTTCTGTTTAGCTTCGTCCACTCGGCGGATTGTACCCTACCGTTACATCGCCATGGCGTCGGAGTTAACTCCGAACGCGCTTGAGCTTTTGAACTCTGGTGCGACGGACGGCAACTACGTCCTCCAAGTGTACGACTCGCGTCACGTGGGGAGCGCATCCGTTCCGCCGGCGCAGGAGCGGTACCGGCTGGTGGTGTCGGACGGGCGGTGGCAGCAGTGGGCCATGGTGGCCACGCAGATGAACGAGCTCATGCGCACCTCCGTTAAGAAGGGCTCCATTATCCGCCTCCAGGAGTGCATCACCAACACCGTGCAGGGAAAAAAGTAAGGCGGATACGCAAGGACGTGAGATTTTCAGTTAACAACCGACGTTGAGGAGTTGGTTCGGATAAACCTGCGTATTTTTCACGTTTGACCTCTGTGGTCCGTCCTCTTGCGCTGCTGATGGCAGGATCGTGATCATTCTGAAGATGGAGGTCGTCCAGTCCGACTCGCCTCTCATCGGCGACCCCCAGCCCTTTCCCGCCGACGGTCAGCTCCCGCCTCCACGTCAGCACCCGTCGACCCCCGCCAGCACGATCACGAACAACTCTGCGGCCCCTCCGCAGCAGCAGCAGCAGCAGCAGCAGCAGCATCAGTTGCCACAGCAGCCGAACGGTGGTCCTACTTCCATGGCTCAGTACGCTCCGTCAGGCGCCGCTCACCCGTCCAATGTCGCCCAGCCGAACCAGCCAGGCCAGCCAAACCCTTATGCTGCTGCTGGTTTCGGTCAACAGCAGCAGCAGCCGCCGCCGCCGCAGCAGCAGCGGCAATCCCAGCAGCCACAGTATTCTTCGGGCGGAGGTTTCGGCGGTAGTCACGGAGGCGGGTTCGCTGGCAGTGGAGGCGCAGGGGGGAGCGGAGGCGGAGGATACGGGGGAGGGGGGGGAGCAGCTCCGCCCCCGTCCTACTCCTCCCGCGGACCCGTGGCGCGGAACGAGGCTCACGCGCGGGTGGTGGCGATCGACAGTCTGAACCCGTACCTGGGGAAGTGGACGATCAAGGCTCGCGTGACGTCCAAGGGCGACATCCGGCGGTACAACAACGCGCGCGGCGAGGGCAAGGTGTTCAGCTTCGACCTGCTGGACGCCGAGGGCGGCGAGATCCGCGTCACGTGCTTCAACCGCGAGGTGGACAGCTTCTTCGAAAAGATCCAGGTCAGTGCCTCTCGATAGAGCACCACTTAGGAGGCGCCTCAAAAGCACGGCCAGTGCCTCTCGTAACGAAGGGTACTGCCAGGGAGAGCGCCAGCTTACTAGCGCGCGATTCACGCGTGTGCAGAGCAACTGGTTATCGGGGTGCTTTGCTTGATCCCCGTTGACCTATGCGCCCGCTTTCTCATTCTCATATCCCAGTGTGGCTCCTTTCCTCGTCCCTTTGCAACTTCCCCCCTTCCTCCCCTATCCCAGAAGGGGCAGGTGTACATTATCTCCAAGGGCAGTCTGAAGCCGGCGCAGAGGATGTACAACCACCTGCGCAGCGACTGGGAGATCCTGCTCGACTCGTCCTCGTCCGTCGACCTCTGCCCCGACGACGGCGCCATCCAGGCCATCCAGTACGACTTCAAAACCATCGCTGACGTGGCGGGCATGCAGAACAACAGCGTGGCGGACGTGGTGGGCGTGGTGGTGTCGGTGGGCGCAAGTGCGAGCATCATGCGGCGCAATGGGACGGAGACGATGAAGCGCACGTGCATGATCCGCGACCAGTCGGGCAAGCAGACGGAGCTCACCATGTGGGGCGGCTTCTGCAGCGCCGAGGGGCAGCAGCTGCAGGTGAGACGAGGGCTGTTCTGAGTGACTAGTGGTGGGAATGCTAGCAGCTGCAGGTGAGACGCAGGGCTGTGTGAGGGACGGGCTAGTGGTGCTGAGAGGGGTGGCTGTCAGCTGCAGGGGAGGCTGGGGTTGGTGCTGTGAGGGGATGATGTCAGCTTTGAGCAATTGGCTCTAAGAATCGCAAATCCTAGCTGCCACTGACCCATTTTTTGCATAACAACCACGCAGCGCTGTCCGTAACTCAACCTCCACTCCCTCGTCTCTCCCCTGCCCCTTTCCCAGGAGCTGGTGGAGGCGGGGCAGCACCCGGTGCTGGCGATCAAGGCGGGCCGCGTGAGCGACTTCAGCGGCAAGTCTCTGGGGACCATCTCGTCCACGCAGCTCGCCATCAATCCGGACATCCCCCAGGCCAAGGACCTCGCCGCCTGGTACACAGCGGGCGGCGGCGCCTCCATGCCCGTGCAGGTCATCTCCACCGAGTTCGGCGGCGGCGGCGGCAGCGGAGGGACCGGCCGTGACCCTCGCAAGCTGATCGCTGCGATTAAGGACGAGGGGCTGGGGATGGGCGGGAAGACGGACTGGGTGTCGGTGCGCGGTACGGTGTCGTTCTTCCGCGCGGACAACTGCTATTACACAGCGTGCCCGCTCACGACCGCGGAGGGGCGGCAGTGCCAAAAGAAGGTGGTGCAGGACCACGGTGGCAACGGGTGGTACTGCGAGAGGTGCGGGCGGCCCGTCCCCAACTGCGATTTCCGCTACATCCTGAGCTTCCAGCTGCAGGACCATACTGGCACCACGTGGCTCTCCGCCTTCCAGGAGGTTGCGGAGGAGATGCTCAAGACCAAGGCAGCTGACGTCAATGCGTGGAGGGAGGCGGGCGACTTGCGCGCCGGGGAGGTGTTTATGAGCGCGCAGTGGACGCAGTGGGTGGTGAAGGTGAAGGTGAAGGAGGAGACCTATCAGGACGAGGCACGGGTCAAGTGCACCGTGGTCAAGGCCGAGCCTGTGAACTACGCGGCTGAGAGCCGCGTGCTGCTGGACTACATTGGCAAGCTGCAGAGGGGCGAGCCCATCTCTGCGCCGGTGCCGGCGTCGCCTGGACTGTCTGCTGGCGTGGGGGGCATGCAGGTGGGCAGGGGGGCTGCTGGTGGTGGGGGGTATGGGGCAGGAGGAGGAGGATACGGTGGTGCTGCTGCTGGTGGTGGTGGTGGCTACAACAGCAGTGCATATGGTGGTGGGGGAGGGGGAGGTGGTGCGTATGGTGGGGTTGCTGAGGGTGGTGGGTATGGCGGGGGTGGAGGTTTTGGTGGTGGCAGTGGTGGTAGGGGTGGTGGGGGAGGGGGTGGCGGTGGCAGCAGTGGTTCCTGTTTCAAGTGTGGGGGCACAGGCCACTGGGCGAGAGACTGTCCTGCTGGTGGTGGTGGAGGTGGTGGTGGGGGTGGTGGTGGCTATGGGGGTGGTGGTTATGGTGGTGGTGGTGGCGGTGGCGGCGGTGGTGGGGGGGGAGGAGGTGGTTCGTGTTTCAAGTGTGGAGGGTCGGGTCACTGGGCCCGAGACTGCCCTGCTGGTGGTGGGGGTGGCGGCGGCGGCGGTCGAGGTGGTGGATATGGTGGTGGTGGCTACTGAATGTGATTCAGCATGTCCGTGATACTGATTTTGCTTGCTTTGATCGCTTTCTTATGATCCCGACATGGGTTTTCTTTCTCTGTAAATGGGAAGTGCCTTGAAGATTTGAGGAAATTCAGTTTTACTAGCTTTATCAAATGTATCCAAGCATAAACGTGGTTCCAAGTACTTTGGTGTATATGTTAATTTCAAGAACTAAAATGACACTGCAAAATGATCTGCGACCCGTAGCGGGAACCGCTGTCAGTGTCAGAAATTCGCGGGAAAATTCGAACACCTCGGGGTTGCCTGACGAATGGCGTAACCTTCCATTTGCCTACCTGGAGAGTTCCTAACCAAGGCTCTCCCTCTCTCTGCTCTCTCCTGCTCAAGCCACGCTCCAGGCCGAGCATCCAGGATTTCACTCCGCAATGCCTTAGGTTGCTGCTGGGAGGAATTCGTCAGGCTGTTCAGCCAACACATTACGGTGTAGATTGTGCTGCTTCTTGTTGTCTTCCACGTAACGCTCTCTCCTCGGGTCGTCCTATCGCACTAGCTGCTGTTTCCATAATAGTTTCCCATTAGCACGCGCTTCTGGTCAACAGCCTTGTTGACCACCGTCAGCGGCGTCGTTCTTAGTCACCTGACCACTGCTCGTCACGGCTGTCGTTTTGCTCGAAATAGACACAGCTGAGCATATTCGAAGGCAGCTTCTCGCTGCTGTAGGACTGACAGGTCAGATCTCTCATTGGTTCTGACAGAGGTACTTCTTCCGCGACGAGCCATGGGGGTTCCCGATGACCAAGCCTTTGGTTCTAGCGCGGCTCCGTCTTCCACTTTCTCTGGAGCCAAACAGTCCTCGAATGGCAGCCATAGCCGACTTATAATAACAGAGATGGTTCTCGAGAATTTCAAGTCGTACGCGGGCGTGCAGCGCGTGGGGCCGTTCCACAAGTGCTTCTCGTCGGTCGTCGGCCCCAACGGCAGCGGCAAGAGCAACGTCATCGACGCCATGCTCTTCGTCTTCGGGAAACGCGCGAAGCAGGTCGGTGCTCTGCTCTAAAAAAGTGGAGATGAATCAAAAGATTGTTCGTGCGTCAATGTTTTTCCCGTTCTGTTTCCCTTTAAATGGAGCCTGGCACTCTACTTATATATCGATCATGAACTGACTCATGTCGCGTTGGTTGCATGCACGGCCGTGCAGCTGCGACTGAACAAGGTGTCGGAGCTCATCCACAACTCCACCGACCACCAAAATCTCGAGTCTGCTCGCGTGTCCGTGCACTTCAAGGAGATCGTCGATCTGGTACGTCTACAAAGCAATGAACAGTGAACCATGCGCGACATCCGTGATTAATTCTGGAGCTCTTTTTCCTGTCATGATGCGTTTATTAGTTACGGCTAGTTCTCTCAAATGCCATATTCATGCCGTTTCAGGATGACGAGAAGTACGAGTCAGTGCCAGGGTCGGAGTTCGTTATATCGCGTACGGCGTACCGCAACAACACGTCCAAGTACCACGTGGACGAGCACGCGAGCACGTTCACGGAGGTGACGAGGCTGCTCAAGGCCAAGGGCGTTGACCTCGACAACAACCGCTTCCTCATCCTGCAGGTGCGATTCCCTGCGCGCCCAAGAGGGGGTAGCACCACCCTGACCAGGTCATTCCATGTTGCGCTTGATTCTGTTTACTTATCGTTGCTTTTCGTTTCCTCTGTTTCTGATTCGTTGTTGCTGTTGGTACATGCCGTTTGTCATGTTACACACTGTTCCATATGCGACCATGTCGGGCGTGGCAGGGCGAGGTGGAGCAGATAGCGATGATGAAGCCCAAGGCGCAGGGGCCGCACGACGAGGGGCTGCTGGAGTACCTGGAGGACATCATCGGCTCCAACAAGTACATTGAACAAATCGACCAGGGAACCAAGCAGTAAGCGCTCCTTCATCGCTCCTCACGTTCCGCTACGCGGCTGTTCCGTGAGCGCTGCTGCATGTTGACTTCGCAAGAGAGCTGTTTGGCACCGTCAGCACCCCACGCGTTCTTGATGCAATCGTGTGCTGCGGTGTGGGCTGCGCGTGCGCGTGCAGGTTGGAGGAGCTGAACGAGCGGCGGGTGGGGCTGGTGGAGCGAGTGAAGCACGCGGAGAAGGACAAGGACACGCTGGAGGTCCGTTGGGGGGGGGTGGATGGTGACGGGCTAAGGGGAGGTCAGTGGGGGCTGGTGTGGGTGCACTCAGGGGAGAGAGAGGAGTGGGGCCCACTTTGAGCTGCCGGTTTGCAGGTTGTAGGTGCCGAGTGCAATCATACAATCCCACCCTGCAGAGTCTCCTCCGCCCCCATCCCCCTCACGCTCTCCTGCCACCCATCTGCCCCCTCCCTCCCTATCCTCGCCCCCGCGAGCTGGGCTCCAGGAGGCGAAGAAGGCGGCGGAGGCCTTCATGGTGAAGGAGGCGCAGTGCGCGCAGTGGGGCATGGTGGGGCGGCGCCTCGCGCTGAGGGACTCGCAGGGCAAGGCGAGCGCGCTGGGGGGCAAGGTGGCGGAGCTTGAGGGGGCGCTGGAGGCGGAGAAGTGAGTGGGGAGGGCTGGTGGCGGAAGGGGTTGTTGTGAGGAGAGGGGGGATGTAGAGGGTCAAAAGGGGCGGAGAAGCCGCAGAGGCATGGGGTTAGGAACTACAATTGGGGGAGAGGGAATGGGAAGTTGGATAGGCAGGGGGGGAAACGTGGGGTGGGTGTGTTTGCTGGTGTGCACTTACCGAGACCCGTGTGCTGCGCTGCAGGGAGAAGTGCTCAGGGCTGCGCGAGGAGCTGCAGCACAAGACAGACGCGTGCGAGAAGTGCAACACGGAGTACGAGGTGAGTCGGGGAGGTGGGCTGTGGGGGAGGTTTGCGAGTGATGGAGGGGCTTGAATGGTTGAATCCACTAGACAATGTAGGGGGTATTCCAAGGTTGAACGAAAAGCGAAGCTTGAGAGGGCCTGCATGGGTAGTGGCGCATGCTCCCTTGCAGTGTGCGTGCTGCACAGGCCTGTGGTTAGCTACTCTGTGGCTAGTTACGCTTCGGCTTGTTCCCTTTCCAATTGCTTATACTTCATTTCTCGCCCTGCCAGGCGCTGTGCGGCGAGCTGGAGGCAGCGCGGGCGGACTTCAAGGAGTACGAGCGCAAGGACGTGAAGATGCGCGAGGATCTCAAGCACGGCAAGGCCAAGCTCAAGAAGCTCGCGGATAAGATCGGCAAGGTGGGGGCGAGGAACGCACGCACAGGTCATGCCGCAAGTGCTGCTCTCTTTTATCGTGGCCTAGAAGGTCATTTCAACAACTGAAAGTTTGCTCTTCCAAGATATTGCCGGCCCTTAAATACGAATCCATTCCCGTGGCGCAACCAACAGGACACAGCCAAGGCGGAGGAGCTCGAGAAGGCAGCTGCAGAGGCGGAGGCAGCCGTCCCTGAGCTGGAGAAGAAGGCAGCAGCGCTGGCACCGCGGCTGGCAGAGGCGGAGAAGAAGCTGGAGGCGATCCAAGAGAGGGTGCGAGGTGAGCCGCTGTGATTGGATTTGTTCCCCCACCTCCCTACCTCCTATGGCCCATGTGACTAACAAGCCCATGTGATTTCACCTTGGGCTTGGCGCCTTGGCAGTGGAGGTGGAGCAGCAGCAGCAGCAGCTGGGCCCGCTGCAGGAGCAGCTGGCGCCGTGGGAGGCGAAGGCGAGCGACGCCAAGGCCAAGGCGGACGTCACGCGCACCAAGCTCAGCCTCATCCGCGACAAGGTGAGTGGGAGGAAAGAGGACGTGGGGCGGGCTGGGAGAGAATGGAGGGATAGAAGGCTCAAAGCGTTTTTGCATGGCGGCGATATCTTGTCAGTTGTGTCAGGCTATCAACCCGCCTCTCAACCTTTCTCCCCCTTCCCTCCCTCCCCCACCTCTTCCCTGGGAACAGCACGTGGCAGCGGCGAAGCAGCTGGAGGCGGTGCAGCAGGCGATAGAGGAGCGCGAGGCGGGGCGGCAGCAGAAGCAGGAGCAGCTGAAGCGGATGGAGGCGGCAGTGCGGGAGAGCGAGCAGGTGGCGGCAGCCAGCGGCAAGGAGGAAGAGGCAAAGGCGGAGGAGGAGGCAGCAGCGCGGGCTGAGGCGGAGGCGGCGCAGGGGCGGGCGGCGGAGCTGAGGGAGGCGGCAGCAGCGCAGCGCAGCAGCAGCGCCATCCTCACAGCGCTCATGCAGGCGAAGCGCGATGGCAGCATCCCGGGGATCTATGGGCGCATGGGCGACCTGGGCGCCATCGACGGTGAGCTACTAATGGCAACTTGCCCAGGCAATTACTAGTGGTTCTCTGGCGGGGGCACTAGTGGTGGACAATGACGACTGGACCCACCCCCTGTCCCACTCACACCTTATTTTCTTGCATCTGTACGGCATGCCCCCTGCAGCCAAGTACGACATTGCGATATCAACGGCATGTGGAGCCCTGGAGTACATAGTGGTGGACAGCATCGAGACGGCGCAGGCGTGCACGGAGATGCTGAGGGACAGGCAGCTCGGCGTGCAGACCTTCCTGGCTCTGGTGCGTGCAGCCATGCGCGCCCTGGTGATTCTCTGCCTCCCTGTGCTCACTTTGACCTCTTCCTTAACTCTCTCCTCGGAGTTGCTGCGCCATCGCAGAGTCTCCACTCGCCCGTCATCCCCCCCTCCCCTAAGTTTTTTCCACTCAGTTCCCTCCTACAACCCTCTCCTTTACACCCCCCCCCGCTCCCCCTCCTCCCCTACTCTCTCCCTCCGTCCTCCAGGACAAGCAGCAGCACTTGGTCCGGGAAATGTCTGAGAAGGTTCGCACGCCGGAGGGGGTCCCGCGGCTGTTCGACCTGGTGCAGGTGCAGGACCCCCGCCTGCTGCCCGCCTTCTACTTCGCCCTGCGCAACACCGTCGTCGCAGAGAACCTCGACCAGGGCGCGCGCATCGCGTATGGCTCGGATGGCCGGTTCAGGCGAGTCGTCACTCTCAGCGGGGAGATGTTCGAAGCCAGTGGCACCATGGCGGGCGGAGGGGGCCGCCCACGAGGGGGCCGGATGGGGAGCTCGCTGAAAGCAGCGGCGGCGGCGGCAGGGGGGGGAGTGACGCGGGAGATGGTGGAGGAGGCGGAGAGGGAGGTGGAGCAGGCGGTGGGGCGGCTGGAGAGAGTGCGGGAGGAGAGGAGGGCGGCTGTGGGGAGGAGGGAGGAGGCGGAGAGGGTGTTGAGGCGGCTGGGGATGGACATTCCCAAGGTTCAGATGGAGGTACGCAGCAGAGAGGTTGGAGGGGGCGAACTGATTTGACAGTATCTGTTCAGCCCATAGTACTGTAGCTACCCATCACACATTCTGTATCCCCCCTCACACTCCACCCTCCTCACCCTCTCGTCCCTGGCAGATCGAGTCGCTGGCAGCGCAGGTGGTGGAGCTGAGGCAGCGAGTGGAGGGGCTGCGGGCGGCAGCAGTGGCGAGCGAGGAGGAGCAGGCGCAGATGGGCGCGCTGCAGGGGCAGCTGGAGGGCGAGGAGGGCGCGCTGGCGGGCATTCAGGAGGAGATGGCGCCGCTGGTGGCGCAGGTGACCCGCTTGCAGCAGCTGATAGAGGCAGCGGGGAGGGAGGCGCTGGGGGAGCAGAAGGACCACGTGGCTGCCATCCAGAAGGTGAGAGCTGGGATGAATGACGATGAAGTTAGCTGTTAGCTGTTAGCTGTTAGCTGTTGGTCCCGACTGAAACAGGTCAATCACGTGTCATCTCGTCCATATGCCAATGGCCATTCGTGGTCGCACCCACAGGAACACTCTTCCACCACTCACTATCTCTCTACAATGTTCTTCGTTGCAGGCCATCGACGAGGCGCAGACGGGCATCAACAAGAGCAGGGCAACTGTCACCTCTAGCACTCGGGCCGTGGAGAAGCTGAGGAAGGCGCTGGGGGAGGCGGAGGCGGAGAAGGAGAGCGCGGAGGAGGAGATGGGGCGGAAGCGCGAGGAGATGAACGCCGTAATGCAAGAGGCGTTCACCGTCAACGAGAACTACGAGCGCCTTCGACAGGTGCGTTCTGGCACGTGGGTTGGTCTGGGTGTCTTTACTCGCTTCCATTGAGTGAGGAAAGATGAGAAGCGAATGAGGAAAGATGAGCACTTGGTATGTGCTCAAGTGCTGCTGGTATACCAGCAGCATGTGCTCAAGTTCGCATGGTAGCTGTGGAAGCCTCCCTTCTCTATATTGTTTGCACTGCGTCTTGCACACTTGTCTCTTTTCTGGCTCTCTCTCCTGCCCCCTGTCCCGCTGGCAGCTGGTGGAGGGGAAGAAGGAGGAGTATGGCGGCATGAAGAAGGAGTTCACGGCCATCAAGAGCCAGCTCGACAAGATGCGCACAGGGGAGGTGAGTGAGACGGTTGAGAAGTAAAGACAATGTGGAGCTTTTTTCTTCAGGGCAGAAGGAGGGGTTTGAACAAACATATTCCTTCTGTTAACATTATGGAGGAGCATAATGCCCGCTGTTAGCTTACCTACACACCACCAGACAGTCCTCTAAGACCCTCTCCTCGCCCACACCTTCCTCTCGCCGCTCTGCCCTGTGATCAGGTGGAGGTGGAGCTGAAGCTGGAAGATTCCAAGAAGGCGCTGAGGATGAGTCACGAGACAGCTCGCCTGCAGAGGGAGAAGCTGAAGTCGCTGGGAGCACAGCTGAGGCAGCAGATCGCACAGTGAGTCCATCATATACCGCACTGTGCTGCACCGTGCTGCATCCAGCTCACACAACACAACACATGCAAGTGAGCGTTGACATGGTCCCACACCCGCCTATCTTCCATCACTCAACCCCCTCACCCCATCCTTCTCCCCTACCCTCATTCTCTCCCCCCCTCTCCCAGGATGCGAGTGGAGGGCATAGCAGAGGAGGACGTGGAGGCAGCAGGGCTGCCGTGGGACCTGGGGGACGAGGGGCAGGCGAGGCACAGCAGGGCCACAAGGGCAGCTGCAGGAGGGGGAGGAGGAGAGGGTGAGGAGATGGAGGAGGACGAAGGTGAAGGGCAAGGGGAGGGAGGTGAGGGTGAGGTGGAGGCGGGGTTGGAGAAGCTGGTGGGTCGCCTGTGTGGTAACCTTGTCCGTGAGGTCACCAGTCGCGAGGAGGCGGCGGCAGGGGAGCAACGGCTGCGGGCAGAGCTTGAGACACTCAAGGGCAACCTCAACCTCAGCTCCATTGCGGAGTGAGTAACCTCAATTGCACATCCTCTGTGTCTTGGCATTCACTTTTAACATGATTTGAGGCTGGAACTTTCAATCTCAAACGTACCCTGACACCTTCCCCTTCAATCCAACGCCTATCTCCCGAATGACCTGGTCCAGGTACCGCAAGAAGGAAGCCGTGTACTCAGAGCGGCTGGGCGAGCTGGAGGCGGTGACGGCAGAGCGGGACACGGTGAGGCAGGCGCACGAGGAGGTGAAGCGGCGGCGCCTGGACGAGTTCATGGCGGGGTTCGATGTGATCACGATGCGCCTCAAGGAGATGTACCAGATGATCACGCTGGGCGGCGATGCTGAGCTGGAGCTGGTGGACTCGCTGGACCCGTTCAGCGAGGGCATTGTGTTCTCCGTGCGCCCGCCCAAGAAGAGCTGGAAGAACATCTGCAACCTCTCGGGCGGCGAGAAGGTCAGGGAGCTGCTCTCCTGGAATGCAGCAGCGCTGTTCGCATGCGCCGCGCTGCCGTCCTTTGATGAGGCGTTGCCAATGTAATGACGAGCCATTCATCCTGTCGCTCCCTGTGCCACCCGCCTGCATTCCTGCAGACCCTGAGCTCCCTGGCGCTGGTGTTCGCCCTGCACCACTACAAGCCCACGCCGCTCTATGTCATGGACGAGATTGATGCTGCTCTCGGTGAGTTGGGGGGGATGCTGCTGCTGGTGCATCCGGAAAGAGGGTCCTTTGCTTCTGTGCTTGTCTTGGTATGGCGTTTTCTGTGGTCTCAAAACGGTATTGGGCATTGGTTTTCTGACCCTGACCCTGCATCCCGCAGACTTCAAGAACGTGTCCATAGTGGCGCATTACATCAAGGAGCGCACCAAGAACGCACAGTTTGTCATCATCAGGTGAGGGGACGAAGGCGGCTTCCATGGGTTCATGTGCCTCTGTGAAGAACATCCCACTTCTCACACCCTTTATACATGCTATCATCACTGCCGTTCAGTGGCCTACTATCCCCCGCCCTATGGCTTCTCACTCCATTCATCCTCTTCCTAAAACCATTTCCTATGCACCCCTCCTTGTTTCAGTCTGCGCAACAACATGTTCGAGTTAGCTGACCATCTGGTGGGGATATACAAGACACACAACTGCACCAAGAGCATCACCATCAACCCACGCAGTTTTGCTGTCTCAGCTGCTCCTGCGGCTGCTGCTCCATCATGCTAAAGGAGATGCGTCAATCATCAGACGGATAAGACTGCTGTTTCTAAAAAAAAAAAAAGTAAAAAAGTTTCCTGAAGGCTCGTCAGCTATTGCGGCCTAAATGTATAAATGGGTTATAATACTAATGTTGAACCTAGGAAGTTTAGTCTTACTCCATGTTTCTTCCTCTCGAAACACTCATGTTTAGGAGGATCATTCCATTCGGAGGCAGATTTATTTGGAGGCAATGCTGTGCTCTGCTTTGTTCCTCCTGCCAATGCCGCATCTCCTTCGCTCTGCGCCGTTGCTTGATCCAGTCGAGGCATTCCAGCGCAAGTCGCGATATAGGCCTTCCCCGCGAGCTGTACCCCACTCTGCATAAGCCATCCGTTTCCAATGCGCTCGGAGTGCCCTTGCAGGCAATACTTCTGAGATCCTTCGCTGATCTGCCGGATTAGTCGGGTCAAGGATCTTCTAGTTTCCTTCGTTGTCTGAGTTACACATCTTCCATTCGAACTTGCTGAGTGACACTTGGCAGGTTTCGTACCTGCTGGCCCGTTATTATCCAGAAAGCCTTAGTCGTCGAGAGGACCATGGCGTCGCGTGAGGATCTACCAAGTGGGTCCGTGGCCGTCATGTCAGAGGTGGAGGTCATGTTCACCTTCATTGCCTACGCCATCCCGGTAGTGGCGATGGTCTCATACCACAAACGCAGGTACGGACTTTATTTCTCATTTTGATTTCAGTTCTTGACAGTTCTTTTGCAAAACCTGTAGGTATTGACCTTCGCTAACCACAAACATGCTACCAGACTTTTCGTACCACAAACGTAAGCTCGGGTACTGGCATGTTATTTTAAACCAGAAACACGTCTACCGACGTGATATATACGACAGATGCAGGCATTGACATAAATCTTCACCACAGACGCAGGGACTGACATGTTTTCCTACCATAACGCTTCTGATGACTTGTACATGATGCCGTGCTCTGAATACGAGTACTGGTTGCCAGGCATTGACACGATTCCACTTACCAGAAATGCAGTTCTTTTACATCAAATGCAAGCAGTGACTTTAATCGTTACCACAAACGGGGAGGCTGGTGTGATTTGTTGTATCGAAGGCTCCGATACTGACATTATTCATGGTCCCAGCACATAGCCACATGCTCGTGGTCCCTGCTTAATCCTTTCTCTACGTCTCCTTCCTTTCCTTCGTTTTCTCAATCACGCCAGCACCGAGTGGTACCACAATCACATGGCTGCAGCATTCGGCCCTGACTGGAGAAACCACTCCCCAGTGGCTGGTTTACGAGCAGCCAATGAAGAAGCGTCACGTGGCAAGAGGCTCCCCACCTTGCCAGAGCACCCAGAGGAAGAGCAAGAAGGGAAAGAGCAGCAGGAAGGCGCTGAGGGAGAGGAGGGAGAGAAGTCAGAGAAAGGGGAGGAGGGAAAGGAGAAGGGGCGGCAGCAAAAACACCAAGAGGGGCAAAAGGGGGAACAGGAGGCGAAGCAGGAAGGGAAAGGTAAAGGCGGCTTACGGCAGCAGCGAGTGAGTCACCGCTCGCTTTTCAACGTGAGGAAGCTGAGCAGCCCTGCTGTCTTCCTCCCTGCCATCATTGCCTGCCTGCTGGCCCTGCCTCTCGCCCTTGGCAGCGGGCTGATAGGCTTCATGCATGGGGTGGTGTGGGGCCCACAGGAGGCTGTCACCGCTGCAGTCTACGGTGCTGCTGCTGGGGGACTGTACCCGTTTCATCTGCTTGGAATTCTCAGAGACCAAAGGCATGCACATGAAGATTAGGAAGGTAGATGATCTCGCCTCCTGCCAATGTGACTTCAGAAGGAAGGATTCTTCTGTGGAATCACCAGATAATTTAATACGTACCTCTGTTAGTGGTACGGTACATTGGTTGCCAGGCATTTCTTTCAACACTGTGCATCACGTTTTTGTGAACTGAGGCTTCTGCAATAACTACAACCAACACAGGTACAGGTAAATATTGGGCAGTGAGTCGAATTGGCACTAGGGTTACACTTTAGGGGAGTTATTTAGCAGGGTAAACAGCGAATCCGAGAGGGAGAAGCCGAGGCACTTGGCCATGTCCTTGACTCGCACGTCAGGCCGCGGATCCCCTCGGGCGAGGAGCCAGGCGTGGATGAGGAAGGCCTTGTTCATGGTCCACAGCTCCACCGCCTCCGGGTTGAACACCAGCCCCATGCGCTTGCTCATCTGGTGGCCAGGGGGGTGGGGGGGGGAAGGGTAGAGTAGGGAGGTGTGTGAGGAGAGTTGGGGAGAAGGGTACAAGGCGTTGTTCACTTTCCCATGGTCCGAGCAACTTTGATAGAATGTCAGGGTCATGCATGGGCTCAGGGAGCGGGAGTAAGAGCAGGGGCGGGGTGTAGACAATGTAGGCATGTGAAGGCATGAAGAGCCAGCATGAATCTCACCTGATGAGGCACCAGCATGGCGGCATATCGCCCTAGCTCTCCCGCCCGCCAGTCCAGCACTGCTGGCAGCCACGGATAGGCTGCATCAAGGCGGACGAACCAGAGGCGGACATCTGGCAGCTCGGACAGTTCCCGAGGGTCGATCGGGTCGTCCCTTTCGTACTTGATGGTGAAACCAAGGCGGCGAGCGAGGAGAGGAGCGGGGTCGGAGGGAGGAGGGGCGGTGTTGTCGCCTATTTGTGCGACGTACGGTCGCAGGACCTGGTGTGCGACGGTGAGATCAAGGCTGCGAATCATCTCCTTGGTCACGTGGATCTCGAAGCGACCCTCCGTTGGGGGCGGGGGTGGCGTGATGTTGGACTCGGAATCTGGGGTAAGTTGAGATTGAAGAATAAGTAGCTGGATTGAAAATGCCTAGGGAAAGGAAAGACCCTGATTGCTCGCGACATTGGGAGTAGCCACAATTCCCCTGGCAACTCACCGTTCATTTCGTCTTCCAGGCTGAAGCTGAGATCCCTAGAAGGGTCGTACACCGCTGCTCGCGTGCTCAGCCGTTCACGACCAACGCTATGGTAACTAAGTCTAGCCTGAAATTGACTGTGACCACAGCGCTGTTGTACAGCTCTACAGCGAATGCCGACATATCGGGTGGCTGCGGGCTCATATCTTAAAGAAATGTGGCACTTGTGAAGCTTATTGAAAAACGTGGAGCGAGGAGCAGCTATGGCCATGGCTGAACGCCTTGATCCCGCATCAATGGCGGGAAGCACGCAAGGCTCAAACATGCTGCAGCTCTGGAAGACACTCCTCACTGCAACCATTCTGCTGAGACGGTAACGGGTCCGACGACAGAGAGCCCAGTAATCCCGATAACGTAGTTAAGCCTGTCAAAGCGAGCAGTCCGCTTTGCTAACTAGACCGAGCTTACACTTCGGAGCTCAAATGGTGGGGCAGATAGAGTTTATTGGAGGCCATGGCTGGTTCTGACAGTGCATGCACTGGGTTGGTTGGATGGGTGTCAGGAAGCAGGGGCCAGGATTCCAGGAAGAAAGGCTGAGGGAGTTCAGGTTAGGTGAGGAAACGAAATCGACGTGGCAGCAAATGAGTGGCTCAAAACTGCTGATGTACCTTCAAAAAGTGATCCAGTTTCGCCGAACCCCAAAGTGGACGAGGAGGAGTCGCTTTCGCGAGCGCAATCAGCCAACCAGCCCTCTCCAGACTTTCGTTTCCACGTTCTCGCAATCGAGTTACACATCTACGAACGTCGCGGCATCACGTCGCAAAAGCACCAAATTCTCCGTGAAAAAGTGCACCGGATCAACCGACAAGTCTCAGCGAACATGCTTCCCCATCCATTCCATTCCCTTCCAGCCTGATGACGATGCTCAACCCTGAAAGGATCCCATAAAGAGTCCAGAGAGCCGACAATAGAGCAGACCACCACACGATCCCTCCCTCCTGCAACACAACAGTCGTTCTATCTCCACCATCGTTTATCTCTGATCGATTATACAATTTCATTCCATTCTTCCTGATATTCCCAGAATCCAGCTAGAATAGTAGACGCTTTAGTTGACCACGCATAAGGTCGACGTTGACAATATAATATCGCGATTTTTTTTCGTGCGACGCCTTCCTGAAGCGAGTTCTGTAGCCTGAATTTCCAGAACGGACATCAGCATTTCGAGGCCGGCTTTCACGGCGCATATGCCGGCCAAGATGGCGAGCTCGAAATCGTTCACCTTTACGAGTCCTCGTCCTCGACCACTTCTCGCGGTCCATTCAACCTGCCGGTGCCCGGACTCATCTTCTTCAGGACCTCGGAATAATTCTAACTCCCCTTGCCCGGGAATCCGTATCACCAATAAGCGGGTCATGCTCATAACGCGGACGGAATTCTCACATTCATCCGGCTCAGTCTCAGCCACGAGCAGAAGCAGTCAGCCGTCAGTCCGATCAGCTCTACACCCCAGCCAGGTCGTCTCTCCACCAACCCTGGCTATTCCACCGCGCACGAGTCATCACAAGTGGAAGCTGAGACTGCAGCCATCAGCGCGTCTGTGTGAATGCATCCACCACGAGCTAATTACCTGTCGCTGGAATTTCCTCTCCCCTCGCAAAGCCCTCGCCTCTTCAGCACCCCTTCCCTTTCCCGACCAGCCCTCACTCCGAAAACGCCAGTCCCTCAGCTTCCAACCAATCATTCTCTCCGACGGCCCTCGCCGACCCCCCAGTGCATCCGCCTCTTTCTCTCAAAACGGCGCGTCCTCCTATCCGCCTTACCAGCAACCCCCTTACAGCCAACAACAGCCCATGTTCCCACCGCCATTCTCCTACCCACCTCCATTCCCCACTCCACCACCTTACCCTCACACCCCCCCGGTACCATTACACGCGTTTCCACCACAATCCGCACCACCAACAGGCGTACCTGGGGTAGGCGTCTTCTGGGACTACGAGAACTGCCCCGTGCCCGTCGGCGCGGACTGCTCCGCGCTCGTGCGCCGGCTGCGCGACGTGGCGCGCGCGTTCGGCGCGGTGCGGAGCGTGCGCGCGTACGGGAAGATGGAGGAGCTGCACGCGCGCGTGGTGGGGAAGATGGGCGCGTGCGGCGTGGAGGTGGTGGCGGTGGCGGCGGGCAAGGAGATGGCGGACAAGGCCATCATCACGGACGCGCTGCTGTTTGCCATGGACGAGAGAGAGATGAACAGGTGAGTGTGTGGGTGGGTGGGTGGGTGTGTCTGTGTGTGGGTGTGTGTGTGTGTGTGTGTGCGTGTGTGTGTGTGTGTGTGTGTGTGTGTGTGCGCGTGCGTGCGTGTGTGTGCGTGCGTGTGTGTGTGTGTGTGTGTGTGCGTGCGTGCGTGTGTGTGCGTGTGTGTGTGTGTGTGTGTCTGTGTGTGTGCGTGCGTGTGTCTGTGTGTGTGTGTGTGCGCATGCGTGCGGGAGGACGGAGGGGAGGACGGGGGGATGAGATAAAGTGTGAATGAGGCTGAAGCTGAAGCACCGTGTCTTCCTGCGCCTACCTATGTCTGTGACTCGTCATCCACCCTGTCCCCTTGCCCCACCCCCTGTACCCCCCCTGTACCCCCCCTGTACCCCCCCTGTACCCCCCCTGTACCCCCCCCTGTACCCCCCCCTGTACCCCCCCCTGTACCCCCCCTGTACCCCCCCTGTACCCCCCCCTGTACCCCCCCTGTACCCCCCCTGTACCCCCCCTGTACCCCCCCTGTACCCCCCCTGTACCCCCCCTGTACCCCCCCTGTACCCCCCCTGTACCCCCCCCTGTACCCCCCCTGTACCCCCCCTGTACCCCCCCTGTACCCCCCCTGTACCCCCCCTGTACCCCCCCCTGTACCCCCCCTGTACCCCCCCCTGTACCCCCCCTGTACCCCCCCTGTACCCCCCCCTGTACCCCCCCTGTACCCCCCCCTGTACCCCCCTACAGAGCGCTCGCGCCGTGCATTGTGATTATATCGGGGGACGTGGGGTTCGGCGGGGTGCTGGCGAAGCTGACCAACCGCGGCGTGACGAGCGTGGTGGTGGCGCGGCGGCGCAAGAACGGCAGCAAGGGCAAGAGGGGCACCATCCCCGGGTCCCTGGCGCAGTCCGCGCTCGTCACCCTCGACTGGGACGACCTCATCCTCTCTGCTGAGAGCGGCGCGGGCGGGGAGAGCACCTGGCGAAGCAGCAGCCGAGGGAGCGACGATGCTGCTGTTGTCAATGGCAGTGGTGGTGGTGGTGCTGCAGGTGCTGGTGCTGCTGTTGTCAATGGCAGTGGTGGTGGTGCTGTTGTGCGTAGCAGCAGTGTGTTTGGCAGCAGCAACCGCGCTGGCGGGGGTGTGAATGGCACTGGCAGCAGTGCAGTGGACTCCACTCGTGTCCTCAGCAGTCCCATCGGCAGCACTGCCACGAGAGGTAGCGCTGCCACCTCTAGTACGGGCAATGGCAGCCTCAACGGCAGCGTCTATGGTCGTGGCAGCAGCAGCAGCATTGGTGCTGGTGACGCCTCAGCCATGGAAAGAAGAGAGACAACGGAGAATGGGAAGGAGGGCAAGGGCAAGGAGGAGGAGGAGCTGCTGCGGCACAGGCTGCGGTCCCTTGAGGAACGACTGGCCCAGGTGGAAAGAGACAGGACGCTTGCTGCCGGTGAAGAAAGCAGTGGGGCCAAGATAGGCAGCAGTCATCCCTTTGATGGTAAAGGGAAACTCATCGGAGACGGCTCCAAGATTCAACCACCGCCGCGTGTTGAGGCACCTGGGGGGACGAGCTCCAGTACAACCGTCTCAGATGGTCTGGTGACTCCGCCCCGCGAGTCCTGGTCCGAGGTGATGGAGCGCGCCCTCACTTTGCGCACCCCCCCCGACCTCCTCACGGCGCGCCTGCGCACCACCATGCTCACCACGCTCGCCGCACACGGCACCGTCACCACGTCCGCCCTGTTCTTGGCATACCAGCGCACCTACGGGCACCAGCTGCGCCTCGCTGACTACGGACTCAGAGACGTGAAGGCGCTGGTGGGGCTCCTGGGGGACGTGGTCGGGGTGAGCGTGGGGTGGCCGGGGCAGGCAGCGCGGAAGAAGATGTCAGTGGAGGAGCGCGAGGAGATGGCGAGAAGGAGGACGTTCTCCCTGGTGCGGGCGTATGGGAACCTGCGGGTGCTGGGGCTGGTGCAGTCACGGTTGAGAGCGGTGGTGCTGGGTGTGCTGAGAGAGCACGTTGCACAGGCGGATGCTGCGTATGCTGCTGCTAGAGCGGCGGCAACCGCAGCCGGAGCTGCAGCAGTGGCTGATTCAGAACGGACAGCTGAAGGTGAGGAGGGGAGAAGCAAGAACGGCACAAGGGGGGTGGGCAGCAGCATGCGCACGTCCAGCAGGAAGACGAGCCGGTGGATGCCTCTGGAGGACCTCGGCGTGGCCCTCAGACGAGCTTGCAACGAGAAGCTGGGGGTGCTTCTAACGAGGCACGGGTACGCGCGAGAGGCGTTCAGTGACGTGTCTCAGAAGGCCCGGCTGGTGGCTCTGCTGGCGGATATGCCCGATCTGGTGCGGGTGAAGAAGATGAGGGGTGCGGGCGGGGTGGTGCTGGTGGGGCTGGTGCCGGGCGCGCAGGGAGATCCCGTGGTGGCGGCGTGGGCGGAGAGGAATGAGCGGCTGTGGGATGGCACTGTGTATGAGTGGGGGGGGGGGCGTGGGGAGGGGGTGGGTGGTGAACGGGATGATGAGGTGGAGGAGGAAGAGGAGGATGAGACGGATGAGGAGACAGAAGAGGAGGAGGAGGATGACGAGGAAGAGGAAGAGGAGGAGGATGAGGATTTGGGAAGCAGGTGGATGGGAAGGAAGGCCGTGAGACTGAGGCGACGGGAGGCGGAAGAGGAGGCGGAAGAGGATGAATGGTGGGAGGATGATGAGGAAGAGGAGGAGGAGGAGGCGGAGGAAGAGGAGGAGGAAGAAGAGGAGGAAGAGGAAGAAGAGGAGGAGGAGGAGGAAGAGCAGGAGGAGGAGTATGGGGAGGAGGCAGAGGAGGAGGAGAAGGCAGCATGGGAGGATGAGGACTATGGGTTCTTGGCTACAGCAGACAGCTACGACGAAGACGAGGGCGACCAGTTTCAGGCTGCAGGTGTCCGCCGCACAATGGAGGCATCTGAGTTCATTCGTAGCAGTGGCGGTGCGCAGAAGGCATTGGGGGAGGCGGCAATGGCCAAGACATGGCAAGAGCAGGGCACGGCTTTGGATATGAGTGGGCGACAAGTGTGTGTGTCGAACGCTCCCTCAGAGCCCCATGAGCTTGAAGCGGCTTCAGCAGTGCCAGTGGGTGACAGATGGGAGCGTGATAGTGAGAAGGTTGCGGTGGCAGGGTGGATGCACGCCGGGACACAGGAGGTGGAGAGGGAGGGCGAGGAGGACGAGGAGTATGCGTTCTTTGCTGCATATGACAGTTATGAGAGCGAGGGGGAGGAGGAGGGCGATGCCAATGGGAGCAATGCTGGAAATGAATCTCATAAGCCGGCTCTGATGCCGCCTGCTGCTGTTCGCGGTGGTACCGACGCTGCTGCAGCTGCTGCTAGCAATTCTGAGGATAGTTCTGCTGCAGCACCCTTTCCTAGTCCTACAACTGCGGCCCCTCCTGCTTCTGTCAAGTTGGGTGACAATGGCAGTCAGCATGGCAGCAGCAGCACGGATGGGCAGCTGACCGATGGTATCAGCAGCAGCAGGCAGTCCGCCCCTCGGATCCCACGCTACACGGCCCGCCATGGTGCTGCTGCTGATTCCACCCACGGCGACGTGGGTCGACACTTGCAACACGAGATGGATCAGGCTTCCCAACGCAGCACCGATCAACACTCCCACCACTCGCCACGCTGTGCTCACAACACCACGCTTGAAGACCCTCTATGGCCCGCAGTCTTTGCCTCTGCCTCTGCCCTGCGCCCCCCCCTCGAGCTCTCCCTCCTCCGCTTCTCCCACCGCACTCTCACTCTCCTCGCCGCCCGCGGCCCGCTCCCCATGGGCGGCATGGCACGGGAGTTTGTGCAGCGCGGGTGGTGGCGGCCCGACCCTGCTAGGGTCGACGTAGATGCAATGGTCGGGGCGATTGCTACGGTGGTACGTGATTATAATGAGTACGAGTTTACTGAAGGGGGTAGAATGGTGAAGGAGGGAGGCACAGGAAGTGAAGGCACCGATGCTATTGTTGTTGCCGGAAATGGTGGCGCCGGTGGCAATAGTGGTTCTGGTCGAGGCGGTTCCAGTGGCACTATTGCTATTCCTGCTGCTCCTCCTCCTGCTGCTGCTGCTGCAGCCTTGAATGGGAGGGGCGGGGTGCCTCGCGAGCAGAGGCTGGCTGTGCGTGAGAGTGAGAGAGTGCTGCAGCTGCTGGGTCTGGTGCAGTCAGGGCTGCGGCGGGTGGTGCTGGGGGTCATGCTCACGCATGGTGCAGACTGTGACTCTGCTGCTGCTGCTGTCACTGAGGTTGGTAAAACGGACAGTTTTAGAAGCAGCAGCAGCGGTGGCAACAGCAACAGAAGCAGCAGTCCACCCAGAAGCAGCAGCTCTATCCCCGGTTTCAGCACCAGCAGCAGCAACAACAGCAGCAGCAACAGTGCCAGCAGCAGCAGCAGCAGCAGCGCCAGCAGCAGCAGGTGGATGTGGGTGGAGGAGCTAGCAGGTCGGTTGGAGGAGCACACGGGCCACTCTCTGCCGAGCCTGCTCGACAGGCACGGGTACGGCAGGCGCGCCTTCCCCAGGTGGTCCCTCAAGGCCCGCCTAGTGGCGCTTTTGTCTGACATGCCGGACCTTGTGAGGGTGGGCGAGGGGGGGGAGCTGATGGGCGTGGGGGAGATGATAGAGGCGAAGCAGGGGGATGACTTGATGCGCCTCGAAACATGCAAGTATGAGGATGAGTGGTCGTTGAAGGTGAGGGGTGAGAATGAGGGGTTATCTGAAACAACAGGAGAGGGTTACGTGTGGAGGGATGGTCGTGCTTCTGATGACGAGGAGGCGGAGGAGTGGTGGCTGGAGATGGATGGCCGCGAATGGGCTGAAAACGACGAGCTGGGCTTGCGGCATTGCGGCCTCGTGGTTGTGCTTGTAGAGGGGGCTGACCTGGACTCTCGTTTTAAGACGTGGCACGTGCGCAACGAGGGGAAGTGGAACGGCAAGGTCTATTCCATGGCTGGGCTCAGCCTTGGAACCACCCCTAGCAGTGCGGTAGAGCAAATCATGCAGGGTTTCGCGGTGAATGCGGAAAAGGGATGGTGTGGAGAGCTCTTTACGAGTGCAGGGGAAGTGAGGGAAGATGTGATGGAGCGGGTGCAGAGCCATGTGAGTGAGTGGGTGGTGGACGTGCCAGAGGGGTTCGATGTGGATAGAGCGGTGGAGATGGAGAGGAGATGGAGGGAGGAGGATGCGGAACTAGAAGCGAGTACTGCTGTAGAAGAGGACTTAGAAGAAGTGGTTTAGGAACGTCTTGCTCAGCCCATATAGGCTACGAAGGATGTAGTAGATATACCACACTCATACGTGACGCGCTATTATTTTTATCAAGCTCAAACGTTATCGCTGCTGAATTACACTGCATCCGCACTACAGGCAGCCGAACTAAAGCCTTGCGATGGACGCTGATCACCTCCCCCAGATTTGTCAGTGCTCCAACAAAGCGCCTGACTTCAGTCAGGCTACCCTGGCTGTAGTTAGCCTCGCGGCGTTCTCACGCGATAGAAGTCGGCCGCGTGAGTGCCAAGTCCGAAAGGCCTAGGCCTACGATAGCCGGTCTTGAGGAGTAGCTCGGAGAAAAGCCGATTGGTGTGCCAGTGATTGGTGTGTGTTTGAGTAAAGCCGAGCGACGAAGCGACGCCACGTTACCTTCAGCGCTGACACTCTCGTTCGTCGGCTCTCCATGATCGCCATGCGGTAGCCTTTCCAACATGCGCCGAACAGCTCCCAAGGCTCGCACGAGCGTTCCCCCCGAGGACAAACCCCCCAGGTTCGCGCGACCCACGAGGATCGCGAGTGTCGTCTTCGCCTTGGTCCTGCTCGCCGTCACCGCGCGTTCTTACACCAGCCGTCAGCACTCTGACGTTTCAGACGGTTTAGCTTCCCGAGATGACGTCAGCGATCACGAGCCGACGTCAGCAGCGTCCGCCAATGACGGCGATCAGACATTCCCCACGGTCGAGCCGAGCCAGGCGGCGAGGATCGCGTTTCTCTTCCTCACGCGAGGCCCGCTGCCGCTCGCCCCGCTGTGGGAGAGATTCTTCCAGGTACAAAGGGGTGCTGTCTCAGGTGCACATTGCTGCTATGCGGGCGAGTCAAATTCACAATGCTGCCGCACAGGCGAGTCAGATGCACGTTGCTGCGAGTCAGGCGAGTCAAGCGAGTCAGGCGAGTCAGGCGAGTCGGGCGCAAGTCAGATGCACGTTGCTGCTATTCACGAGAGTCAGATAGACATTGAGATTATTCCTGCACATGGCTTTATCATGCTTTCTCTCAATGCTTGTCACTCCGCCCACGTACACGCCTCTGACCCTTAAGTCGCCTCTAAGCTCTCCCCTCCACACCTTTGCCCTTCAGGGCCACGAGGGCTATTACTCCGTCTACGTCCATGCATCTGACCCGTCCTTCGCCTTCCCTCCTGGCTTCTCCCCTACATTCCGAGATGCTCTCATCCCAGGAGGCAAGGTGAGACCAGGTGTGTAATGTGGTGGGGCTAGGCGCAGTGCAGTGGGGCTAGGTGTGGTACATGGGGACAGGGCGTAATCACTGCTGCACTCCTCTGACTCGTGCCTGCACACAGTAGGTTTTGATGCAGCCATGGCACGTGTTGCGGCCAGCAGCGACCAGCAGCGGCCAGCAGCCGCCAGCTGCGGCCAGCTGTGACCAGCTGCGGGCAGCAGCGGGCAGCAGCGGCCAGCTGCGGCCAGCTGCGGCCAGCAGAAGCAGCGGTCAGCAGCAGCCAGCAGCGGCCAACATCCGCCAGCTGCGGCCAGCTGCGGCCAGCTGCGGCCAGCTGCGACCAGCTGCGGACAGCAGCGGGCGGCAGCGGGCAGCAGCGGGCAGCTCCGGCCAGCTGTGGCCAGCAGAAGCAGCGGCCAGCAGCAGCCAGCAGCGGCCAGCATCCGCCAGCTGCGGGCAGCAGCCGCCAGCAGCGGCCAGCAGCGGTCAGCTGTGGCCAGCTGCAGGCAGCAGCGGGCAGCAGTGGCCAGCAGCGGCCAGCAACGGCCAGCAGTGGCCAGCAGCTGCCAGCAGTGGCCTTGCCACCACCCTGAGTGGTTTCCCGGTGGTTCGCCACCACCCAATTATTGGGTTGGGAATTATTTGTGGGTCCAACAATCTTGGTTTGATTATTGGGGTCTCCAACAATTCGGAGGCCAAACCAATTTGGGGGCCAAGGTTGGAACTAAATCCAGTTGGGAGCCCAACCCCAACTAGGATAACTACACCCTAGTTTTATTGCATTGCTCATAACAGCCAAAGCTAAGTAATCTATGTAGGCCTAACAGAATAGGGCGATCGGATAGGCCAATATTCTAAGAGGGCGGCCAGCAAGAGAGGGCGGCCAAACGCAGAGGGTTTGGGGGGTGCGGGGTTTGGGGGGTGACTGGCAATAATCCCAACCAGAACTATTGGTGGGGTCCAATAATCTTGGCCAACTCCCAACGAAACCCCCCCTCCTAGTCCTCACCTACGTAAGCTCCTACCTGTCCTAATCAGCTCAACATTCGCAGTTCTCACATGATGTCCCCCAGCTTGTGTCCGCTGTTTTCCCCCCCCTTTTTGTCCCCCCTCCCTGTTGTCCCTGCCTTCCTGCAGGTGGTGTGGGGCGACTTCTCCACGATGGCAGCAGATCGCAATCTCTGAAAGCCCTTGCTTTCTCTCCCCGCCCTGTCTCTCCCCCCCTGTCTCCCCCCCCCTGTCCCCCCCCCCTGTCTCCACCCTCCTGTCTCCACCCTCCTGTCTCCACCCTCCTGTCCCCCCCCCTGTACCTGCAGGTGGTGTGGGGCGACTTCTCCATGGTGGCGGCGGAGCGCAAGCTGCTTGCCGCTGCGTTCGTCGACCCGCGCAACGCCTTCTTCGCCCTCGCCTCTGAGTCGTGAGCTCGTAATCTCCCCATGGCATTGCACCATGTTCCATGCTGGCTCGTGACAAGGAACTAGGGGGAAACGGGCTTAGTTCTGGTGTAGTCTGTTTGCCGCAAGTCTTGGATCGGATTCAGAAGCATCACTGCATTCCTCCCCTCCCACCTGCTCCCCCCTCTCTCCCCTCCCTCGTCACCACCAGGTGCATCCCCGTGTGGCCCTTCACCTACGTGTACAGCTACATTGCCTCTGCCAACGTCAGCCTGCTCGATGCGTGAGCACTCCCCTTCTTCTCCTGCTTTCCCATTCCTGCTTCCGATGAAAAGCATGTTTCACACCTTCCCACTCCTACTTGTGAGTCGACTCAAAAGCATTCCCACTCCTACCAATTGCTTGCCTTTCCTCCATGTGCCCTCAATTGAGCTGTTTTCGTTGTTCCTAACGTTGTGTTTCTCTCCGTATGCCCCGCAACACTGCATCCTCGTTACAGGCACCATGACCAGTACGAAATGGCATTCCATCGCTACGAGCGATGGAAGCTCGAGCCAGTGATTCGAAAGAAGGATTTCGTGGGAGGCAGTCAGGTATGCTGTGGGCCAATAGCGTGGGACAGTGATCTCTTGATACTGGCCTTGCAGGTGTACGGGCAATACCGCAGTCAGGTATGCCGTGGGCCACCAGCTGCAAGGGGTCTCCTGCTGCCCGTGTGGCAGTAGTGTGGGTGGGGACGCTACTGCTGCACACTCTTCTTTTCCGGCTCAATTTCCGTCACGTGTGGGGCTTGTGTGGCGTGCTGCGTGGTGCTTTTGAGTCGACTCAATAGCAATTTCCGTCACCTGTGGCGCTTTTGTGCCATGCTGCGTGGTGCGTGGGTGGCAGTGGTTTGTGCTGAGGAGGCGGCACGTGGCTATGATAATGAAGGACTCGGCGCACTACCTCGCACACCAGAGGAGCTGCCAGGTGACTCGCACTTGCTGCGTGGAAGCACTGCCAGGTGAACCGCACTTGCTGGGTGGAAGCACTGCCAGGTGACTTGCGCGTGCTGAGTGAGGAATGGTGCCAGGGAGGCGGGGAGCGAGCTGCATGCTGCATTCTCCGTGTGCTCGATCGAGATGAGCTCCTGTGTTCCCTTCCGTTCCTGTGTGCAGTTCCGCATGAAGACTGGCAGCCGCTTCTGCTGCGCTGACGAACATTACGTCCAAGTGCTGCTACATGTGAGTGCGGTGCTGCTGCATGTGAGTGCGGTGCTGCTGCATGTGAGTACGGTGCTGCTGCATGTGAGTGCGGCGCTGCTGCAAGTGAATGCGGCACTGCTGCATGTGAGTGCGGTGCCGCTGCATGTGAGTGCGGGGCTGGTGCATGTGAGTGCGGCACTGCTGCATGTGAATGCGGTGCTGCTGCACGTGAGTGCGGTGCTGCTGCACGTGAATGCGGTGCTGCTGCATGCGAGTGCAGTCCTTCTGCATGTGAGTGCGGTGCTGCTGCATGCGAGTGCGGTGCTGCTGCATGTGAGTGCGGTGCTGCTGCATGTGAGTACGGTGCTGCTGTATGTGAGTGCGGTGCTGCTGCATGTGAGTGCGGTGCTGCTGCATGTGAGTGCCGTGCTGCTGCATGTGAGTGCCGTGCTGCTGCATGTGAGTGCCGTGCTGCTGCATGTGAGTGCCGTGCTGCTGCATGTGAGTGCAGTGCTGCTGCATGTGAGTGCAGTGCTGCTGCATGTGAGTGCGGTGCTGCTGCATGTGAGTGCTTAATGTGTTACATGACCAATGTTGCACGCAACTGCGTCGTACAATCACACTGCATATGAGAACGATCACAGATATAAGGCGGCAGGGCGTGCCTCCGTTGATGCGTTTCCCAAATTCTCGCTCTCAGATTCGCTCTCCCGCTCTCTCCTGCTCACGCCCTCTGTTTCCTTCCTGCCTGCTGCCTCCTACCAGATGTATGACCCTGTGGGGATATCCCGCTACCCAACGACCTTTGCCGATTGGAGCCTGGCAGAGTGGCACCCCAAGCTGTTTGTGGCTGAAAATGTCACGACCGACCTTATAACGAGCATAAAGGCATGGCCGAGCACTAGCATGAGACTTGTCCAGCTTTTGGCTGATGCCCAACCGCACCTGCTTGTATTGTGTTTCTATCTGAACCATTCGCACGTGTGTGTTATGGAAGGGTGTCCTTGACATGAGTCCCTCCCCTGCCATTGCCTGTGCTTTTTGTGCTTTCCTTCCGTGGGCCTTGGCTGATATCCAGTCCTCCAAGCAATTCGTCTCCTACCGCAATTTCTGGAAGGATTTTCAGAGCAACTACTCCTATGTAAGATTCATCCTCTCCTTCACGCGTTGCTTTAGGGCCCGCCTGGCGTCTTCCTTGATTCCTCCCACTTGCCTGTCTGGGTAACTCATGCTTATGAATGCAACTGAGGGCCATGCTCAGCACGTTCTAATGTGTTTGCCTAGCTGAGTCATCCGTGTTGTTGAATCTTCCTCATGGCGCAGATTGAAGATCCATCTCTTCCACAACCTGAACGGGTGAGTTTGAAGTCGCACAACGATACGCTAGTTGCTTTGTTTTCATGCGTTAAGGTTTATTGATGATGGCGAATTCTGTGTGTTCGTTTTTCTTCCAGTCGCCATCAAACGGATTTTGTTCCATCAACGGATTGCCAAGAAATTGCTTCCTATTTGCGCGCAAATTTGATGAGTCGACGATAGAGTTTCTATTAGATCATTGTAAGGAGCTTTTGGGCTTTTGAAGTGGCACTGTTTGCCCCCCCTGGTACGCGTTGCAATTCACAGGCAACAAAAGAAGCGTCAGCTGCACGCCTTCGGCAACGAAGAGGTGTATTGCAGTCGCGGTGGCAAGTAACCCTCGCAACCCTCGCGAGTGCGAAGTGGTGACTCCAATTTGGATGGTTCGCGAACCCGTCCACATTTCCTAGAAACTGTCGCGCATTTTCCAACCAAGCAGCCGCGCCATTCCCGTTGGTCCCCTCCATCCATGCCACCTCCAACTTCCCCTTCTTCACCTCCCGCCTCCCAGCATGCCTTCCTCATCGCAGCATCCACTTCCTGCTTTCGCTGAATCCTCCATAGGTTGACACTAGAAGCCTTCTCCTTCTGGTTAGTTCCTCCACCTGCCAAATGGTTGCTACACCTGCCAATAACTTTCTCACTGATAGAACAAGGTAGCATTAGATGACGTATTTATTGCAGGCGGGAATTCGTCCAGCCGCACAAGCTCTTTCGAGGACAACCACTACTGCCTACTTTCTTAGGTCGACAATTCCCTTAGGGAATCCAGTCCAGCAACTTCTAAAAGCCAATCCTAAGTCATCCATCGCAAATCTCGTTCTGCAAACTTGTTCGGAGTTTAATCCCTCGTCTCGTCGCACGACAGCTTATAGGAAAGAACCTATTCGATCAAGCTCCTCAACCGCTATGTAAGCGATCGCCAGGCCGTCGGTTCACTTTTCCTTGCGCTTCTTCTATTCGAATTTTTTACTGTAGGAGTCGCAACTTGCGTGTGTGCAGCGAGATTTATGCCGCGCATTGTGTCTGCTTCCAGGGAGAAGGCGTTCGTGAGGAAGATTCCCAGCAGCTCGCTGTACGTGTCCCGGCCCACGTGGTGGCTGGAGTCGCGGTTCCACTTCAGCTTCGCGGAGTACTTCAACCCGGCCAACCAGGAGTTCGGCGTGCTGCGCGTGCTAAACGACGACCTCGTCCAGGTCAGTCCTCAGGTTGTGAGGCCGTCATGTGCTAAGCACAAAGCGTATCTCACCCACTCTATACTGGACCTTGGCGGAATTTTGATTGGACTCCCCCCCTCCCCCTTCAACTCCCCCTCTCCCTCCCCCCCCTCTCTTCATTCCATTGGACCACGCATTCCCTGTCTCCCTCTGCGCTTACGGGCCATCCTGTGCAGCCGAATGCGGGGTTCGGGACGCACCCGCACCGCGACATGGAGATCATCACGTACGTCGTGGACGGCCAGCTCTCGCACAAGGACAGGTGCGCCCCGCATGCGACTCTCCTCCTTCAAATAACAGCGCATTGGGCTTTACTGCAATTCAAGGAAAAGCAGATTTGAATTTTGAATCCAATACCTATCGAGTGCATACTATGATGTTTTTCTGTTTCTCCAATGTTTTTCCTGGGCGCTGGATCTGGTTTTCTTTCAGCATGGGGACAGAGGAGACGTTGGGCCGTGGGTGCGTGCAGTACATGAGTGCTGGCACGGGCGTCACCCACTCGGAGATGAACCACTCCAACCACCTGTAAGTGTCCTAAATCGTTCCAGGTTGTTGACCAGTTCTTGATCCATCTCGACCCCATGGTCTTTAATGTTTATGCCATTCACATACGTGATTTCCTCCCCACCCATGGCTGCAGTCAACGGTTCCTTCAGATCTGGGTGAAACCCAATGCGAGGGGTCTCAAGCCTAACTACGGCTCACGCACTTTCAGGTACTGTTGGCCTCATTGCACCGTCTTCCACCTCCACATTGTTATTTTTGCCTCGCGTTGCCTCCGTATTTCCTCCCTCTCTTGTCTAGATGTAGCACTACACGGCACCAACATCACTCGATGTTTTTCATCTCAGATTCATTAGCATCACTGTGATGGCGTTATGACTTTATTAGGGCATTTGCAGCGAAGCTGGAATGACCCACTGGAAAGGACCGACTCGTTGTTGCTGGAATTCAACCATGCCCATTCCTATCGTTGTTCGCGATTTTGCAGCAAGAGTGACCGTCACAACAAGCTACAGCAAGTGGTAACCAGCTATGCCCATTACGGTTCTGACAAAGACGCTGGATCAGGTCTCATTCCCGTCAACCAAGATGTCAACATCTTTGTATCGGAGATGAATGGCGTGACAGACGGCTCGGTTGCACCTTCAGCTGCTGCCAAAAGTTTGGACTACACACTGCAGAAGAAGCGCCAGATGTACCTTGTGTGCATAGAGGGTGGGCTCACAGTGAGCTCTGTGGAGAGTGGTCTTTCAGAGACGCTTAGCGCTCGAGATGCCTTGGAGGTATGACTTATTCGCTCCCCCCCGTACTTTCGCCATTCGGCTCTGAACGCATGATCTGACCTTACTGGTTGCAACTGTTATGCAGGTTGCAGCTCCCAGAAGTGGTAATCTTCCGCTTAAGATTCAGCCTGATGTAGCTTCTGGAGCTCATTTCCTGTTCCTGGAGATGGAAAGAACAGTTTGAAGTGAGAATATGGCTTGTTGTATTGTGAGCATTACATGTGTGCGAAGTAGATTTGACTTCATGTGTGTGCGAAGAGTACTGAAGAAGCAATTCGCCTTTTATAGCTGGAAACTCGTGTGAAATTATATATTTTATTATATAATTGGTAGGCTTGGTAGGTTTATCAAACTCTACTGTAGAGGGTACAACTCCCTCCTTGTATGCCTCTCTCTTCCTAAACCTCACGCCATTCCATGGCTTCCCTCCTACCTAGCTTAGTTAAACATGGTTTCAGAGCAGGCCCCTTTCGCTCAGGCCTTCTCCTCACGCTTCCGCAGCGTACTCCCCCCCCCCCCCCCCCGTCACTCCGCGCCGGCCCCGTCACGTCGCCGTGCCTCAGTGCCTCAGTGTCGCCGTGCCGTCGTGTTGTCGTGGCGGTTTCGCCACGCCAGCGCACTGACAGTTGCGGCCAGCGCCCTGTCCTATGCGCCAGTCGTAACACCCCCACGCCAGTAAGCGCCGCGCCAGCCATGGTGCCTCGCTGAAGATTCGCCCTCTCCCGCCAGTAAGCGCCGCGCCACCCATGGCGCGTCGCTGAAGATTCCCCCCCCTCCCCTCCCCCCCCCCCCGCCCCCCCCTTCCCTTGCGCCTCCTCTTCCTCCTGCCGCAGCTGCTGTCTTCTACCCGGTCGTCGCCTCGCCGTGCCACACCGCCAAGGGCCTTCAGCCATGGCCGTTGCCCGCGCTGCCTCTCGCCGGGGGAGGTCACCATGCCAAGCCCGAGGGGTAGATACCCGGCTGATCTCGAGCATGGGGATGTAAGGGGTTAGGGGGTGTGTGTGTTGGGTGGGCTTGTGACTACCAAGCCTACGGGGTGTGTTAAATTATATATTTTGTCATATAATTGGTAGGCTTGGTAGGTTTATCGAACTCTACTGTAGAGGGTACAACTCCCTCCTTGTATGCCTCTCTCTTCCTAGTCTCTCCCTCTTTTCACTCCTCAACTTTATCCTTCCTAAACCTCACGCCATTCCATGGCTTCCCTCCTAGATCCTAGCTTAGTTTAACAGGGGGTCCCTCTTGAACTCCCCTGCAGAAAAAGCTAAGGCCCACGTGGTCTGCGACAAATGTCGCAGGGGGGCTGCACGACGCGCCATGCTGTCAATATTTTTTCGCCTCAAGCCTGCATTGACTAGTACTCTCGGGCAACCAATAGGATTTGTGAAATCCTCTTTTGTTTCCCGACAGTTACAAATTTCGGGGCACTGGGACGTTTCATTTTTTCACCATGTTTCGGGACTTAGTTTCTTTGCACCCACTCAACTATCAAGAGGGACCCCCCTCTGCTATTTTTCCGTCGGGTTTTAACTGGCGACAGGTAGCCGGCCCGGTCTTTGGCGTTGTGGCGCGTATACCCGAGTCTTCCCTTTCAACACCGAACCTCGACGTGAAGGGCACAAAAGTGGTTCGGGTGCAACTCTGGATTCCAGAGTGGAAGTCCGGTTCGGACAGGGGCACTTTGGTATGGTGCGTGCTGTGGCTGTAATTTGGTGATGAGCAGATCCAAACCCTGCAGCTACGGTGTGCTGGAGAGAGCAGTGGCTGGCTACTTTCGAACAGCCAATGAGAGCCCGCCGAGCACTATGTGCTAGATGAAGAATGGCAGAATATTCTAACACTCAAGTGGGGGGCGCTATGTGCGGGGCTGAAATCTGGTCGGTCACACTCAAGTCGGCGTGATTGACGGGGAGGGTCGGGGGGGGGGGGGGGATTCACAGAAATCACGGGGTGGGGGGGTTGGGGCTAGGAATCCGCCACGGTCGGGCTCCGATACGACGCTGGAAAAACAGGCCACACTACACTAGTGTTGCCCCACACTACTCATGCGTTCGCTGATCGATCAGAGTTCACTCTTAAAGAAACCCTGAAATTTCAGGCCTGTCTTAAAAAAAAATCCTGTTTCATCAGGGTCACCCCCCAAAAAAGCCCTGATTTTACCCTGAATCAGGATAAAAAGCCTGCAGTCTGAGGCCCTGGGTGCGTGGTTTGGAGAAATCTGTTGGGCGAGGCACAATTTCGTTTTCGAGGGGCACAAATTCCATTTGGAGGGGCGCAAATTCGTTTTGGAGGGGCGCACATTTCAAGTTTGAGAGCCAGTTGGGACCGTCAAGGGCTGGTCAAGAAAGTTGGGACCGTCAAGGGCTGGTCAAGAAAGTTGGGACCGTGCGGTACGAGGTTGGGCACATATGACCACACACGGCCAGGCTGTATTGCATGTCAAACATATCCTTGTATGCTGTTGTAGACTACACAAGGTTGTGCCTTAGAGAGTACAACCCACTAGGTTATATTCCCTTGTATCCCACCATTCTAGTCATTCGTTAACTTTGTTATGGTATCATGAGTACGTTAGGTCCCCCCCGCCCACCGGCGCTTCCGCCATAGGTCCTCGCCGCCCCGTCGCCCTCCCGCCCATGTTGGCCCGTCCCCTAGTGCCCCCACCCCCCCCCCCCCCCCCCCCCCAATCGCCTAGCACCTAGCTGGCCCGTCTCCCAGCCGGTCCCGTCGCCTAGCCGGCCCTGTAACCCAACCAACCCCGTCGCCTAGCCGGCCCCGTCGCCCAGCCAGCCCCATAGCCCAGCCGGCCCCGTCGCCTAAGCCGGCCCCGTCGCCTAAGCCGGCCCCGTAGCATAAGCCGGCCCCGTCGCCTAGCAGGCCCCGTCGCCTAGCCGGCCCCGTCGCCCAGCCGGCCCCATCGCCCAGCCGGCCCCGTCGCCCAGCCGACCCCGTCGCCCAGCCGGCCCCATCACCGAGCCGGCCCCGTCACCTAGCCGGCCCCGTCGCCTAGCCGGCCCTGTCGCCCAACCGGCCCCGTCGCCTAGCCGGCCCCGTCTCCCAGCCGGCTCCGTTGCCTAGCCGACCCCGTCTCCCAGCCGGCCCCGTCGCCTAGCCGGCTCCGTTTCCCGGCCGGCCCCGTCGCCCTGCCGGCCTCGTTGCCTAGCCGGCCCAGTCGCCCAGCCGGCCTCGTCGCCTAGCCGACTCTGTCACCTAGCTACCTAGCCGGCCCCGTCGCCTAGTCGGCCCCGTCACCTCACCGCCTAGCCAGCCCTGTCGCCTCGCCACCCGCGGCCCCCTCTCCTAGCCGCCGCGCGACCCCGTCTTTCGGCCGCCACGCGGCCCTGTCTCCTAGCCGCCACTCGGCCCCTTTCCACCGCACTCCACCGCCCAGCACCACACTGCACTGTACTGCACCGCACTGCACCGTACTGCACCTCACTCTATCGTAGTCTACCGTACTATACCGCACCGCGCAGCACACCACTGCTTCCCGCCGCGCTCTGTCTCTTAGTACATCCCACTACCGCCTTTCTGCTGCTACAACAACCATGATGGCGGACTCGGTGCTGCGCTTTGACGCGGAGGGTCAACCGGTTGAGTTCGACACGTGGCTCGTCGACCTCCGCCGTCACCTCACTGGTCAGCAGCAGGACGGCCACTCCCTGGCCGTCCACATCGATGGTACGCTCCCCTGCCCTGACCCCCCTGTTGCTCTACCCGCTGACCCCACGTCTGCTGACCGTGAGTCCGTTGCCGCTGCTGCCCCTGCCCGTGGTGTCTGGTTATCACGTGACGCTGTCGCACAGGTCGCGATTAGTCATGCCCTCCCCCTGTCTGAGCATCCCTGCTTTAGGTCAGGTAGGACTGCGCAGGAGTTCCTAGAGGCTGTTGTCGCGCACTATTCCACCCCGCCCTCCGCCTCCATCTGTCGCCTTATCCTGCATATGCTCTTTTCTGATCTCGCAACTTTCCCCACTGTCGCTGACCGGGCCGCCCACTTGCGCACGCTAGACGCGACCTTGCGTGCTGCCTGCACTGAGGCCCAGCTTTGTGTGTTTCAGCCCCCCATCTACTCTACCCTCTACCTGCTTGCCATCCGCCTCCCTGACCGCCTTGCTACTGCTCGTGATCACTTTCTTAGTCTCCACCCAGCTGACCTCACCCTCACTGACTTTGTCGACACCCTGTCTGCCATAGAGACTCGTCAGTCACTGACCGGTCAGTCACCCTCGTCGGTCACTATCCTTCAGGGTTGTGCCCCCGCTCAGTGCACTTACTCTAACGGTTCTGCTGCTGTCGCTGGGACAGACCCTGCTGCGGAGACAACCGCCGCGGCTGCCGCAGCGCAGTTTCGTCCGGGTAAGGGTCGCCGCCCCAAGGCTGGGTGCGGCGGAGGTAGCGGAGGAGGGGGTGGAGGCGGTGGTGGAGGTGGTTCGCCCGCCGGTAGTACTAACGAGGGGGCTGGGGCTGGTACCTTGGAGCAGCAGCTCCAGCAGCAGCAGCAGCAATAGGTGCCGCACCTGGACCAGCAGCAGCAGCAGCAACAGCAGCGCCGGGTCGGTCGTCTCCTACCCGGGTGGCCTGGCGCCGGTGGTGGTGGTGGTCGCGGTGGTCGTGCGTGCAGCGTGTCGTCGTATGGTGATCTGAGTGACGGGCACTGCCAGTACCAGCTCCAGACCGGTCCTCGCCGCGGCCTCGTGTGCGGTAAGACCGGCCATACCCCCACTCGTTGTTTCAGTCGCCTAGATGGCCTGTTTCGTCTCCGCTTCGGCCCGGCGCCAGACCTCCCTGACTGACACAGTCTGCTCCGCCGTGGTGTTAGGATCTTTGACATGGACATGGATGAGAGTAGCTCTGCTTTGTATGTGCTGTTTGTCGATGACTCTAGTGTGATTGGTTCCTATTACCCCGTGTTGCCTAGTGTAGATGTGCCTAGTGTGCCCAGTTCATACTCACCTCCTGCGTCAGGCGTAGGATCCCCTGCTTTGTTTAGCCTTGGCTCCACCCTCACTCCTCCGACCCCTGCCGCCACGGCCGCGCTCTCCTTCACCCTGGACTCCGGCGCTTCCCGGTGTTTCTTTCGGGACTCCACTACGCTTACACTGCTTGCCGCTCCCGCCGTAGTTGCCCTTGCAGACCCCTCCTTAGGTCATGTAGTTGCCCATAGCTCCACCACCCTTCCTTGTCCGGCGGTTCCTTCGGGCTCCCTTACAGGCCTGCACATCCCCTCGTTCTCTAGGAACCTAGTTGGTGTCGGCTGCCTCCAGGACCTTGGCGTCACCACTACGTTCTCTGGTCACAAGCGGTACGTTGTCTGTACCGAGGCCGCCACTGGTGC